ACTTACCCAGATATTAAAACCAAAATTACAAACACTGACAACATGTTAGCAAAAATAGACTGAAATAATTGCTTTTTTTCAATTTAGTACTGATTTTTTTCCCTTGAAAGCCTTAAAAGATGAAAGCTAACAAAGGAAAAGTGAAAAAAAGCACTTTTTGCCGTTTATCATTTCGTTTTTATCTTTTTGAAAGAGATATTGCTTTTTATCGATGAGATTTTTGAGCAATCTTTGTCTAAATTTGTTCAAAGCAAAAAGAAAAGTGTTGAAGTTGATTTCTAAGAGTTTCTTTCGTTTATTTCAATCGCTATTGACATTAGAATTGCATTTTATGAAGTAAAAACGCTTTATGATTTTCTGTTCTTTGTTTATTTCAAAAAAACTTTACTTTATTTGTAGTTGAATTCTTTTGTATTTTTGGAAAAATGGACGACTTTTTATGTTTAAAAATAATAAAGCAGTTGTGAGAAGCGTGACTAATAAGAAAAGTAAATCAAGAGAGCGAGTAAGTCAAATATTTCCTTATTTTTCTACAAACCTAGAAAAGCAGGAAAATATTATGTCTAGTACATCAAAGTGCTGAATTTAGTGGGAAAGAAAGCAGCGAAAAACAAAACACGAACAACTTGACGTGCTTGAAACTATTAACTTTTACCGGGAAAAACCCCAACCTGTTCAAACTTCAACATAGCCCACGTCTTCAAGAGCGCCAGTCAATCGACTCAACGTTCCCATTCTTTCAGAAACCATGTAAAAATCCATTACTGGTCCGTCGATGAATCGTGTGGTAAGGGGATTCAATTCCTGAAAAAAAATGATTGAAATGGAATTAGAAACAAATATAAATTCAAAAAGAGAATCTCCAAACCTGAAGCGTCACACCCTTCACCAGGAGATGTTTCCAAAGACGTGGAGTATTTGCTGGCTGAAGAATGTTGTTCGAGATGTATTGTCGTGCTTGATTGCCCTGAGGGTGCGCAAAACGGTACACCACCCCATCACTTTACAAAAGCAGATTTTATTTAAAAACTATACTGGAGTGCTTTCAGAGTAAGCGGCCCCATTAAATTGTATTTAGCTATCTAAGGATGTTCGCACCTTGAAGAGTAAGCAAAAATTTCAAGAAAAACGCGCTTTTTCGAACATTTTTTGGTCTTTTAAGTACCCAGGAGACGCTTTGTTTCCCAAGAGTAGTCATTCAACTGAAATTTCTCGACTGGATATTTTGAAAAACAGGTCTACATGAAATTTTTCCTGAATATTTTAGAAAGAGAAGAAAATATCAAGGGCCAGAAATTGTTTCATGTCTCTCTATTTCTTTGAAGTTTATTTCAAAGAAACCTTTTTCATTTCAGAGCCCAACCTTTCCGAAAATGAATCGTTCAAACTCGACTTTTCCCTCTTTATAACCATTACCGTGATGGCTCGTCGAACATCCAACAAACAAAAATGTTTACCAGTTCATTGTTGATTCATTTTACCATTCACTAATATACAAGTTGCATGGCTTGTGTGATTGTGGATTCTTGTGTCGTCAATGTAAAATCAAATACATTTGTTAAAAAGCATAAGAAAATTGATTGGTGTTTGGAAAGTTTTTTTTTGCAGATAAACTGCTATATTTACTATCACGTGATGCATTGAATCCTACAGAAAAACACCTCATTTTAAAAAACTTCCTCAGTTTTCAATCTAAGGACTGCTTAGGAAAAAGGGGTACTGTAAATAGACTTTAATTGATTTCTTTTGAAAGCTACAAACTCGATCGATCGGTTTTCCATTTGAGCCTATTTTCTGTGACTCTGGCTTAATTTCTTTCTTTTAAGTTTCATTGCATGATTGCAAATGATTGCACATCTTTATTCGAATTAATATTTTGAACTTTGAGTTTCTTGTTTGTGGATATCCCTTAGCACACCGGGGTTCGGGTAGTCTGAGTCGTCGCTGCGGTCGTCCCTCCACAATCGCCCGTATCAACGCAAATTTCTGCCACACTCTTTCCTTAAAAGAAAAGATTTTTAAGCAAAAATAAAGCAACTTTGCAAATTGCAATTCAACTTTTCATTTTGAAGCGCTTTGGATCTTTACGGTTAGCCGATATCCCGAGCCGAGCAGATCCAAACCGCTTCGAAATCAAAAGTTGGTGGGTTTTTGCGCTGCTTTTTTCCAGGCATTAACTTTGCTCAGGTTTAATATTTTTTAAATCGGAAATCAGATTCGAAAAGCTAAGGCAATGAAAATACGGGCTCCCAGGTTCTGTATCTAAAAGACACTTTATTTATTGTTTTTGATTGGGTAAAGTTTAGCGAAGACATCCCAATAGCCGCCCGGCTAAACGTAAAGGGCCAACGATTTCACTAAAGGCCACTCAAATCTTTACAAATAGACTGTTTATGAATAAATGCACTAAAATTGTATTTGTAGGCCTTTTCAGGAACTTTCCATGACCCAAAAACACTCACCATTTTTCATATCATCGTATACGACATCGAAATTTCTCATCACCCATCCAACACAGGTTTTAGTCACACAGTATCCATAAAATTGTCCCAATGTTTGACAATCCTACAAAGGAGTTCTTAAGGTAAACATTATTTGATTTAAGTGAAATAATGAATACCTAGATAGTTGGCTTTTGATTTGACTAATGAAACTCACAAAAAGTAGCTCATCTTCGACTTTTGATACGCTCTCGCCCTTTTTGTAGTGATATAGGGCCTGAAAATTTTCTGATTTGGGTAAAATGATTTTAAAAAAGATCGATCTGACCAACTAAAAAATATGAGTTTAGAAGAGACAAAAGCGTTTAATAAGTAGAATATAACAGATTCAGCTATTTAGCCCTGAACACCTTCGCGACAAAGCCTTTTTATTAGAAATCTCTAAGAAACAATTATGGTAATTTTAATATCAACTGATATCTAAAAGTGTCTATTTTTAAATATTAAAAAGAATTTTTTTTAATTGATTTAGAAGAAAGTTATGCAGTTTTCAATGCAAGTGTATCAATTTCAAGTCCGGTATAGCTATCCTAGTGGCGATCAAACGCAGGCAAACTCGGCAACAATCATACTCGCCTTGTATACTATTCTCTTCTCCACTCGGCTACCAGGGCACATTTGCTAGTCGAACAAATAGCCTTTTATGGAAATTACAAAAACTTTTATCTCAAATATTGGGTTGGTGAATTGAAAACTGCGGGACTTTGAACTAAAATTTATTCAACATAAAACCATCAATTCATTCCAAATAATTTCCATTATTATTGACGACTTCTACCCATTTTACAGGCAATTTGCGGATTCCTCTTTCGTAGTAGGATTTTGGTTTGTGTGTGAGACAAGTGTGAGACTCAAAAATGGAGGACTGGAGATGTCCCAGTTTGAGCACTTTCTTCCAAAGAAACCCATTTTGGTGTCAATGAAAAAGTTGTAGAGAATCAAAAATTAGGCTTATAGCCAAATTTCCAAAAAGATACACTTAGTAGTTTCCCTTAAAATGCAAGTTTTGTGAAAATTCGTAAATTTAGCATTCCTTGAAAACCAGTTTTTGAATCGTTCTGAAAATTTGGATATAAGCTTGATTTTTGATTCTCTACAACTTTTCCATTGACACCAAAATGGGTTTCTTTTGAAGAAAGTGCTCAAACTGTCACATATGACAATAGTTTTCAATTCCTAGTGGGAATCAAACGCAGGCAAACTCGGCAACAATCATACTCGCCTTGTATACTATTCTCATCTCCACTCGGCTACCAGGTCACATTTGCTATTCGAACAAATAGCCTTTTATGGAAATTACAAAAGCTTTTATGTCAAATATTGGGTTGGTGAATCGAAAAATACGGGACTTTGAACTAAAATTTATTCAACATAAAACCATCAATTCATTCCAAATAATTTCCATTACCATTGACGACTTCTACCCATTTTACAGGCAGTTTTCAATGCAAGTGTATCAATTTCAAGTCCGGTATAGCTATGTACCGATCATAAATCGCCAAGCGATGTTTCATCATCAAATTTCTTTGAGTTTTTTTTTGATTCATTAATTTGATTATGAAGCGTTGCTTTTTTTGAGCAAATAAATGTTGACCGAACCTGGTTCATCACGAATTCACACATGCTGCATGGAGAGATCGTTTGTTGCTGAAAAAGTAATAAAAAAATCATTGATTGCAGTTTTTCCCGAGAGCTACTGTCCCAAACCTCTGAAATTTTTTCGACGGGCAGTAGAGTTAGTAACTTTTTAGTGATTTTTTACGGGTTTTAGGTGGAAAACGTCCGCGCTTTTTCTCGCTACTTTCTTGATCATTAATCATTTTTAACTAAAATTAAGTTGAATTTTTGACAAAACGTCATTGAATCACTCCACTCAGATTCTCGAGATCTTCGAAACTACATACAAATGAGCCGATCACTGATTCTCGCCCTTTTCTGTCTGTTCAGCATCGCTTTGGCGGTTAGTATGCGCTTTAATTATAGACGTATACCAGGCCCGTATCCAGAAATTGACTCCGAAGAGGGCGAAACTCCAACATTATCTCCCGGACATCAGATTTTATCACATAATGGCTGATATAATGTCTGGGATTTAATGTCGCGGAGATATAATGTCCGGTAACCGTGCTATTTTAGTTAAAAATGATTAATGATCAAGAAAGTAGCGAGAAAAAGCGCGGACGTTTTCCACCTAAAACCCGTAAAAAATCACTAAAAAGTTACTAACTCTACTGCCCGTCGAAAAAATTTCAGAGGTTTGGGACAGTAGCTCTCGGGAAAAACTGCAATCAATGATTTTTTATTACTTTTTCAGCAACAAACGATCTCTCCATGCAGCATGTGTGAATTCGTGATGAACCAGGTTCGGTCAACATTTATTTGCTCAAAAAAAGCAACGCTTCATAATCAAATTAATGAATCAAAAAAAAACTCAAAGAAATTTGATGATGAAACATCGCTTGGCGATTTATGATCGGTACATAGCTATACCGGACTTGAAATTGATACACTTGCATTGAAAACTGCCTGTAAAATGGGTAGAAGTCGTCAATGGTAATGGAAATTATTTGGAATGAATTGATGGTTTTATGTTGAATAAATTTTAGTTCAAAGTCCCGTATTTTTCGATTCACCAACCCAATATTTGAGATAAAAGTTTTTGTAATTTCCATAAAAGGCTATTTGTTCGACTAGCAAATGTGGCCTGGTAGCCGGATACCAAGAATTGTTTTTGCACTTGATACTGAAGTTTTTCCAATGAGATCACTTCAGTGAAGCTGTCATGCAAAAACATCTTTGCGATGCGCTTGACCCCTTGAAAAGAGTTCACGAGGTTTTGCCCTGTTTCTCGACTTTCAACCACCTCTACCGGCTTCCACGATGGCTCCCCTTGACTGCATGCTCGAATAACGAATGATTTAACAAAGACGACTCTCTGCGTAAATCTTTGACAAAATAAGTTATCTAACTCGCATCGAAATGTGTCCTTTTCAAGCGCGATGCCGATTCTGCCGGTTTGCTTTATTTCATGGTCGTCATCTTCAAACTCTTCAGGCATAATTTCAAGCAAGTCGATCGCTTTCCCCAGTGGTCCATTACGGAGAATCCAATGTCGGGTCGATCGATTCACTCGCAACAACTTTATTGAGCTTCCTCCATCTAATTTCTCAAAAGCTTTTCCGACCATTTCGCCTGGTAGAGCAGATAGGAGAGAATATTTAGAAAAAGGCATAACTGGGAAAGAGTTTGAATAAAAGAATGGTTGATACCGTTGAGTCAATCCATCATTAGGCAGATGATATGTGAGTGAATTGATTAGCTGATGGCTTTCTTGTGTAATTGAATATCCTTTTCTCAGCGCCTTTTTCTATCCAATCCCTTTCTACGTTTCACTCCATTCTTCATTTTACCCAATGGCAATTTGTTTCATAATGTTTTGCTTGATTTTGACTTTCCTCCACCTATCAAACCAAGGCAGATTAGGAAATTTGCATAGCAAAATTTGCACATAAATTCTGGTAAATGCGATCGCGACGACTCAGATTTGGGGCCATAGCTTTTTTCCGAGAATACTTTTGAGGTTAATATCAGTTTGAGCCACTAAAAATCGGTACAACTTTTTCTTAATTAATTCTTAATGAAATCGGAACAACTTAATGGGCCTTAGTTGTTTCTTTTAAACTTAAATACAAAAGCAACGTATTGGGATTATGTAAAGATTGTTTTAGAAATTTAATTTAAAGCCTTAATTTTCGTAGTTGTGAGAGAATTAGGAGAAAATAGAATTGTTTGTTTCAGGCCGAGTATGGTTTGAGATGGCGAGAAGACTGGCCAACGGGAAAGTACAACTGGTTAAATTCCCCAAAAAACAAAGAAGATAACGGGAAATTTCTCCAATTCGAAAAGTTTGATTTATCAATTGAAATCTAACAAATCCTCTTGTTTACAGAAAAGAAATCATTCGAACATTCCCAGAACCGAAAGGAAATAAAGGAAAAGAATCGAAAAAACGTTTTATCAAGAACGGTGCGCCGTAGTGAACTTGATGGTTTCGGTAGAACTCTGATTTCAATAAAGATTTTCGGGAAGTTCGTTTTCAAAGAAATTGTCTCTAATTGAGACGCCGAAAAGGATGAAATCTGAATGTAAATTCATGCTGATTGATAATAATTATGCCATTTTTGTATTGCTAAACAGAATTTTCATTTAGCTATTTGCATTTGAATAATTTTTCGAATTTAATTTTCAAATTTTTCAACCAAATCTTTGTTGCATGCATTTTTTTGATCTTATCATTGAGATGAAGAATACTCTGATCGAATCAATCATTTCTGAACAAATTTGTACTTATATTACAAATGTTTTTGTGATATTTTATTCTCTGAGAATGAAAAAGTATCATTTTGAATTTATACATTGATTTGAAAAATATGTGTGATCCTCTTGCTAATGCCCAATCGTCTGGATGCTTCTCTTGAAGATACCGCTACGAGGCAGCATGCAGCATCTAAAAAAGTGTTTACTTTAATCAATTTGATCAATTAAATTTTCATTTTATTTAGAAAATTCAATAAATATATTACCTAAATCAAAGACAAAGAAAGACAAAGTAAGAAAGACAAGAGAACCAAATCTACAACGAAAGGACAAGGACTATTTTAAAAAATTGAAACCTCAAACCCCAATCTTAATGTTTAAAGAGTAAATCTATTGAAATTACTTAAAAAAAACTCAACTTTACATCAACTTTCTTAATCATAGATGTAACCTAATGGCTACAGATCTAAAGAGAAATCTCAGCGCAATTAAAACATTACACTTTATTGACAAGAGATCATGTAGCAACTTTTATTCAAGTCTTGTCGAATGTTTCAAATGAAAAACGGTACAATTAGTTTATCTCCAAATCACATAAATTGCTATGAATTTGCATTAAAATGAAAAGAAACTCTCGTTCCCCTTTTAGAGCATTGAAGGTTTGAGACTCTTCCAAAATGAGAGCACTGGCTTTTCCTCCATTTTACGCAAATTTGTCGGGGAATAACCTAATGTATCGCAAAAAAACTCACTGAATATTTCTTCCACCGCCACACGAGCCACGTGTCACAAAGCCGCTACAATCTTGATAAGACATCGATGCAATCGCCGTAACAGGCTTCCACCACCGGACCAAGTGATAGAAGAGTGAGACAGACAATGGTCAAGACAAGGAGGGTCTTCATCTCAAATAAGACTAGTTTTTGTAATGGTTATCGTCAATGTCAGTGGCTTTCATTATATATGAACGCGCTTCTGTTGCGCTTTTCTTTCTTTCTTTCTTTTCATCATTTCCTTCCTCCAGCTCTCACTAACTATGCACTTTCTTTCAGAATATCATTCTTGATGTATTTTCTTTCGACAGACATTTGCGATTTGTCAAAAGCCAAAAGGCTGACCACTTTTTACAAGAGCACTAAGAAATTTATCGGGTTTTTCTTAACTATACATTTTGGCTCCCCTTTTCCCTGATCACTTTTTACAAGGTCATCTGAAAGAAATTTTTGGGATTTTCTTTCGCAAGGTTTTCCTTTACTATGCGACTTTTGTGTCCTTTTAGCTGATCACTTTTTACAGCGCTATAAAAAAATTAGACAGAAAAACTCTGTCCTTGAGTCTTTGGACTAATAGATAAGCACCAAAATTGCCTTAAGCTTTTCTCGTATAAAAGTATTCTCTTTTTTGAAAGGATTTCGTCTTCTTAAAGGATTGAGGCTCTCCCCTACATATACAATAAATAGCTTTTATGTTTTAGCAGTTACGATTCCCGTTTAATAAACTCTGCAATAATTGTCAAAGTTATTTTTTGTTATATTTTATTTGCTGTTTGTTGTTTCTTGCCTAGAGAGCCTTCCTTGCTTATTGAATGAAATATGCTAGATGACACTAAAAAAACTTAGAAACCAAGAATAGCTCTTAAAATTCTTTCAGAAATGTTTCAAATTTTACACAAAAAATTACTATTTGATAATTTGAGGCAACAAGAAAGATGAAGTTGTTGCTGTTGTTACCGATGATTTGCGTTCTTCTCATCTTATCCGATGCCATGACTTCGACTTCAAATAAAGAAGAGATGACAATGCTATCAAAAATAGGTAAAAAAATCAGCGAAAATATGATAAATATGAAGTTTTTGTTTCCATTTCGTGAAATTTGAAGGCTGAAAGCCTCACAAGCTTGCACTTCATTTCGTTTCGCGTTTTTGGAACCTGAAAAAACAAAAGTTGTGTTCCAAACCCTGCGATTAATGAAAATTCAATCCAACCAATGACCAATATCTATTTTTACATCAAAATCTCAGTTTCACCTTTGGATTTGTTCGCCGATAGAAGAGACAAGTTTTTAGGGTTAAAATTCAAATACAAAATGCTCTATTTTTGTAGCATAAAGCAAATTTAGGATAGGTTTGGTGTTTCGATATCTATTTTTACAATGGCACATTTCAGACGCTAAAACACGTGTCAAGAGACAATGGTGGGGCCCGGCTATTAGCGGAGCATGGTACGCCGTCAAGAACTTCCATCCGCGTGGCTACGGATCGTGGCATGCTGTATTTGGTGGTTAAGAGGTCCTTTCCTACAAAAGAGATAAAATTCTTTTTCTTTTCTCATCAAATCCATTTCAATTTCTTATTTATCTGTTTGAGATTTATAAAGTAATCATCGAAACAAGACACACAAAAAATATTTTATTTTGAATTGAGTGAATGTTCAAACTTAATGGTTTTTAGTTTTATAAAAACAGATAACAAAAAAATACAGCTTGTTTTGATGATTTTTCATGATCATCAGGACACGTTGTACATATCATTGGCGTATTTCAAAAATACATTTATTGAAAGCCAATAATGTGATATAAACAAAGGATAATAAGAAATAAAAAGAAATAAAGGTCTAAACACACAATTTTTATGGCACTGCGGCCGTCGTTACCCATATTATCCCTATTAGAGTGTGCTCCTCGTGAGTAAGTAATTACTCGAGTAAATTTGTATGAGTAATTGTCGAGTAATGCGTTTTCTAAAAAGTGCGCCGGCGCGAAAAAAATATAAAAGCAATTTTTTGCGCAGACTTTTCAAAAAATCAGTTTTTATATTGGAAGGGAATTTCCCACCAAATCAGCTAAACGGCTGAGTATCTTGAAAAAGCGTCGTATATAATGCGGGACTCGTGATTTTTGCGTCATTTTTTGCAATAATTTTTGCTAAAAGTACGGTAATTTTTTCCCAAGTGTGCGTTTTAAAAAACTCATTACTCGCGAGGAACACACTCTAATCCCGATTCTCCCTATTACCCAAATGTTGTGAAAGAAAAAACCCACTTGGTGAGAAAAAGAAACATTTTTATCTTGCCAGCGTGATTGAACCCTCGACCTTCCGCTTAAGAGACAAGACTCTCAACCTGTCGGTTAGCTGGCCAGCTGGTATTTAAAAACAAATTTCTATTTCTAGGCCTTGGTAATAGAGAAACAGCCTTAGACATGGTAATAAAGCCTTAACCAACTTTAAAAACAACAACAACACGACAACTTTAACAAACGTTATCACTTTATTGCTGTTTAACAAGAGCAATCAAAGTGATAACGAGACAAAAATTGTCTCATATGAAATGAGTGTTTTCTATGAAAACAAAAGTCAGTCCTCTTATCCCTTGAGATCTCCATAATGGCAAAGTTTGATAGGAAAAATTTACTCGAATCTTTTATTTTAAAGAGCAATTGATCGACCCTGTGACGTGAAAAGTCTGAGTTGATAATTCTGTGAGCAAGTTTGTGCAAAAACCTTGTACATGCCATCGGCGTATGTATCGTATTTTTCATTCCAAAGTCTTTTTGGATTATTTATTAACAAAAAGCCTAACAAAACACATCGAAAAAGCGGATAACAAAAAAAATACAGCTTGTTTTGATGATTTTTCATGGCCATCAGGACACAGGACTTCGCATAGAATTCATTGGAGATTTCAATGGAGATTTCAATCAAACAAAGAACGATTCAAAATGACAATGAAAACCGACAAAACAAATAACAATGTTTTAAATTTTGGAGTTTAGAAGAGTTTGCTATAAAAGGTTGGAGGTTTTCGAGGATGACAGAGGTCAAGTTTTCAAGCTCTATCTTCTTTTGAAGATTTAGTTATCAATTATTTTATTAAATTCATATCTTTGCTTTTTTTCATCCACTCAAATGCAGATGATATAATTATTGTTCTACAAAACAAAAATTGTTTATGGTAGAAAATTTGAGTTTTCAGTACAATTTTAAAGATATTTTAACTCCTTTGATTTCCATTTTCACTAACTTTATTGTTAAGCAAATCTAGTTGGGTAGAGGCAAAGTCTAGTTCTTATTTTATTTTACCATTTTGGAATAAATTAGGAACCGTATTGGGACCGTACTGGAATAAAATAGGAGCCGTACTGGGACCGTCTTGGAATTGTATTGGATCAAAATAGGAACCGTATTGGAACCGGATTTGAACCATATTAGAACCTTATTGGGATCGTCTTGGAATCGTATTGGAATGAAATAGAAAGCTAGTTATTTTAGTTCTTTTTCCTTTTGACTGGCCCAAGCTTTGTCACCGATTTCATTTCGTTGTTTTCTATCAGATTCTTGAGCTTTTTCGGTCTCCACATTCGTTTAGAAACCATGCGATCCCTCTTTTTCATCGTCTCATTTCTCATTGCATTCGGTGCCTGTCAAGAGGGAATATTCGAGGTGGCCAAAGCTGTATACGAAATTGTGAAGGAATCACAAGAGAAATATCATGTTGTTGTGGTGAACAATTGCTCGAATTCGATCTTTTTGAAGTGTGCATCGGGGGATAATGCAATTGAGGGAAGTGGATCGGATAGTGATGATTGGTGGACATTGCAGAGTGGCGATGTGAGTGCGAGATCTTATGAAATTTTCCCATAAACAAACCATGACTTACGACTAGACAAACCTATTCCGCTTGATTGGCATTCAAAATATAATAAAATACATACTACTATGCTCGTCATATTTCTTGTAATAGAGGCTCTATTAGAGGGGGGCTTCTATCACAGGAAATACGGTAATCGTATTATCTAAGAAATCTGACGATTACCTAGGATAGGTGCATAAAAGAAGAAAAGACTTTGGGGGATTCAATTGGCTAGTTGAATATTATAGATTCCAATCCTTCATTTCAGGCATTGGGCTGGAGCTTCGGACAGGAGTTCGGCGGACGAACGTGTTTCTGGTGCTACGCCAACAATAATGGGGCTGATGCGAGAAGTTCGGGCAATTGGTACATCCATCAAGATGTGTGGAGTGGGGGAACGTAAGTGTTTTGGACTCAAAAATCTCCAGAACTTTAAGAACTTGCCAAAAAGAGCAAAGACCCAAAATATGTCATCGGGTAGTCTATTAAAGCAATGTGGATTGCAATTTGAGCCATTCTATCTTGGGAATTTGACAAGCTTTGAAAAATTTCAGTGGAAGCTGCGACAATGCACCAGCGAACATCGATTTATACGATGATGTGACATCATGGCAAGTTCGAGACGATGGAATGTACAGTGATCAATGTGATGGATGCAATTCGGGTGATCCCGAGAATCCGATCTTCGAGCAATACAGCTCATGGGGACCGTCACCGAATTGAAGTGATTCTATCAAATAAATCTTTTTGCAATTCTCAAAAACCTCAAAATTTCGAACAAATTTTCTTTACGATCAACAAAAATGTTTACATTCTGGTTCATTTAAAATTTGAGAAGGAAACGTGAAGTGAAGACCTCAAAGAATTATGCGATTGCCCGATTATTAGGTAAAGAAAAAACTTTGGGTGTCTTCGTTCATTATTCCTTATTCCCGCGTTCACTTTATGTTTTCGTGATTGACAAAGAAGACTTTTTGGAATCCTGTACATGAAAAATATCTATTAACCCCTACTAAAAGCAGTCAACTGTATTGTTTTGAGCCGTAAAAAGGCTTATCCGAATCCTGAAAAGTCTTGAGCGAAAATGAGGTCCAAGACAAAAGCCAATTATATCCTTTTCCTTTGAACTTTTTAGACCTTCAAGTTCCAAAAACCCGAGAACAATATAACTCCAATCTTTAAACCTCAAAATGAAAAAAATAGAACATTATGTGGACTTTGCCAGGTTATCGATATGAGAGAACATTAGAAAAATCCTCAATTTGCATTTCATCAGATTTTTATGATTTGGAGTTTTAGGAGTTGATGAACAGATTCTCAGCTCAAATGGCAAAGATAAAAGTGTAATGCTCTTTTTATGTTTTTACACCTTTTTTGCTTTTTTTCGACTGATAACACTGTGACTCATTTTTTCCTCAGAATCGTTTCCATTTTATTTGAATTGAACCTATAGCATCCTTTAATTGTCTCAATATGTTGACGCTTTAAAAAAATTGTTTTCAGAGATGAGTTCGACAAAGTATGCCAGACTGAAATCTTCGAATGGAACTATTGTTCTAGCATATGACGTCATTGGAAAAGAGGTTTTGTTAATGTCACTATAAAAACCATTGAACGTTTTGATTTTTGGATCGTCCTTTCTTTTTGATTTTACACAAAACTAAACCATAACTTTTTTCTCAATAAGAATTGAAAGGTTATCTATTAGGTTGGTGCAGATGAAACTTCCGTTGGAACCATAAACAAAATTTATTATAAAAATCCTAACACAGAGCCTCAATCCAAAAGATATTCGCCATCATTATCAATGACTCTTTGCCATCTTCCACGCAGAGAATGGATGCCCTTTTCGAAGAACTCGGACAACTGCGACTCGAAGAAGTTGGACACCCAGTGGCACCCATTTTCCACACCGATTCGTCTTACCAATTGCGTGCAAATGGCGGAGAATGGTTGTATGGTCGCAGTCAAACAGCTCTGCAAGCTCCCGAGTTGTTTGGCATGGATCCGATTCGATAGCGTTCTTCAACTTATCGTTGTCGACAATTTGAGGTGGATCCCCGCGTTTTTCGTCTTCCAAACTTTCATCACCGTCTCGGAAGCGCTGAAACCAAGTCCGGCATTGACGTTCGGACAACACGTCATCGCCGAATGCTTTGGACAGAGCACGATGAGATTCCGCAGCCGTTCTGCCTTGTTTAAAATCATACAACAAGCAAACCCGCACTCGAAATTTTTGGTCAACCATTTTCTAGAAGCTAAAAATTACTTCAAATTAAGTAAAACGCATAAGTCTTAGATATCAAAAGACGCGCAAAGAGACGCTCTTTCAGATAGACAAATATCTTCAATAAAAACTTTTATTAGGTCCAAAATATAAACAAACAAGTGTGACGCAAGTTTCATCTGCACCAACCTAATATATGTTACGTCCGAATCTGAGGAGTAACGCATTAAAGCGCGCGTTTAGAGAGAACCACAGCACCTAAAAAAATGGGAAGCCATTATTTTTGTAGATCGTCCGTGACTTTGGTTATTGATGTGCAACTTGTAAAGCAATATCTCGCTTCTCGCTTCCCTAAAATTCAGGAGCGTCTCCTCAGATTTGGACGCTTAACCCCAAAAACTTCTTTTTCTCTTAAACTTTTTAAAAAGAGTTTTTTCCACATGTAACTTTACTTTAAGAAGCTACACAAAATTCTCTACAAAACGAGCCGTAGCACATCAAAATTGGATCAGTATTTCCCAAAATCTCGATTTTCAGTTTTTTAAGATTTAAAAAATTTCTATTAGGTTGTTCGAACATAAACGAGCGTTTTAGTCGTTGACAAATTTATCTTAAAAACAGAAACCAAAATATATTCACCATTATTATTGATTACTTCTTGCCATCTTTTGCGCAAAGAATTGATGCCGCTCTTGAAAACTCAGCTGGCTGTGACTCGAAAAACTTGGCGACCCAATTTTGAATATCTTCACGGGTTTTGAATTTCTCGTTAGCCAAAAGGTTTTGCATCGACCGGAATAAATGGTAATCTGAGGGAGTCAAATCAGGAGAATACGGCGAATGTAGTAGAAGCTCCCATCCTAGATTCTCCATTTTTTGCTGAGTGATTTTTGCAAGATCGGGTCTAGCGTTGACATGGATGAACTTTATCTTTGATGTGTCTACTCCTTGATGAATGAGGGCTTCATTGACCCGATAAAGTTGCTGTTTTTAGAGGTCTGATGTGACTGTTTGGCCGGGTTGTAGAAGCTCGAAATACACAAGGACCTTGTTATTCCACCATACTAAAAACATGACCTTTTCCCTATGAATGTCCGGTTTCACGGTCGGATTTGGCCGTGCTCCTGGCCCTAGCTATTGCCGTTTTCGAATAGTACTATCGAAATGGATCCACTTCTCATCTCCAGTAGCGAGAGAATCAAAAAATCCATGATCTTTAGCGATGAGAATTCCGGCAATAGCGACCCGTGAAGCCTTGTTTGCACTGCTTAACTTTCCATTTCCCGCATCTGATCGTCTTTCCAATGGCGTGGAGATGCTCATCAATAATAGAATTTGAACATAGAAACTGTTGAGCAAGTTCACGCGTCGGTGTTCATGGATCCAATTCGATTGCAGCCCTCAAAATATCGTTGTCTACCGCTTGAGGTCGACGAGAGTGTTCATCATCCTCCAGACTTTCATCACCATTCCGAAAGTGTTGGAACTAGGCTTGGCATCGGCTTTCGGACAATACATCATTCCCAAATGCTTTGACCAAATCTCGATGGAATTTCGCGGCTGTTTTGCCCAGTTTGAAATCGTAAAGTAGGCAGACGCGAACGTGGTGTTTGAAGTCGGCCATCTAAAGCAAGAAAAAAGATCTTAAAAATAAGAAATTATCCGTTTAAAAAGATTCCAAATATACACAAGATAACGCACTTTTAAATACAGAAAGACATGTTTTAAAAGCTTCTCTCACAACAATACGTTTAGCAATGCTTGTTTATATCCGAACAACCTAATAGTACACCAATTTTTTTTTTTCTTTAGGATAGTTTTGTATAGCAAAAAATTCTGCATCGAACTGTTCATAAACCATCAATATTAGATCAGTAGGGAGCGAGAAATCGAATCTCTTCAGACTCGAACGGAACATAAATAATAATTGAAATGGATTTTATGCAAGTTTCATCCCGATAAGGTGCTCAGTTTTTGATCTTTTATTTCGATTTTTATGAGTACAATGAAAGCCGATTTTTGGCAATTTTCTGTACAAAAATCAAGTCATCAAATTTGCTTTCATTGAATGAATTCAAAAGCAATTTGAACTAATAATTTAAAATTATTAATAAAGTTAAATAAACATAAATATGAACTCTAAATTTTTAAAAGTTTGCAAAATAAAACTTGTTCATTCTTCGGGATACATGAGATTTTTGAGAATGATCAAATTTTCTGAAAACTTCTAAAACCCAATTGAATAGCGAAAAAATTGTTTAAATGAAACTTGATGTGATTTGATGTAATTGATGCCTAATCCCGGCTAGATGAGGGGAAAACTTGAGGAAGCCTCTAATGCGCTATTCAACAGCATTGAAATAGCGCACGTTTTTCTGGTGATCAAGTCTTTCATATCTCAATTTTATAATGATACATGGGAGGTCGAGCTGCTATCTCCTGAATCTTTGGAGACAACTATACGAGAGGACGATGAAATCGAAAGCTTTACGAATGTTCAAAGTTTGTTTTTTTGAGAATTTTCGAGACTCACAAAAGGGGATGCTATTAAGTTCGGTATAAGTTATTTTCAAAGTTGACCCAGCAAAATGTATTTTTGTCACCAAAATGAACAGTTCTATAAAATTGAATAATTATGTTTCTATGGTCCATTTAAACAAAAACAATTCAGAAATGAAACCCACTTTGAGCGCCATAGAGACAATAATAAAGGAAATCCTTGAGCCAAGTAACGAAACGAAAAACTTGGTGGCAAATGCCCAGGAATTCTTGAACCAATACTCGGGCATTTTTCAAGGAGCCGCCGACGTAGCGGAAAGCATTTCTCGTTCGTCGCGGAAGGTATCCTTGAACAATATACATTTTATGTGTTATGAACATGTTAAATTTAGGATAAAAAAGCTATCGGTCTAACATCTCCTCCCCCATCTTTTAAATACATACCTACGCATTCGGTAGTGACGAAGGGGAATAAGGCTGTTGAGCAAAAAAGGTAGGAGACTTGATTAATCACGTTAAAACTTTAGAACTATCTAAAATTATGGAAAATTTATTTCAGCGAGATTTCCCCCGTTAAATTATTAAAAGATGTTTTGGATCATCGTGTTGTCATCGAAAACCTTCACCAAATAAATAAGTACGTATATATAGGGTGACCCAAAATAACTTGGACTAACTTGGACAACCGTTTGGAAAAGTGACTCATAAACACCGATTTTATTCTGAAAGTGCCAAGTGTTATATAGAAAAATGAAGCCCTTCATTTTGGCTACATTTATCTACCAAAAGCTCCTAACTTGAAGGTATACAGCTTATTCGAACCAGCTCTCGAAGGGACTCGAGATTTTTTACAAAAAGCTTTTGGTATTTATTTTATGAGAAAGTAGCATTTAATGTCAGTTAGTAACAATGAAAACAACACCTAACACTTTTGCTAATCTATTTTTTCCAAAATTTGAGTCGGTTGGGACGATTGGGCATTAGCAAGACGGGCATTAGCAAGAGGACGATTGGGCATTAGCAAGAGACATTAGCATTGGGACGATTGGGCATTAGCAAAAGGATCACACATATTTTTGAAATCAATGTCTAAATTTGGAAGCTCGGACGAAAAAGTGAAAAATTGCGTATTTTTTGTGATTGAATTCCTCTGAGCATCTTTGTGCATGAGCTGTTTTAGCATTTTAAATATTTTTACTGCAAAATTTTAAGCACAAACACTGAGAATTTGTTTCAGAAAACCTTTTCCGGTTGAAGATTTTCCATGAAAAAATCGTTGAAAATAGCAGCGGCCCTTCGAGTGCTTGTTAAATAAGCTGTATACCTTCAAATTAGGAGCTTTTGATAGATAAATGTAGCCAAAATGAAGGGCTTCATTTTTCTATATAACACTTGGCACTCTCAGAATAAAATCGGTGTTTATGAGTCACTTTCCCAAACGGTTGTCCAAGTTATTTTGGGTCACCCTGTAGTTCCTCGCATTGAGACAAACTATGCAAACTCAGAGATTCAAACGTCAATTATAAATCACTTTTGGTAGAAAACCTTCGAAAGAGGAGCAATTGGAGGCCAGAAAATGGAAGGTAAACAAAGAAAGGAACTTGTTAAATATATTAACGAGGATATTTCAGAGTTTTAAGCGATATTCCTCGCTTGGAATCATATTTTGAGCGATCGGAGCTAGATGAACTAAAAAAACAGATAAAGTGATGCCATTTAACTGAATTTTCATGCTGAAATCTTTTTAAAGAGACGAAGAGGAGAAATTTTCGACGCTGTTGACCTCGTTTTCTCGGCTCTCCGAACTCCTCTTTGTTTACGAGTCTCTTGATGAAGTGAGAAGTGAGGCCGAGGTTAGCTTGCCGAAGTGACAATTTTTCTACTTCTCAACTTTCTTTAAATCAAGTGCATACTTTGATTCATTTATTAAAAAAACTTTCTAACAATAAGAAGTTTCCACAATTCATTCAAATACTTCGCTAAACGTCGAAATATTTTCCCATTTTTTCGAAAACAATAAACCTATGGCCGTTGGATTCCGGTCAGGTCAAGGCCCCCACTATCCACTAATCGTAGCAAAAGCTGGGGACAGCATGCAGTCTTTGGATGGAAGAAAAGTATGAACCCCAAAGAGAACGGGGCTTTATGCTGGTTAGAAAGAGAAATTAACATCATAAATACAACGTATATTTCAGATTTGCAAAGAAACTGTGCTTACGATAGCGGAAAGGATTGTCGCTTTACAAGACAAGTTCGAGTCGAAGCGTCAAGTGGCCGTTATCAAGGACAATGTATGCATATATCAATCAAAATATTCCACAAAAATCCTATTTAGCAAATGTTTGCCGCATTGCTCTTGAATGTCAAAGTTTTACTAGTACGCCACATTCAGCAACTCGAGGACAATTGGGGGATTGATAGTCATTGGTTTAAGGCAAAACATTTCTTCGTTCAAAACTCAATCACTCAAGAAGACACAAAACTGGGCAAGTTATGAGAAAAAAAATTATATCTATTATTGGGTTACTCGTTGTAAGCTGAAATCGAATTCTTTTGAAAACCTCACGAACCCAAAACTTTTGTATCATTGGACTTTCACGTCATAAAAAATAGAACTTTTTGAAACTTGAGCTTAACATATTTTTTAAATTTAGGCTGGTGGCAACGTTTAAGTGATCAATTGCCGAAATCTGATCAGGACTTGCTTATTCTAGATTCCAAATCCAAGGAAACCACTTCAACTCAAACTCAATTGGACCACTATCGACCACCTTTAAAAGATACGAGTTTAAACAAAGAACTTCAAAGCGTTTACAAATATTTTAAAGAACTTCAAGATTCTGTCAAAGGGACAAAGGTAGATTTAGAGATTCCTATTTCAGATTGATACATTTCTAAATAACAAATTTAGGAACCTGACATGATTGCAGCAGAAATAGCGCGCATTTTGAGCTCATTGGAAAATGAATGGAGAAAGTCCATAGCAACAGAAGAAGGGGTAGTTAACAAAAGCCAAATTTATAATGTTCACATCAAAATATCCATTGTTTTTCACAAAAAAATGTACACTCTGGTGTACTGATCAATATTTTTAAAAAGAAGCAAAGCTACGATTTAGATGGGTTACACTTCTCTATTATTTTATGCGATGAATAAAATTATCTATATTCGCAACGATTTTATGGCGAATTTATCTAATTGTTTCTCTTCAAAATGGCTTCTTGGCAAGTTTCCCTTGTATGTATTTTACAACACGAAAACCGAGTGCCAAAGACGCAATAAAACAAAATTAAAACCATTCTACCCTTTTTAGAGCCGAAAGATCTCTTGATTGGCTTCAATAAAGATTTTCAAATACCAACTTGGTGTCGAAATCAAGAGAATCTTGTATTGCGACAACTAGAAGACGAAAAGGAATTGGGGAATTTCCTCCATGGCGATTCGATATTCATTTCAGCTCCAACGCTATTCAAAGTTCGAGTTTGCATTTCAATTTTCATTTATTTCATTTCCAGTTGCGCAACATCTTTTTTTCAAAAGAAAAATTGAAAGTCTTTGCAAAACGAGTTGATTTGAATGGTCGAGGATATTTGATACGGGTGCAAAACTTTTAAAAGTTCAAGTTGGAGGCTTTTTGTGATTGGCACCGTCAAAAACAAACCTTCAAAGATTTCTTGTGTGAAATTTATTCATTTCATCACATTTTAGGTTGAAACGGGTGCAAAAACAGAACCAAAAAAAAAAAAAAAAAGATCGAAGAAGAAAAAAGGAAAAATCACGTCGGTTTTATAGCCGAGTTTTTTCTCGATTTAGACAATTCAGACAATTCAAAAGCGAAAAAAGTGAGTGACCGTTTTTTTATGGTTATTTTATTTATTTAGCTCTCCGGAAAGTGCAAAAGGTTTTTGATAACCGAGAAAAGCTACAAAGCTTGCGATTTTCTTCAATCTTTGAAATGTCGATTTGAGGCCTGTGAGAAAGAAATTGAAGAGCTCGACAAGTTGGATTGTGAGCTTGAAAACTCTTTGAGCAAACAAATCGACCATCTTCGCAAATTTCTCCATGAGATCGATGATGATTATAATGCGGCCAACTACGGAGACGAAAGCCTGAGCACTCCGTTGGAGATGGCAGAAAAGTTAAAAACGGATTTGGATGAGCGACAAAAATTCGGATTGAGTCCAATTGCTTTTCTTGACAAGGGGATTAAAGTGTGTCACCGGGAGCATTTTATCAGCATTTTGAGCAATATTGTAGATATCTGCAAAAGGCCCCAAGAAAACAAGGAAAAGCTGGATAAATACATCAAAACTTTAGAGCTCAATGATGTAGGCGAAGCTGAATGTAAGAAAGAAATGGAATCTTATCATGAAAACAAGCTCAAAGGCAATTTCGACGATCTGAAAAGAGATAGTGAAAGTTTGGAAACGTTTAACGAAAAGGAAATAGAAATTAGAAATTTCAAGGAACGGATTGAAATTTTGAGAAGATTCTATGAGAGAAGAAAGTTGGAAAGTATTTTGGCTGAATTCAAAAAATCTTTGGAAAAACTAAAACAAAAATCGATCCTTAAACCAATGAAAGTTTTAATTAACCAAGAAGTGGATCACGTGAGAGTGAAAGAAAATGAGAATGGTGAAAAGGAAATACTTCCGATTGAAATAAAAACCACTGGCCGGCAGGAATCGACAGAGGAAAATTTTCTGAAGTGAGCTTTTAAAAAGTTGTTTAATGTTGTTTATTAGGGTAAGTTGTCTTGAATTGAGAAAATTTCTGCTCTATTAAAAGCCGTTTTCAATCTCAAAAATAAAAATTTGCATGAAACATCGAAATTTTGTCGGCTTGAGTTGAAATTTGGTCAGAATATGCAGATTTCATAGCTCTTTCATTTAAAAAAGTTTTATTTTAGTTCTCTCGAATGGGCATCAAAATACGAGGGCTTTCAAATAAAATGGCTTGAGAATAGCGGATTGCGAAAAGGTGAAAATGAAGACGGAGAATTGACTGACAGGTGAGATTTATGGAATCAGCTGCTAGCATTAGAAGCTATTTTTTTGAAAACCCAAAATAATGATAAAGACGAAATCTTGCATCTTTAGATGTTTTGTTACCAAAATTGTTACAAAAGGGCCCTCTGTTCATGAGCAATCTTTACAGCAGAAAAAAATTGCTCAAGCGGATCATTGTCTGATGCATGTTTTCACCAAACTTTTCTTATCTGAAAAGCAAAAAAAATTTTTTGAGACAACAATTTTTCCGACAAAGTCTAATCCGACTCCGACAAAGGAAAATAATTGGAATTTCATTGATGAAGAAAAGGCCCCTCAATGGCTTCGGGATTAAAGGATTGCCCAAAATTTAAGCTTTTGGTTGTTCAATGCTTTTTCAAACTTTATAAACGACTTTGTTTATTTTGGCCTTTGGCTAATGCATTTTCGTTGCAATCATTAGCAAGAAAAATTTCACAACGGGATTCACAATAAGCAAAAAGAAAAGTTACTAGCCGGCTGTGGCTGTGGCTCCACTTTGAAGAATGACCAATAAATGTCGTCACGAAGATAGCTAATAAAAGTTATATATGTTAGTCATTTTACTTATACATTTATAAGTCTTGGAATGAAGAAAAACAAAAATGCTCATTGAAAAGTTTTGCCCGACGTATTGAAAGTTTATTTTCGGAAACGTTCAAAAACTAAAAGAAACACTGTAGTATAAAAAATATTGAGCTTTGATTACACTATATTTCATTATTTCTTGTATCTCAGCTTCCAGAAGTTGCCTTATGATCAATTGCTTTTTGTTATGTGAAATTCAAAAAAACAAACAAGATTTCTCACGGGATTTTTTGCTTTATTTTACAAATTTTACGTTAGTACAAATTTCTGAGTCCATCGTTTGCTTTTGTGTTTACAAATTGTCCAACTATGACTACGAGAAACTTCAAAGAATTGCTTATTTTGCTTTTTCCTTCAATGAATTGCTTCTTCCACTTGTGGCCACTTTTTTAATAGGTAAAGATCTTTCCTAAAGAAATTCTGATCATTTTTAGGATTAAACTCACTTCTCCTCTTTTTTGCTAACTTACAGCCAACGTTTTCAATGAAATCATTGAACCAACAACAGCCAATACAACTTTATTCGATCAAATTAGTAAAATATTCATTCAAGCAACTACATGTGTAACCTAAAAATTTAGACATTTGAAATTCTCTATTTCAGGCGGTGATTCTCAGTGTCTCGTTGTGCCCCATAACCGCTTTCTATTCTTTTAAAAATGATCGACTGCCCATACGATATTTCGATACACAAGGAAGTGGCCGTTATTTTAAAGATTGATTCAATGTGTAAAAAGTTTTTCTTTTCAAACAATATTTATTCACAGAAAAAAAAGCACGAATTTAGTTTAGGATATCAATTTTACGTTTTCAACTTCAAAGCTCGATCAATTTTGAGATAAAATTGAGCACTTTTCACAACAAGAATGGCCACCATTAAGGTGGTGAAAGCGAAAATGGCACCCGGAAAGGTCAAGGCAAAGAAGTATGAATAGAAACTTCGATTTACATTTGAGTTATCTGGGAGTTGAAAGTACTGAAGGCAAAAACAGGCAATGGAGACAAAATTTGTGAATATGTACAAAAAGGAAAAGAAGAAAACTAGACGAAGATAGAAAAGATCATTGATAAAGTGACTTGCTTTGCGAGAATTGAATCTTTCTCTACCAGTATTTGTCAATAAGTAGCTAATAATGGGTTTTTGATAAAAGTTATTCAATGAAGGGCGAGCTGCGAATAGCATGAGGATCAGGAGAATGATCGTGAAGGATTGATAAGTGATTAGACGATTGACTAAATCAGATGGTGTCGAAATCTTTGTTTCATAATGACCATCTTCATCGATCAAGTAGAAAACCCCATCGGGTGTGAAAAATAGTGAAGCAAGCAATGGAAATGTGGCAGCTGACCATATTAGAAGCGGTAGCACGAGGAAAAGACAAATCTTTGGGAAGACAAAATCGCGATTTGTTGAGTCAAAACCGTTAAAGAAGTACTGTAGAATTAGCCATTCTCTTTTTCTAAAGCTCACGGGTTTTAGCTTAAAATCAAAACCGAAGTTGGTTTTTTGAGAGAATGTTATCATTCTCTGTGACTTGGAATAATAGTTGCAAGCAAAGAACTTTTCATCAATCCTCATTTTTGTTTCAGTTTCCTCAATAATATCTGGATGATTATTGCTTATTGATTGCACAGGAGTGTGATCCCTCGGATTGATCAAAGCATTTGGTTCAGCTAAACCATCTACTTCACCCACTGCTGCTTGTTCTCCTGTAATTTCTGATCTTTGTGGAATGTTGTCGAAAGTTGAACCGACTGAAGTGCAGCCTCTAGGGCCATTTAAAAATTGGGTCCTTTGTGCTCCTTCAAATGAACCATCGATTTTACTCGCTTTTGTGACGAATTCTTGTTGCAGTTCTTGAAGTTCTTGAAGTTCAGTTCTACGTGGTTGATCAATATAAGATCTTTGTGGATTGTGATTGACAGTTGAAGTGCATGATTCAGGGCCATTCAGAACTTCAGTCTGTTTTCCAGATACTACATAATCTCCTATTTCATTCACTGTCATCACGGAAGCTCCCTGAATTGTTTGGTAATCAATCTGTAGTCCATTTGCCTGTGAGGGTACATTGAATGCCAAATTTCGCCTTGTTTGATCAAATGCGTCCATTCTTTGATGCCCAATACTATTCATAGCTTGTAACTTGTGGCTAGGTTGAGATAAGCCATCTATTTCGTTCATTGTCATCACGGAAATGCGCTGCTCATGATCAGAAACTTCGTTCTCAGAATCAATTATTCCTTGAGAATAATCCGTTTGTGTATTTTGTTCAACCATTTTCTGTTTAAGAGTTGTCGAGGTGGCTCTGTTTACAGTTTCAATTATGTTTTGCGTTGGACCATCAACTAAGACAACCTCGTTTGTTTGATTAGCTACATCTGTCTGATGTTGGATAAATGCATCGGATTGACACGCTGTATCTTCAGTTATCAACAATGTTTGGGTATTTTTAGAAGAACCTTGTTTCAAGCTTTGTAATGAATCAAATAGAACAACTTTTTCTGTTTGAACACTCACATCTTCGGTCACCAAAATAGTTTGAGTAGCTTCATCGATTGCAACAATTTCTACCGTGAAAGTACTTTGATCAATGCTTTGTGATGGACGATCAACTATAATGACATCCTCTGTTTGATTGGTCACATCTTTAGTGCTCAAAAAAGTTTGAATAGCTCGACTGATTGTTTTATTTTTGACCGCAACTGTAACAGGAGCTTGTTCAAAGACTTGTGACAAACGATCAATATTTATAACTTTTTCCGTTTGATTTCCTACATCCACCTGGTGTTTAGCATTTTCTTCAACTTGACAAGCCACGTCTTCAGTTATTAAAAGTGTTTGTGTAGCTAAACTGATTGCTTCATTTTCTATTATTGAAACGTCTTGATCAAAGGTTTGTGTTTCTTCATTGAAACTGCTTAAATCAATGCCATTTTTAAATCTGCTTGCCTTCAAAACATTCATTTGATCAGGGTTGCTAACTCTGCTAACAGGCAAATGATAAATGAATTGGGTTGGTGAGTAAAAGTTTGGATACATTTGTTCGGACTCAGTTCTTGAGATATCTGCCAATGGAGATACTTCAGCATTTTCATTTCTGCTTTGATGTCCCGATGACGAGACCTGATAAAGATTTATTGGTGTCTGATTGCCGATTTGAGGATTTTCATTTTCCTGATGCAAAGAATTATGTAAAATCGTTGACCAAGTTGAGATGTAGCAATTGTCTCGATAATCCTTCGGTCTTTTGAATGGGAGAAAATTCGGTAAGCTCTTTGACTTTCTTAAATCTCCAATCCTTTGTCTATCAAAGAAAATTCGTTCCATTCTTGATAGGGAATCGTCAAATTTATGTCTATCTTCAATGGCGAGATCGCTATTCTGGGAACAAACAATCTTTTGGGTATCGGCTGTAGAATTTGCATCAAGAGTTTTTTCAGCAACTTTTTCGCTATCAACTACAGCTTGAGTACAACTACTACTTTCATCTAAAATTGTAGCAATGTCTGAATTGAATAAAATACCAGGCTCTATTGTTTGATCATCTTCATTTTTCAATACATCTTCAGTTAGTGGAAGCGGTAAAGAATGGTTCAAAGATTCATCGACTGAAGACACAGTTTTGGTTGAATGAGTTGTTTTTTGACCACTTTCCACACTATCATGGCTGGAAAACGTACAATGATGTTTGTTTAACGCGAATTCCTCAATTTCCTTAGTTGACTTCGACTTCAAGGTCTTATATTCATTTGATGACAAGAAATTTCCTGAAGTTGCTTGAGGTTTTTCAAAATGTTTTACAAAGATTAACGGTTTCTTGGCAACAGATTGGGCAGGGCTTTCAATTCTAGGGCTTTCTGGCCTCAAGTTGCGTGAGAACCAGTCTTTAATATCTTGAAAGTCATCGTCGGGTGAAAGTAGTGGTTTGTCTGCAAGTGGTGGTCTTTCTTCGTAGGTGAATTTTGCCGATGGAATTTCCTCAATGTGATGTTTTGTGAAATCAGAAGGCGTCTTATGAAATTCTGCAACATCGGGAAATTCTGCAACATTCCCAAAAGCATCAATAATATCTTTATCATCTTTTTCTTCAAATTTGAAGTCTTTAATCAGTGGTGATGTGGTTTCAATTTCACTTTTTGTATGGCTTTCCACATTAGAACTTTGTAGGCTCATATTTTGTGACAACCATTCCCTAATGTCTTGAAAGTCATTGTCCGAAGGCATTGGTAAACTCATTTCAATTAATAGTTCCGCTTTATGTGGCGGTCCTTCTTCAATTAATTGATTTGTGAAATCAGTCTGCCTCTCATTGATTTCAACCGCAACATCTACATCGTCATTCATCAATTTCAATTCGTCTTTTTCTTCCAAAATGACAGCTTCATGTTTAGTTGACTTTTTCTGTTCAAGAACTTGACTAATAGATGACATCGTCTGACTGTGAGCTCATATTTTACTTGAAACTGCGGATTACTTCCGAGAATGAAATTTTTTATTTGAAAGTGCGATGGCCCGCTTTAAATTGTATTCTATTGTATTATTATCGCTAATTTATTTTAATTATTTTCACAACTATTGTTATCATTGAATATTTAATAATTTTAGATACAAGATGACGGATCAAAACTCGTGTTGCGGGAATATCTTCTCTATGACTTCAAAATGAAGAAATCAGCATCGGAGTCTCACCGGAATCTTTGTGAAGCATTCGGAAAAGACATCTTGAGTGAAAAGACTTGCCAGGAATGGTTTCGACGTTTTCGTGAAGGGAATGAGAGCTTAGAAGATGAGTCTCATGAATATCGTCCCGTTTTCCTCGATAATGCGGAGTTGCTGGAGAATGTCGAGTCGGATCCAACTCAAACTTTGCCCGAATGAGCCGAATACTTTAGATGCGATCCAGCCACAATTTCTCGACATCTTGCTGTCGAGAAACGTTGCTCATTGGAAAAAGGAATCATTGTGGCAATGGGTCCCACAGGAATTGCCCCATGAAAACAAAGCCAATGGAGTTTTATTGTCTCGGAATATTGTATTGAAAAAGGCTACGGGCAGTGCTTTTTTTGGAAGCATTTTGACAATGGACGAAAAGTGGATCTATTTCAATAATACTACACGCAAAAGACAATGGTTGAGCAAAGGAGAAAGGCCGTTTCCGACAACACATCTAGATCTTCACGGGAAGAAAGTTATGCTGTCAGTCTTTTGGAATATGAAAGGAATCGTCTATTTTGAATTACATAATCTTCAAAAACTATAATTTCTCAAATCTACACAGCTGGAGAAGGTTAATGAAATTCTACGAGAAAGATGTGTTAATCCAAGGACAATCCATTTACTCGCTGACAATGCTGACAATCTTTTAGAATAAAGTTTGTTCTTATTGATTTTTGGGTTGTTTGAATGTTGGTTATAATCCGCAGTTTCTTTTGCAAATACAGTGGAACCTCTCTATAACGTAACTCACGGGACGGCTATAGCTTACGTTATATAGAGGTTTACGTTATATAGAGTGCCGTTTTATATAGCTTAACGTCGGCCGGGACCGGTCACGCCTTAGGTTATAGAGAGGTTTACGTTATATCGAGGTTCGTTATAGAGAGGTTCGACTGTACTTAATAATTGAACTTTTTGAACATCGTATGAGCTTTTTATTTTATTGGACCAACCACAACAGGAACCGAATATAACTCCGGTGGTTGATAGACGGGCGTACCACACATCTTTCTGCATTCAAACGTGTCGTTGTCGAGCTCGGCCAAATCGAAATCCCCGATCTTGATTTTATAATCGGGCATCATGAATAAACTAAATGAAAAAAGAAAGTTAAGACTTTATTTACATATTTGAAAAGTTTTGACATGCTCCCACTTTCCCGGTTTGATGTCACTGTGTCGTATCTTCTTGGAATGCATGAAAGAAAGTCCTTTCAGGATATTTTCACACCACACAAAAATGGTGTGATCCGTGTGAATGTAGCCTTCACCATTGAAAAGAACTAAATTTGTGAAAATGGCTTATAAATCTCAAAATCTTGGCTATATGATGAAATCCTGATTGTTTAGCAAAAACTTGGTCCCACATTAAATTCAAGTATTTGGGAAATTCAGGTTTTGATTTCAGAAAAGCTATAACTCAAATTTCAATTTCATGCAAGAAATTACAAAAAGATAAGGTCCCATGGGCAAACAATGAGTTAAAAAGAGGCAAACGCTGGCTTTTTGACCTGATTAGAACTTTTGGTCCGGTTAATTTCCTTGGTAGCAAGCCAAAGTTGCTTCCCCCTTTAGATCAGGATTTTAGAAGAATCGAGTTCTTGCGATCGTGAGAATAAGACTGGGATTTTGTCGAAAGACAAAAGCAACAGGACAGAGTCAATTTATGATAGACAAACCATCTTTTAGCGTTCCATTCATGAAGTACTCCAATTCGAGAACAAAATATTCGATTCGATCAATGGAGAGCGATTGAGAAGAGTTCTTTAGCTCCATGATATTGGGATGACCTTTCAAAGTCTCGAGGGCTTCGAGCTCTATCTCGAAGAAATCTTTGTTTATGTTCAAGTCCTCTCCATGACGATGTTTGGCGAAAAATTTGAATATGCTTTCCGGTCTGAAATTTTTTTATGAAAAGGCAAGTATTTTGGGTGACTCACTGGTCCACGTGCTTCCTGATGGAACGATCGGCTTGACTAAAAGGATTGCGATTCAATTGCACGAAGCCATCTTCGGAAAGGTCACACATTTTATGCAATATTTACAACTAAATTAATTTGTGTGGGAAACTTTGTTTTGATGGAATTTAGTAACGAGAAAGAAGGAATCCCTGCAGCTCTTATCTATAAATTATAAAAAGGAATTCTTTTATGCCACAAAATGAACCAGAACCTCTCTTTTTTTTTAAAGAATAAAAAAGAAAAGACAAAAAGAAATAAAATAGGACATTCGAAATTTCTGATTTCAATTTTTTCTTTTCTTTTGAGTCAGATTGCTGCCTCTCAATGAAAATCTGTGAAGTTTAGGAGAAAATAAGCCAACCAGAGGGAAAAGACCTAATCGTAAGAATCTTTGAAGAAAAAGGGAATCTCTTGAAAATTTTGAAAACGAATGCGGTTAGATGGGAAGTCTCATGTCATATTGTTTCAGCTCGAGGATGAGAATCGATTCGAGAGGGTGGGGGAGGATGAAATGGCGGCGTCTTTTGAAAAAAACTAGACTATAACTTTTTCTGAAGTTTTTTTTTCAGCTTGCTCTCAACTTTCAACAACAACTTGCTAGATTCAATTCAAAAAACGTTTAAGCCAATATGTTTGTACAAACTTGTTAACCAAAATAAACATATCATCGATTTAATTATCTTATAAAATAGCCGTTTTAATGCGGATGCGAGTCGGGTATTTTAGTGATTTAGTTACAAACATCGTCACGTTAAGTCGTAGTCAAAAATCGACTTTTGGTACATCCATCCACATTTCTCAAAAACTATGCATCAGATCGGGGTGAAATTTTGTTTTCAGTATGTCTTTTTTGAAAATTCAACTAACCGTTGATTGAATGAAATTGTGAAGTGTTTTCGTGATTTTTGGAAACACCTTTTTTGTCAGTTCTAAAAATTATTACAAAAAATATTACCAAGATTTGGATTTCATTTGTTTTTCCATTTTGTGCATTTGTAATTTGTAATTTCAAAGCAGTCCACTTTCAAAAGCGTACGATCTCCCGCTGACTATTCTGAAAATTGTATCATGATTTTATTAAAAGTCTATTCAAAGGCGTTAAGCCTTAAAAAGCCTTTTGGCTTTTGACAAAACGCAAATATCTTTCGAAAGAAAATGCATCAAGAATGATATTCTAAAAGAAAATGCATAGTTAGTGAGAGCTTAAGAAAGGAAATAATGAAAAGAAAGAAAGGAAGCAAAGCGCCACAGAAGCGCGTGCATCTATAATGGAAGCCACTGACATTGACGATAACCATTAGAAAAACTAGTCTTATTTGAGATGAAGACCCTCCTTGTATTGACCATTGTCTGTCTCACTCTCCTAGCACTCGGTCCGATGGTGGAAGCCTTTTGTTTCGGCGATTGCATCGATGTCACTTATCAAGGTTGTAGTGGCTTTGTGACTCGTGGCTCGTGTGGCGGTGGAAGAAATATTCAGTGAGTTTTTTTGCGATACATTAGGTTATTCCCCGACAAATTTGCCTAAAATGGAGGAAAAGCCAGTGCTCTCATTTTGGAAGAGTCTCAAACCTTGAATGCTCTAAAAGGGGAACGAGAGTTTCTTTTCATTTTACTGCAAATTTATAGCAATTTATGTGATGTGGAGATAACATAATTGTACCGTTTTTCATTTGAAACATTCGACAAGACTTGAATAAAATTTGCTACATGATCTCTTGTCAATAAAGTGTAATGTTTTAATTGCGCTGAGATTTCTCTTTAGATCTGTAGCCATTAGGTTACATCTATGATTAAGAAAGTTGATGTAAAGTTGAGTTTTTTTAAGTAATTTCAATAGATTTACTCTTTAAACATTAAGATTGGGGTTTGAGGTTTCAATTTTTCTGAAATAGTCCTTTTCCTTTCGTTGTAGATTTGGTTCTCTTGTCTTTCTTTCTTTGTCTTTCTTTGTCTTTGATTTAGGTAATATATTTATTGAATTTTCTGAATAAAATGAAAATTTGACTGATCAAATTGATTAAAGTAAACACTTTTTTAGATGCTGCATGCTGCCTCGTAGCGGTATCTTCAAGAGAAGCATCCAGACGATTGGGCATTAGCAAGAGGATCACACATGTTTTTCAAATCAATGTATAAATTTAAAATGCTACTTTTTCATTCTCAAAGAATAAAATATCACAAAAACATTTGTAATATAAGTACAAATTTGCTCAGAAATGATTGATTCGATCAGAGCATTCTTCATCTCAATGATAAGATCAAAAAATTGCATCCAACAAAGATTTGGTTGAAAAATTTGAAAATTAAATCCGAAAAATTATTCAAATGCAATTAGCTAAATGAAAATTCTGTTTAGAAATACAACAATGGCACAATTATTATTAATTAGCATGAATTTACATTCATATTTCGTCCTTTTCGGCGTCTCAATTAGAGATAATTTCTTTAAAAAAGGAACTTTCCGAAAATCTTTATTGAAATCAGAGTTCTACCGAAACCATCAAGTTCACTACGGCAAACCGTTCTTGATAAAACGTTTTTTCGATTCTTTTCCTTTATTTCCTTTATTTCCTTTTCGGTTCTGGGAATGTTCGAATAATTTCTTTTCTGTAAACAAGAGGATTTTTTAGATTTCAATTGATAAAACAAACTTTTCGGATTGGAGAAATTTCCCGTGATCTTCTTTGTTTTTCGGAGAATCCAACCAGTTGTACTTTCCCGTTGGCCAGTCTTCTCGCCATCTCAAACCATACTCGGCCTGAAACAAACAATTCTATTTTCTCCTAATTCTCTCACAACTACGAAAATTATGGCTTTAAATTCAATTTCTAAAACAATCTTTACATAATCCCAATACGTTGCTTTTGTATTTACTTTTGCTTTTTCTTACTTAGCAACGAGTCGACTTTTTCAACGATTTCCCGAGTATCGAGAATTGGTTCTCTGAGTATTCTCCTAATTGCCATTTTATCAACGTTCATTACCGGTCTCATCTTTTTGATTGTTGCTCTTTGTATCATTCATATATAATAAAGAAAAATTCACTGGATTTATTTTTTAAACCCAAATCTGGGTTTCTCGGCGGGACGGCATTTCCCAGAGTTTATATGCAAATTTCCTAATCTGCCTTGGTTTGATAGGTCGAGGAAAGTCAAAATCAAGCAAAACATTATGAAACAAATTGCCATTGGGTGAATGGAGTGAAAAATAGAGTTAAAAAAAAATTAAAACTCTTTCTCCGTTATGCCTTTTTCTAAACAGTCTCTCCTGTCTACTCTGCCATGCGAACTGGTCGGAAAAGCTTTTGAGAAATTAGATGGAGGAAGCTCCATAAAGTTGTTGCGAGTGAATCGATCGACCCGACATTGGATTCTCCGTAATGGACCACTGGGGAAAGCGATTGACTTGCTTGAAATTATGCCTGAAGAATTTGAAGATGACGACCATGAAATAAAGCAAACCGGCAGAATCGGCATCGTGCTTGAAAAGGACACATTTCGATGCGAATTAGAAAACGTATTTTGTCAAAGATTTACGCAGAGAGTCGTCTTTGTTAAATCATTCGTTATTCGAGCATGCAGTCAAGGGAAACCATGGTGGAAGCCGGTAGAGGTGGTTGAAAGTCGAGAAACAGGGCAAAACCTCGTGAACTCTTTTCAAGGAGTCAAGTACATCGCAAAGATGTTTTTGCATGACAGCTTCACTGAAGTGATCTCATTGGAAAAACATCAGTTTCAAGTGCAAAAACAATTGTTGGTATCGAGTTCAGTGTTAGAAACTTGGCCGACTGAAATGATCGCTGGCCTTATCGTGAAACATTCGCGATACACTGAAAATCTTTCGTTTTCTGCGACCAGCTCTCTGCGAAATATCGACGCGATTCTGCGCGTTTTGCCATCGTGTCACTTCAAGGAGTTCCTGACACGCGTGGAGGCTTTTGATGCAATGTTGAACTGGATTCGATGGAGTGAATTCCCGGGAAAATACTCAAAAGCCATTTTACATTTTGCTTCCTATTACACATATCGATACGCCTTCAACCACATCACCAGACTTTTCCCACTCAACAGCAAAGTGCAGCGCAATTGCATAAGCAAGATGATACCTACTGTGGTTAGAGAAATGGAAGAGAAAGCAGCTGAATGGAATGAATTCTCTCGTCGTTATGATGTTTATAAAGAAAACGGTTGCTGCTTTTTGATTATTGATAGACAAAAGTTTTGCAAAAGTTCTTTTGATGATTTTGGTTACTATCAAAAATTTCTCCGGATTTACATTTGGCAATCCAATGATCAATTATCTTAATTTTCTTTGCGTTTTTCTCGTCTAATCAACGTAATATTTATTATTTTATAAAGGCTTATGAAGAAAACGGTTGCTTCTTTCTAATTGTTAATAAAAAGAGGCACAAAAGTGACTACTTTGGAGATCTCATCATTTACGTTTCGCGATCCAATTATCTTAATTTTCTTTGCGTTTTTCCCCGTATTATTTAATATTATTTTGACCATCAATTTCTTACCATTTGTATAGGGTTTTTTCCAGGTTCCCCTCGTTTCCTTATAAAATCGTTTGCAAATGAATCTGGTATTATGTAATGTTGAAAACCTGTTTGACTGTCTATTAGAGTCACTAATTGATTTTAGTTGTGTCCAATAAATATACAAAACGTTCAACAAAACACAGTGAATCTGGCTGAATCGACGATAAGATAAATAGTTGGAATCGGCTCGAATTAAGAGTACTGCAAATATGCGAGTTTGGATGATAAACTCTCCAGCATACCGGAAATGAATCGTGTAATTGACATCACCAATAAATCAAATCATTGCCAGTCAATAATCTCTAAATTTCAGTGATGAAAATCCATGTGTTGAGCAGTATTTGGATTCAAATCTCTACAGTATCTTTATCCTAGCTGGTTATTCACCATCGATTGGCGTGATGATGGCAACATTGGAGAGAGGCACGTTTAATAAGAAAATATAAAGAATTCCACGAAGTTTAGTCCTTAAAAACATAGAATACGAAAAAAGTCAAAAAATTTGTCATGGAAAAACAGTTATCACATCGCTCGGATACGGGAATCCTTTACCATTTCAAATGAATCATCACATTGAACCTGCGATTGAACTGTCGCAAAATTTCTTGAAGTTTTAAATGTAAGTTTTCTAATTATCTAGATTCTTTCGAAGTAAACTTTATCGTTGAAGTGATATCTGTTTGAAGGGGGAAGCTCACTTTGATCTTTAAAGACGATTTCCAACCAAAGAAGTCTCAAGAAGGCTTTAGATGCAATATCCAAATCAATTTTTGAGTTTTAATGATGATTTCTAGGTTTTTCGAATCCTCGAATCCTCGAATAATATCTCTTTTGGAAGTGTTTTTGCTAATTTCACCAGCGTCTTAGCAAGTTTTTACATGAAATCTGAAGAAATCTTTTTGGTTACCTGGCATTCAAATGAATTTTCGATAAATATGAATGTTTTTTTGAAAGCTCATGTAACAAAGGTGGGATTAAAGCATGATATTTAACGGACAATTGTGGCAAAATATTCTAACAAACTTTTCAATTCTCTAGAGTTTGTTTTACGAACTGTTTTTCTAGTTTATGCTAACGTTTTAAATTTTTTAATCACCTACCGTAAATACTGTAATAGTACCCCACCCCCCTCGTACAGTCGCGTAGTCGCAAAAGTTTTTTAGTATTTCATTTTTTTCATACAATTTCATACAATTTATCTAATTGTAAGTAAATTACTCAAAATCTTGTTTAATTTGAAATTTAGTTAATAGACAACTCACGACTCATAATCTATCAGCTTGTAAACAACTCCGAAACCGCCACCGCCAAGCCGATTCTCAGGCATCAACGAAGCGCGGAGGATTTTCTCGATTCCAAAAAACTTCAGTCGAAAAGCTGTTCAAAAAAGATTTAAATAATTTGTTCTTTTAAATTGTAGAACGGCAAGTAAATGAAATGGAAAAAATGGAATTGGCTCTCAGTAAAGTTTGTTGTTTTTTATAAATTTTGTTAGACAACAACTCATTGAGTTTTACCCATAAAAAATCAAATTTAATCAGATATCAGATGTCAGATTATAACTGCTGCATGGCTGAATCAACGCTATTAAGTAAAAGTAAAGTGTTTTGAGGAAAAAGTTAAGTTAAGGAAACAAAGATTTTGAATTGTTCTCTTTTTTGCCGCAATCCGAGAGAAAACCAAAAGGTTCCATCTCTCTTCAAAGAGTCTCAAAGAGTCAAAGAGATTAGCCCTTTTTCCTCTGGTAGATCTTGGCTTAGTTTCTCCTAAACTTCAAAGATTTTCATTGATAGGCAGCGATTTGACTCAAAAGAAAAGAAGAAATCGAAATCAGAAATTTCGAGTTTCTTATTTCATTTCTTTTTGTCTTTTCTTTTTTATTATTTAAAAAAAAGAGAGGTTCTGGTTCATTTTGTGGCATAAATGAATTCCTTTTTATGATTTATAGAGCTGAGGGGATTCCTTCTTTCTCGCTACTAAATTCAATCAAAACAAAGTTTCCCACACAAGTTAATTTAGTTGTAAATATTGCATAAAATGTGTGGCCTTTCCGAAGGTGGCTTCGTGCAATTGAATCGAAATTCTTTTAGTCAAGCCGATCGTTCCATCAGGAAGCACGTGGACCAGTGAGTCACCCAAAAGACTTGCCTTTTCATGAAAAAATTTCAGACCGGAAAGCATATTCAAATTTTTCGCCAAATATCGTCATGGAGAGGACTTGAACATAAACAAAGATTTCTTCGAGATAGAGCTCGAAGCCCTCAAGGCTTTGGAAAGGCATGCCAATATCATGGAGCTAAAGAATTCTTTTCAATCGCTCTTCATTGATCGAATCGAGTATTTTGTTCTCGAATTGGAGTACTTCTTGAATGGAACGCTAAAAGATGGTTTGTTTTATCATAAATTGACTCTGCCCTGTTGCTCTTTGTATTCCGACAAATTCCCAGTCTTATTCTCAATTCTAAAATTCAACAGACTTCTAAAATCCTAATCTAAAGGGGGAAGCAACTTTGGCTTGTTACCAAGGAAATTAACCAGACCAAAAGTTCTAATCAGGTCAAAAAGCCAGCGTTGACCCCTTTTTAACTCATTGTTTGCCCATGGCACCTTATCCTTTTGTAATTTCTTGCATGAGGATGGAAATTTGAGTTAGTTTTTTCTGAAATCAAAACCTGAATTTCCCAAATACTTGGATTTATTGTGGGGCAAAGTTTTTGCTGAACAATCAGGATTTCATCATATTGCCAAGATTTTAAGATTTATAAGCAATTTTCGCAAATTTAGTTCTTTTCAATGGTGAAGGCTACCTTTACACGGATCACACCATTTTTGTGTGGTGTGAAAATATCCTGGATGGACTTTCTTTCATGCATTCCAAGAAGATACGACACAGTGACATCAAACCGGGAAAGTGGGAGCATGTCAAAACTTTTCAAATATGTAAATAAAGTCTTAACTTTCTTTTTTCATTTAGTTTATTCATGATGCCCGATTATAAAATCAAGATCGGGGATTTCGATTTGGCCGAGCTCGACAACGACACGTTTGAATGCAGAAAGATGTGTGGTACGCCCGTCTATCAACCACCGGAGTTATATTCGGTTCCTGTTGTGGTTGGTCCAATCAAATAAAAAGCTCATACGATGTTCAAAAAGTTCAGCTTCAAAAAGGCGGCAAAGAAATGGTCTTTAAAAAAGATAAAAATATATATTATTAGGTACGGAAAAAAATTAATGTCGTATTTTTTCACTACAGTTTAAACGTTCATAAAATTTTTATTTTAAAAACAATTTAATCAACGTAAAAACCAGGAGAATATATAAATGCTTGCCAACGTTTGGGTAACTTTTCAATTCCAAAAGTGTAGAACGCGGGTTCCCTTGAATCGATAAACTCCTTGATGCCATTTTCCACCTCCCCTTGAGTAGTAAAGCATTTCTCCGATAAGAAGTGATCGAGGAACTTGAAAAAGTGGAAATCCGTAGGCGACAAATCAGGAGAATATGGAGCATGAGGGAGGACTTCAATGTGCAACTCGTTCAATTTTTGAAGAGTCTTCAGTGAACAATGCGGGCGAGCGTTGTCTTGCAATAGGATGGGACCCTTCCGATTCACTAGAGCTGGATCGATCCTTCAAAGTTTTTCATACATTTCGTTTATTTGGTGAATATACTGTTCAGAATTCATCGCTTTTCCGTTTAGTAGAAGTGACTAATGGATCAGACCTTTCTGCAATCACCAAACACTGAGAAGAAACTTCTTTGGGTGTAGGTCGCGGTTCGGTGGTTGTCCTTTGTATAGCCATTCGGCTTTGCGTTTTCGGTTATCGTAGAGAACCCATTTTCCATCACATCACAAAGTTACAATTCGTTCCAGAAATGGCTCGTTTTGATTACGAATCAACAATGAATACGATGTGAGGTAACGGTGCAATTTTTGATATTCGTTCAACTGATCAGGAACCCAATTTTTCAACTTTTTACTTTTCCGATTTCCTTGAGATGGTTTCCAATTGTGTGTGGAGTGACTCCAAAGTGCGTTACTAATTTTGCCTTTGCTGTTCTGGGATCCGCTTCTACCAGCTCCTTTAATTCGTCGTTGTCGAGACTAACATGACGTCCGGGGCCTTCCTTGTCATTCAGATCCTTGTCGCCTTCCCGGAATCGTTTGAACCAGCGCTGAACTACTCGAACTTCGCCTTCCCCAAAAGCTTGAATGATGTTTTGGGTAGCTTCTGACGCATTGTGGCCAAGCTTGAACTCATACAAGAAGAGAAGGCGAAAGTCTCGATTTTCCATCGTTGTAAAACAACCTGAAAAAAAACCATTAAGGAAGGTCCAAGCAAAAGTGTTAAACAGAAAAGAAAATTAAGAAAGAATATTCATAATACATAAAAAGACCCAAGGTCAATAAGGATATGCAGCCGCGTAGGCAACGCCGGAAAGTGAGACCCACAAACACGACATTTTTTTTTCCCTACCTAATAGATACTTGCAAAAGAAACTATGGATTGTCCTTGGACAACATTCGAACAACCCAAAAATCAATAAGAACAAACTTTATTCTCAAAAATATTTGCCATTATTATCAACTATGCCTTTCCATTTTTTTGAGTAGACTTCGTATGCCTGATTCGAAAAATTCGGGTTGCTGCGAAGCAAAGTAGTCTTGCACCCAAGCTTCGACTTCTTGATGATTGTTAAACTGCATAGATCGGAACAAGTGGCAACCTGCAGAGCAATAACAGGCAAATATGGTGGGTGGCCCACAAGTTTCTAGCCTAATTCGTCTGCAGTGTTTTGAGCCAATTTTGATGTGCCCGGGCATTGTCAGCAAGCAAATGGATTGTCCTTGGATTAACACATTTTTCTCGTAGAATTTCATCAACTTTCTTCAGCTGTTGGGCGTAGTTTTGAGAAGTTATAGGTTTTGAAGATTTTCGTAATTCAAAATAGACGATTCCTTTCATATTCCAAAAGACTGACAGCATAACTTTCTTTCCGTGAAGATCTAGATGTGGTGTCGGAAACGACCTTTCTCCTTTGCTCAACCATTGTCTTTTGCGTGTTGTATTATTGAAATAGATCCACTTTTCGTCCATTGTCAAAATGCTTCCAAAAAAAGCACTGCCCGTAGCCTTTTTCAATACAATATTCCGAGACAATAAAACTCCATTGGCTTTGTTTTCAGGGGGCAATTCCTGTGGGACCCATTGCCACAATGATTCCTTTTTCCAATGAGCAACGTTTCTCGACAGCAAGATGTCGAGAAATTGTGGCTGGATCGCATCTAAAGTATTCGGCTCATTCGGGCAAAGTTTGAGTTGGATCCGACTCGACATTCTCCAGCAGCTCCGCATTATCGAGGAAAACGGGACGGTATTCACGAGGCTCATCTTCTAAGCTCTCATTCCCCTCACGAAAACGTCGAAACCATTCCTGGCAAGTCTTTTCACTCAAGATGTCTTTTCCGAATGCTTCACAAAAATTCCGGTGCGACTCCGATGCTGATCTCTTCATTTTGAAGTCATAGAGAAGACATTCCCGCAACACGAGTTTTGATCCGTCATCTTGTATCTAAAATTATTAAATATTCAATGATAACAATAGTTGTGAGAATAATTAAAATAAATAAGCGATAATAATACAATAGAATACAATTTAAACCGGGCCATCGCACTTTCAAATAAAAAAAAATTTCATTCTTGGAAGTAATCCGCAGTTTCTTTTGCAAGTACCTAATATATATTTATATCTTTTGTAAAGACCATTTCTTTCATTTGGCAGCTTATCACTTTGAGAGATCCCGGAAAGGCGATGTGTGGTCGTTTGGAATTGTACTCTGGGAGATGTTGACAAGAGAGTAAGTCGATCACTTAAAAAAAATCAGGGAATCCCATAAAAGATCCTAAAAAATCAGAATGCACTTGAAATTTAGACGCTGTTTCTCATTTAAATGTGATGCTGATTGGAGGGATTTTGTGATAAGTGGCCGCCTCGTGCCTGAATATCTACAGGTACAAGATTGGCCCGAACAATCAAATCATCCACTCTGTCATATATTAATGAGGTAAAAGAAGTTGACAGTTTTAAAGAAAATTTTGAGTTTTTAGTTGCACAAATAAGGAATGGAAGGAAAGGATCAGCGCACATGATGCGCTTGAACAGATAAAGAACTTCATAGAGGTGAGTGCCAGATCTGGTTCCAGCCATCAGAGGCTTTTTCTGTGACCTGATTTCAAAAATCTTTGGTATAAAGAACTTTTTTTAGGTCGGGGTTCTCTTTATAACGGTAATCCGATCCAAACAGACTAATTTTAAGCCTTTAGGAAAATGTGGACGACTTCAAAGCAAGAGCCTTTCAACCAGTGAAAGTTTCGAATGATGAACAATCAGCAAGCTCACGGTTTTACCTTCCTCTGGATATTATAAGACTACCAAGAGAGAAGTCATTTTCCTGGTCCATTTCCTCAATCAACATTCAAATGACCCAATCAAGCTCTGCATCTGGTTCAAGAGCTCACAGTCAGACGATGTCCTCTATTAGTCAAGTTCTTGAACAGAAAAAGTCAACTAAACATGAAGCTGTCATTTTGGAAGAAAAAGACGAATTGAAATTGATGAATGATAATGCTCTTTATGAATTAGATGTTGATGTAGATGTTGCGGTTGAAATGAATGAGAGGCAGACTGATTTCACAAATCAATCAATTGAAGAAGGACCGTCACATAAAGCGGGACCATTAATTGAAATGAGGTTACCAATATCTTCGGACAATGACTTTCAAGACATTAGGGAATGGTTGTCACAAAATATGAGCCTACAAAGTTCTAATGTCGAAAGCCATACAAAAAGTGAAATTGAAACCACATCACCACTGATTAAAGACTTCAAATTTGAAGAAAAAATGATAAAGATATTATGGATGCTCTTGGGAATGTTGCAGAATTTCATACGCCTTCTGATTTTACAAAACATCACATTGAGGAAATCTCATCGGCAAAATTCACCTACGAAGAAAGACCACCACTTGAAGACAAACCACTACTTTCTCCTGACGATGACTTTCAAGAAATTAGAGACTGCTTCTCACGCAACTTGAAGCCAGAAAGCCATAGAATTGAAAGCCTTGCCCAATCTGCTGCCAAGACACCGTTAATCTTTGTCAAACATTTTGAAAAACCTCAAGCAACTTCAGGAGACTTCTTGCCATCAAATGAATATAAGGCCTTAAAGCTGAAGTCAACTAAGAAAATTGAGGAATTCGCGTTAAAAAGGGAAATAATTCAACGACTAGAGACTGCTAATTATGAAGACTATGATGATCACTCAATCGTAACGGAAGCAGTCTCTTTGAGTCCATTAACTGATAGTCTTGCCTCATCTCTTCGGAGAAGAGAACAAAATAATTTTACACTACTAGAAGAAAATGAAGAAGAGACTAAGGAATTTTCAGATGAGAAAAGGTCTTACGAAACTTTGAGAAGTGAGGCAGATTCATGTGAAGAATTGCTGTCAAACCAGGATGCTATACCCAATCGAATGACCCAAAATCTTGCCCCATTGACTCGGCATGAGGATGCCTTTTCAGCAAGAGTAGAAATTAATCATTCATTGTCGAAACTTCATCAAAAACCTTTTATAGAAACTGCTGAAAAGGAGGAAAGCGGGGTAGATTTCCTTCTTGAATTAATCTCGAGCAGCCTGGATGAATCAATTCAATTAATCAATTCATTCAAAGAGAAAGCGAATTATTCTCTGCCACTCTCGGCAATTGATGAAAACAGACAAGAGGAAGATGATCGAAGGGAAGAAAATGATCAACCACTATCAGAAGATGAACAACAGCTTCTAATCGAAGCCTTCAAAAAAGATGGTTATGTGGCAGATTCACTTGAAGAGTTGTTTTCAATATCGGATGCTCATTTGAAACTATCAGCTGATCGTGAATCAAAGCCAAATCAAATCGTGACTTCGAATGATGAATTTCTGAGTCATTCTCTGCCATCCCCACTAGCTAAAGATGAAGAGAAAGGGGGAAATGAGCAAATAGTAGACCTTCCTATTGATTTCCATGTTGTTACGGCCATGAACGAACCTCATTGTACGTTTTCCAGCCATGATAGTGGGGAAAGTGGTCAAAAAACAAGTCATTCAACCAAAACTGTGTCTTCAGTCGATGAATCTTTGAACCATTCTTTACCGCTTCCACTAACTGATGATGTAATGAAAAATGAAGATGATCAAACAATAGAACCTCGTATTTCATTCAATTCAGACATCTTTACGACTTTAGATGAAAGTAGTAGTTGTACTAAAGCTGTAGTTGATAGCGAAAAAATTGCGGAAAAAATTCTCCCATTCAAAAGACTGAAAGAATATCGAGACAATTGCTACACTTGGCCAACGATTTTACATAATTCTTTGCATCAGGGAAATGAAAATCCTCAAATCGGCAATCAGACACCAATAAATCTTGATCAAGTCTCGTCATCGGAGCATCAGAGCAGAAATGAAAATGCTGAAGTATCTCAAATGGTAGATAAATGCTCAAGAACTGAGTCCAAACAAGTGTATCCAAAATTTTACCCACCAACCCAATTCATTGATCATTTGCCATTTAGCAATGCTAGCAATGCTGATCAAATGAATGTTTTGAAGGCAAGCAGATTCAAAAATGGCATTGATTTGAGCAGTTTCAATGAAGAAACACAAACCTTTGATCAAGACTTTTCAATGATAGAAAATGAAGCAATCAGCTTAGCTACGCAAACACTTTTAATAACTGAAGACGTGGCTTGTCAAGTTGAAGAAAATGTTAACAACCAGGTGGATGTAGGAAATCAAACGGAAAAAGTTATACATATTGATCGTTCGTCACAAGTTTTTGAACAAGCTCCCGTTACAGTTGCGGTCGAAAATAAAACAATCAGTCTAGCTATTCAAACTTTTTTGAGCACTAAAGATGTGACGAATCAAACAGAGGATGTCATCATAATTGATCGTCCATCACAAACCATTGATCAAAGTACTTTCACGGTAGAAATTGTTGCAATCGATGAAGCTACTCAAACTATTTTGGTGACCGATGATGTGAGTGTTCAAACAGAGAAAGTTGTTCTATTTGATTCATTACAAAGCTTGAAACAAGGTCCTTCTAAAAATACCCAAACATTGTTGATAACTGAAGATGCAGCTTGTCAATCGGAAACATTCATCCAACAGCAGACAGATGTAGCTAATCAAACAAACGAAGTTGTCTTAGTTGACGGTGCAACGCAAAACACAATTGAAACTGTAAACAGAGCCACCTCGACAACTCCTAAACAGAAAATGGTTGAACGAAATACGCAAACGGATCATCCTCAAGGAATAATTGATTCTGAAGTTGCGGAAAATGGTTTTGTCAAAAGAGAGAACGAGGTTTCTGATCATGAGCAGCGCATTTCCGTGATGACAATGAACGAAATAGATGGCTTATCTCACCCTAGCCACAAGTTACAACCTTTGAATAGTATTAGGCACCAAAGAATGGACACATTTGACCAAACAAGGCAAAATTTGGCACTCTATGTACCCACACAAGGAAATGGACACTCGCGGCAGATTGATTACGAAACAATTCAGGGAGCTTCCGTGATGACAGTGAATGAAATAGAAGACTATGCAGTACCTGGAAAACAGACTGAAGTTCTGAATGGCCCTGAATCTTGCACTTCAACTGTCAATCACAATCCACAAAGATCCGAGATCGATCAATCACGTCGAACTGAACTTCAAGAACTTCAAGTACTCCTAAAAGAATTCATCACAAAAGCGAGTAAAATCGATGGTTCATTTGAAGGAGCACAAAGGGTCCAATTTTTGAATGGCCCTAGAGGTTGCACTTCAGTCAGTTCAACTTTCGACAACATTCCACAAAGATCAGAAATCACAGGGGATGAAGCACCAGTGGGTGAGGTAGATGGTTTGGCTGAACCAAATGCTTTGATCAATCCGAGAGATCACATTCCTGTGCAATCAAGAAGCAATAATCATCCAGATATTATTGAGGAAACTGAAACGAAAATGAGGATTGATGAAAAGTTCTTTGCTTGCAACTATTATTCCAAGTCACAGAGAATGATAACATTCTCTCAAAAAACCACGTTCGGTTTTGAGTTTAAGCTAAAACCCGTGAGCTTTAGAAAAAGAGAACGGCTAATTCTACAGTACTTCTTTAACGGTTTCGATTCAACAAATCGCGATTTTGTCTTCCCAAAGCTTTGTCTTTTTCTGGTCCTACCGTTTTTGATATGGTCAGCTGCCGCATTTCCATTGCTTGCTTCACTATTCTTCACACCCGATGGGGTTTTCTACTTGATCGATGTAGATGGTCATTATGAAACAAAGATTTCGACACCATCTGATTTAGTCAATCGTCTAATCACCTATCAATCCTTCACCATGATTCTCCTGATCCTCATGCTATTCGCAGCTCGTCCTTCATTGAATGCGTTTTATCAAAAACCCATTGTTGGCTACTTATTGACAAATACTGGTAGAGAAAGATTCAATTCTCGCAAAGCAAGTCACTTTATCAATGATCTTTTCTATCTTCGTCTAGTTTTCTTCTTTTCCTTTTTGTACATATTCACAAATTTTGTCTCCATTGCCTGTTTTTGCCTTCAGTACTTTCAACTCCCAGATAACTCAAATGTAAATGGAAGTTTCTATTCATACTTCTTTGCTTTGACCTTTCCGGGTGCCATTTTCGCTTTCACCACCTTGATGGTGGCCATTCTTGTTGTGAAAAGTGCTCAATTTTATCTCAAACTTGATCGAGCTTTGAAGTTGAAAACGTAAAATTGATATCCTAAACTAAATTCGTGCTTTTTTTTCTCTGAATAAATTTTGTCTAAAAACAAAAACTTTTTACACATTGAATCAATCTTTAAAATAACAGCCACTTTCCTGTGTATCGAAATATCGTATCGGCAGTCGATCATTTGTAAAAGAATAGAAAGCGGCTATTGGGCACAATGAGACACTGAGGATCACCGCCTGAAATAGAGAATTTCATATGTCAAAATTTTTAGGTTACACATGTAGCTGCTTGAATGAATATATGAATATTTTACTAATTTGATTCGAGACTCTTGAATCCCTAACCATTAAACGATTCACGAGTTTTCCCAAACATTTTTCGACAACCAACAATTTTTTTTTTGGTGTAAAGAATGTATCTGGTCGTAAATCTTATCAAAAGGCTCAATTTTAAAAATTTTTTTTCCTCTTCTTTTTCCTTTTCTTGATTTCCTTTTTATTTTGTCTTCTTCCTAATAAATTCTGCAAAAAACAATGTCGTAAATTTTTGGAACGAATTCCCCCTTTCTCTTCTCGAGTACCTTGTTTCCCGTTTAACTTTTAACCTGATTCATTTTTTGACTCAAGTTATCAGTAATTCTTTGACTTTTTCTGAGATAACTCTTTGACAAATTTTAAAATGCAAATGAACTGAAACTTTGACTCAATCAAATGACGATTGAGAGCCAAGAGATGTGGAGACACCTAAAAGATGGGAACCGACTCGAACTACTTAAGAACACTCCAAAAGAAATGTGTGTAAGGGAAAAGTAAAAGAAATGTTTATTTTTAGAGATGATTTGGCCACTCAATGTTGGGCTTTCGATTCAAAGGAGAGATCTTTTTCATTGTTTATTTTAGGTTGTAACTCTTCCATATCAAAAAGAAATTTCCCTTCGCGAGAAAAGCTGGCCATAAAGAACAACGATTCTTATGAATCTGGAACTCTGTGGGGCTCAGCCCTTATCCGAGGTTCACCTGCTTAGAGGCTTCCTCAAGCTTTCCCCTCATCTAGCCGGGATTAGAGATCAATTACAGATCAAATTATATCAAGTTTCAGTTAAACAATTTCTTTCTCTTTTCTATTTATCAATTCTTTTTGTCATTAGAAGATTCGAAATAGAACCTCATGGATGCTGCAAGACGTTGTATACTTGAGAGTTTCTTCCTATATTAAATCTATTTAACACATTCACGACGAGACCGTTTTCACAAAACTGCCGGCTGGGACGAGAGTCGAGAGCGAGACGGGACGTCTGGGATGTCTGAGACGTCTGCGCCATATCATCCAGTCAAAAAAAGCACAAAATCTTGCCAGGGAGACATTTTTTTAAAAATCTAACACCGAATTTGGGTTCCCTACTATCGATTCGGTATTCTCACAAAGTTTGACTCGAAATTCGATCTGATGACTCAGGGTAGCAAAAAATCGAAGGACCCACGATATGGATCCCTTCATCCCACGCGTCTAATCACTTAAGGGCCCACCGTGTGGGTCCCTTCGTCGTGAATGTGTTAATAAATTCTTGACTCAATGGCTAAAACAACACAAACTTTTTAAAAACAAAAACTCAAGGAATAAGTTCGGAACAGAAATATTGAGCTGCCTCTATTATCAGTCAAATTTCCAATTTTTTTTCGGTATCCAACTGGAAAAAAACACAAAGTTTCCGAAATTTTGTGTATGTAGAGACAGAGTAATACTTTATCATTGTTTTTAAAGATAGATCATGCATTTCATTTTATTTCGTTCAACTCTGAAAGAGTTCAAAACAAAGTTCAAAAGAAAGTTATGAAACAATTATCGGCTGATTGTTGAGCAAATATGTATTTGCTTCAATTAACCAAATTTTTGAAAAAACATTAAAAAAGAAAAGACTATAATATAAAATTGTCTTGATTTTCTATCAGTATCCTATTGGAAACAAGTTGAAAGTTGTCGAATAGTGAAACTTTTTCACTCGTCCTCTTGGAAGCTTTTGATTGATCAAAGTAAAGTGCGTATTCCTTCTGTTTCCACACAGACAAACTCTGAATTTTTCTAGTTTGGAGATCCAAGAATGAGACCTGATGACAGTTCGGTTCGTTCTCTTCAGTTCAGCGCGAACCGGGAGTCCTTGGCTTCCTATTTTTGATAAAGTTCGCGAAGTTCTTATCTCTCTCGATTTCCTTAAAATAATAGGAAAGAATCTCAAAACAAGCGATCATTTCAAGAAATCTTGTTCATTGAGGTCGTGATCAAGAAATCTTGAGCCAAACGCAATTCTAACTCTCAACTTTTCATTGTCCATTCGACCCATTTGCAAATTCTTCACTGAAATGGAACCTTCAACCGCTCAAAATCTCTACTTACACAACACTCCATCACATTTGAATGAAGTGAATCCGTCAACGAGTGAACAGGTAGTGTGAAGATAATTTTGAAAATTTTGATGTTAGAATCTTGTTAACTAACAACTTTTGCCTATGTATTACAAATCTCAGCATTTCAAAAGTTTCAACTCTTCAATAGTTAACTTTTTAGTAGCTTGTTACTACTAAGCTGTTACTACTAAGCTACTACTACATAAATTCTGATGTTGAACATGATAGCAAAGGGATTCATGGACATTTTGCAACTTTCTGACTAAAAATCTTTTAACTTTGAAACTTTTATAAGAAAAAGTTGAGAAAATTCCACCAAAGAAATGGAAATGTTTTTGTAAAAGTTATGAATGAAAGAATAAATCGTTGCTTAGAAGCGAAACCTTGAGGAGCTCGACTTTGCCGCTCTTCAAGAGCAAATTGCTTTCGGACCACCTCAGGCGTCAGAACAACGAAAAGTTCGACTCGAAGAAGGGAGAACGGTTGGTGGACATGATGAAAATGAATGGTGGTCCAATTTACAATCTACCGAATTTTTCATTTTCAGATAAGCCAACTTTCCGGGACATCAAAACTTAGCAACGAGTCGACTTTTTCAACGATTTCCCGAGTATCGAGAATTGGTTCTCTGAGTATTCTCCTAATTGCCATTTTATCAACGTTCATTACCGGTCTCATCTTTTTGATTGTTGCTCTTTGTATCATTCATATATAATAAAGAAAAATTCACTGGGTTTATTTTTTTAAACCCAAATCTGCGTTTCTCGGCGGGATATCGTTTCCCAGAATTTATATGCAAATTTCCTAATCTGTCTTGGTTTGATAGGTCGAAAAAAGACAAAAACAATCAAAACATTATGAAACAAGTTGCCAATGGGTAAAATGAAGAATGGAGTGAAACGTAGACAGGAATTGGATAGAAAAAGGCGCAGAGAATATTCAATTACACAAAAAGCCATCAGCTAATCAATTCACCCTCGTATTATCTGCCTAATGATGGATTGACTCAACGGTATCAACCATTCTTTTATTAAAACACTTTCCCAGTTATGCCTTTTTCTAAACATTCTCTCCTGTTTGCCCTACCATGCGAACTGGTCGGAAAAGCTTTTGAGAAATTAGATGGAGGAAGCTCAATAAAGTTGTTGCGAGTGAATCGATCGACCCGACATTGGATTCTCCGTAATGGACCACTGGGGAAAGCGATCGACTTGCTTGAAATTATGCCTGAAGAGTTTGAAGATGACGACCATGAAATAAAGCAAACCGGCAGAATCGGCATCGCGCTTGAAAAGGACACATTTCGATGCGAGTTAGAAAACGTATTTTACCGGGGATTTACGCAGAAAATCGTCTTTGTTAAAGAATTCTTTATTCGGTCTTCATTACATCAAGGGAAGTCGGTGAAGATGGTTGAAAGTTCACAAACTGGACAAAAACTCGTGGACTCTTTCCAAGGCGTCAAGTACATCGACGAGATGTCTTTGGATATGCACGTCACAAAGGTCAATAGATTGCAAACACGTCAATAGATTGCAAACAAATGTATGGCTGGAGAAATATAGGCCCAATCATGCACGCTTTGCCCTCGTGTCACTTCAAGATGTTCGTGGCAGACGTAGAAGCTTTTGGCGGAATATTGGGCTGGATTCGAAAAAGCGGATTCCCGGGAAAAGACCCGCAAGCAATTTTGCATTTTGCTTCCTATTACACAAACCTTCAAACCGTCTTCGAACACATCACCACATTTTTCCCACTCAGCAGCAAAGTGCAAAACGATATGATACCTGCTGTGGTGAGACAAATGAAAAAGAAAGCAGTGGGTTTGGCAAGCACTTATCGCCAGGCTTTTTATAAAGAAAACGATTGCTTCATTTTGATTGTTGAAAGAAGTTCTGTCTTACACAGTGCCAACGGCATCCGTTCTTATGCTCTAATCATTTACATTTGGCAATCCAATGACCAATTATCCTAATTTTCTTTGCGTTTTTTCCCGTTTAATCAGTGCAATATTTATTATTTAATATTATTTAGACCATCAATGTCTTCCCATTTGTATAGGTTTTTGCCAGATTCCCCTCGTTTCCTTATAAAATCGTTTGCAAATAAATCTGGTATTATGTAATGTTGAAAACCTGTCTGACTGTCTGTTAGCGTCACCAATTGATTTTAGTTATGCCCAATAAATATACAAAACGTTCAATAAAACACAATGAATCTGGCTGAATCGACGGTAAAATAAAGTGGACAGACAAAAAAACTATAATCAGCTTGTAATCACAAATACTTGGAATCGGCTTGAATTAAGAGTACTGCAAATATGCTAGTTTGGATGATAAACTCTCCAGCATACTGCAAATGATCGTGCAATTGACATCACCGCTATCATCGGGCTGATAAGTTTCCGAATTCTATATTGGACGAGGTTTGAGGAATGTAGGCACAAAACATATTTATTCGTTTAATTTTGATTTTCCGAAGCGTAAGATGCAAAAATCTTCGATCCTTTCAACAATTTCGCCACTCTGAAGACACGAGACGAGAGGAAACGATTTCGATAGTCCTAAAAGAAACTGGGAACTTTGTTTTGACTCATCAATTGCTTTCGTATTTGTATTTGAATGTTTTTAGAACTTACGTTTATCTAAGTTTTTAAATGATAAATAAAGAAAAGTTGTTTTCAAGTCCTTTAAGCTGTATCATGGAATCGATTTCTAACAGGCAACTTGAAAAACACAAACCCTGAAGCCGACAAATACCATAAGTGCATCCATGAAAGGATAGAATGAGACAAATATCGGAATATAATATCCCAAATCGGCGTAGAATGGAAACCCCATAAAGCACAAAGGACCGGCATAGACATTTAGGAAGCTGGGCAAGTACTCGAACAACAATGGGGCCACGGCCTAGCGGTGATTTAGTAAGTGGAGATAAGATAAACTAATGCTTTAAATGATTCTCGTTTAATGTTAACATGTTTTATAAATAAATCAATAGTTCATTTTGAAAAAATACTAATATCGTTTTTGATTCACTTGAATTATGAACAGCCGCATCAGCTGAAAGTTCATCTTTTTAGCCCTTTCGCTGATGATCGAGGCACGAATGAAACGAGTTCTAAATTGATGAGCAAATCATCAATTAACATAAAAGAACGTCTTCAACTTACAGTCTAAATCCCAAAATGCAAATCGCTATATAGAGAATGGAGAGAACCGAAAAGCAAGCAAGAGTTCCAAAGACGTTTGACCAAAGAACATCCATGTCTCCATTTGAATTCGTTAACTGAATATCATTTTTAAGCTTTATCGCAACTTGAAATTACCGTATTTTCTCTAATAGTAGTGCACCCTGAGCGTCGCCTAAATTCCTCGAAATCTCGAGAACCGCTTATCAGAACCTATCGATGTGGGGTCGGAAAATGTAGCTGACGATAGGATCTTGTGGGGGATTAGAGTGTTGAGCTTCTGCAAAAGCTTCGAAACCGTAAAATAGTCATCAACTCGGCTCGCCGGGGTGCACTACTATTAGAGAAAATACGGTATTAACTAATGATCAAAAAGAGAATTCCAAAAATATAATGCCATTTTGAAGATTTATCCGTTTTACATCTATTGACGGTTGGATTTGATTTGTCTAATCTCTGCTATTACCTCAGAAATCAAGCTTTTTTTCTGTTGAATTTTCGAATTAAAACTTTAAATGAATAAATTTCATATATAAATTAACTTCTACAAACCATATAAATCGGGCCCATATACCCGAGTTGGTCCACGCTCACGTTGTACATCCGAAGAAGGGATTCTCTGCTTTGACGGCTTCTCTCTGGTGTTGGCTGAAAATAAATAATAAAATGAATTAAAAAAAACGAAAACAAACACTCATTAAGTACATGAAATCGGCACACCAACAAATACCGAAAAAAAAAGTGAGCGATCACGATGCAGACGATAAATTTCCATCGCTGGAACAGCGCCAGCCAACGGCTAAACATTATTTTGAAACATTTGAAACTTGAAACTTTTTATGTGCTTCAACTAAATTGAATTAGAAAAAATATTAAGCTCTAAAATAGCTTTAAAATAGCTTTTAAGTTACTAACCCGGTTATTGTCGCATAACGGTACAGACCATGAATCAACAACAACGAGATGGACATCGTGAATGCGTCCACGTAAATCTTGAAAAGAACAGCTTTGAAAAGAACATTTGTTATGATCTTTATGCTTACGGAACACTGTAAAAAACTAGAGTGTATTACTGAGAAAAAGGTTGTTGAATTGTGTGAATTTAGTTGTAAATTGCTGTGCTGTAAATTGCTTTGCTTACCAGAGTGGCCATCGTCGACGCCCACCAATAATGAAATTTACTGAATGTTTTGCTAAACATTATGAATCCGTCTCGTTCGGTGACAAAGCCCTGAATTCGATGTTTTTATTTAGAGCCAAACAAAAATAACCATATCGGTGATACAGTGCACCAAACTGTAGTAGATGTTGTAAAAGGTGATGATTGCCAAAATTCGTTGGTAGCCATTGCCTGGGCGCTAAATTTATTTTCTTTTGCTTGCCGAAATTTTCTTCAAATCTTTATTAGCAACAAATCAGAGATTTATTTTGTCTTGAACTCTTAATTGATTTGGGGAATCGAAACAGCAAAATTTTACATGTTGGAATAACTTCAAAAAGTAATGGTTTCGTTTTTTTGTTATAATCAAAATCCTAGGCCAAACAAAAACAGTTAAAAGCTTGAAAGTAAAAGTGTTAGGAAAATCAATTCGAACTTTTAGAATTAAAACCACAACCTATTACTTATCGTAAGTACTGTAATAGTACCCCACCTCCCTCGTACAGTCGCGTAGTCGCAAAAGTTTTTTAGTATTTCATTTTTTCCCAAGCGCCCGTACTTTCAAAAAATGCGTCTTTTGTATCAAAAAATAGCTGAAATTTAGGGTTATTTTTTAATACCTAAGCGCGCATTGTAGCATAAACCAGTCTCGAGAAAAACGCGTCGAAAGCTAGACTACGCAGCACTCCCCACCGTCATTATGGGGGTGGGGTACTATTACAGTATTTACGGTATTTTATTTGAAGTAGGCCAAAAAGTCAGGTTTACCTTTCTGGAGTTTGTAGGTTAAGTTTGCTTAAAGGTACCGGCAATTTCCGATATCTGAATATCCGTATAGTATCCCTGGTATCAGCCAGAAAAAAAGGATATTCAGAGAAGGCTGAAAATTTTCATTTTTTAAGTGATAATTCAAGTTTTCCTTGCATTTCGCATATTCTTTTTAAAACATATAGTGGAGTTTATAAGGTCAGCCCAATTACCGACACAACAAAATGAAACCTGTCGGTACCTTTAAGTTTGTAAATTTTTTTAAGAAATCATTGCTTTTAGCATCTTTACGGCTAAAAAGCTTACCGATTTGTCGGTGTAAATGAAAAACAGAAGCAGTCCATTTGCCAAGAGTCCCAAAGCACAGCTACCGTAGATCACCTTGCTTTGAAAATCGGAGTTCATAGCTTCGAAAAGCTTTGGCTAATGTTGGGAATAAAAATGAAACGGAAACATTTCTTTTCTTTACCATATGGACTTTAATTACAGCGAAAAAAGTCGGGTTTATGTTTTGCTTGTCTTCGTTGACCGTTTTCTTCTCAAAAACGTCAAAAACAAGTAAACGAGATAATGGGCACTGGGGATTTCTCGGTGATTTTCGCTTGTAGTCAAAGAAAAGTTCAAATATATGTGTTACTAATTTTGTTCTTTTAAACAGACACAAGTGTTTTTGAAATTTCAAATGTTGGACTTGAGATTTTCATTTCAAAAACTTTTGTAATTTGAGAAACGTGAAAGTAGCAGTTATTTGAAATTGATTTCTGTTTCTTTAATTGCAGTGAGTTAAGCGTTCGAAAAATGAAAAACGAAAAACCAGAATTCAGAAGCTCATTTCACTTTACAAAGCTTTAGTTTTGTCTCTTTCTTTTCATTATGACTTAACTCTGTAATAATAAATTGTTTAAACTTTTGATTTATCCAAATAAATCAAAGACAAAGAAGAATGTATGTAAGTAGAAGATATTAAGCAAAAGTCTCAAATAAAAACGATGGTTTTAAGTAAAACTTAGACTAGGCTTTAGCTGATTTAAAAAAAACTTTCATCTGCCATTTGTTAATCATTTGAATAGAAGCTCAAATTGAAAGGAAAACAAAAGTTTTATGTATTGGGTTGTCCAGTTATGAATGCGCGTTTTTTACTATTTTGTAAATTTCTCAAGATACCGAAATCAAGAAAAAGATTTATATGAGTATTATTCGAAAGCTGAAGATCTCCTCTACATTTTGATATAAAAAGCTTTTGAATTTGTCTAGCTTTTGGGCAAATTGACTGCACAGAAGAAGAGGTGACCAAAAAATGGAAGGGTGCCTTTGGATCAAGTTTTGGCTCCGCTCAAATTGAGTTAACCGTTTGTTGTTTGGCCAATAGATATATCAATACAACTTTTTTTAAAACATAACAATTTCAGAGCATCTTTACTTTTCTGGGCGGTTATTTTACACCATAAAACTTGAGGAATAGCTAAGCTGAAATGGGTTTTTTCGAAAACGACCTTTCCCTTCGTGCAGTCAATTTCCCAAAAAGTTGAATGAATTCGAAAACTTTTTTATTCCAAAATGTAGAGGAGTTCTTCAGCTTTCGAATGATATATAACACTCATCTACATCTGTTCGATATCTTGAGAAATTTACAAAATAGTAAAAACGCGCATTCATAACTGGACAACCCAATAGCTTTGTTGTGCGAGGAGAAGACGTTTCAGACGATTTTTCTCTCTCCATCGCACGGGTCGACTTCGATTCGCCGAGAAATAAAGCGTAAGACATACTAAAACTAAAATTTTTAGTTTTTTAAAGTAAGTTTTGAGGTGAAAGCTATGACAATTCAAACTCGAGGTACCATGAAAGCAAAGAAGTCACCTCCCAGAGTGCCGTAAGCATTATAGGACAGAGCAGAGGTGAAAGCCGACTTGAAGGGCAGCATTGCGATGATCTGGCTGGCTGGCCAACAGTTCTCCATCTTTGGTGAGGATGCAGATTCTCTTTGAAGTATCCAAGTTTTTCACAGATCTAGTTACAATTAGAGTGTGTTCCTTGTGACTAACGCGTTTTCTAAAAGGCGCCAAGCAAAAGAGTTACCGTAAATTCACCGCTCTTTTAAATGCAAATTTGCGTACGCAATGTAAATGCTGTAGATGCAAATTTACATTCAAAGGAAAATGAAATTTTTGTTAATAACAATTTTCTCGTTGATTGAATAGATTGAAATTTTGAGGGGATTTAGAGCGCTTTTTAGAAAATGCATTAACCGACAATTAGCCGGCGGTCGACGAAAAATTATTAGTAAATTTAGTCGACTAATAGTGTAGCCGCGAGCTTCTTGTTGCCTCAAATTATCAAATAGTAATTTTTTGTGCAAAATTTGAAACATTTCTGAAAGAATTTTAAGAGCTATTCTTGGTTTCTAAGTTTTTTTAGTGGAATCTAACATATTTCATTCAATAAGCAAGAAACAACAAACAGCAAATAAAATATAACAAAAAATAACTTTGACAATTATTGCAGAGTTTATTAAACGGGAATCGTAACTGCTAAAAGATAAAAGCTATTTATTGTATATGTAGAGGAGAGCCTCAATTCTTTAAGAAGAAGAAATCCTTCCAAAAAAGAGAATACTTTCATACGAGAAAAGCTCAAAGCAATTTTGGCGCTTATCTATTAGTCCCAAGACTCATGGATCAGTTTTTCTGTCTAATTTTTTTTATAGTCCTGTAAAAAGTGATCAGCTCAAAGGACAAAAAAAATCGCATAGTAAAGGAAAAACTTGCGAAAGAAAACCCCAAAAATTTCTTACAGATGACCTTGTAAAAAGTGATCAGGGAAAAGAGGAGCCAAAATGCCCGAAATTAAGAAAAACCCGATAAATTTTTTAGTGCTTTTGCAAAAAGTGGTCAGCCTTTTGGCTTTTGACAAATCGCAAATGTCTGTCGAAAGAAAATGCATCAAGAATGATATTCTAAAAGAAAGTGCATAGTTAGTGAGAGCTGGAGGAAGGAAATGATAAAAAGAAAGAAAGAAAGCAAAGCGCAACAGAAGCGCGTTTATATATAATAAAAGCCACTGACATTGAAGATAATCATTACAAAAACTAGTCTTATTTGAGATGAAGGCCCTCCTTGTATTGACCATTGTCTGTCTCACTCTTCTATCACTTGGTCCGGTTGTGGAAGCCTATTGTTTCTTCGGCGAGTGCATCGATGTCACTTATCAAGGTTGTAGTGGCTTGGTGACTCGTGGCTCGTGTGGCGGTGGAAGAAATATTCAGTGAGTTTTTTTCGATACAGTAGGTTATGGATTTAGGTAATACAGCTATTATTCAATGTTCTGAATAAAATAAACAAAAATTTAACTTATGAAATTGATTAAAGTAAACACTTTTTTAGATGCTGCCATTTTCCTCGTAGCGGTATCTTCAAGAGAAGCATCCAGACGACTGGGAATTAGCAAGAGGATCAAACATATTTTTGAAATCAATGTATTAATTTAAAATGCTATTTTTTCATTCTCAAAGAATAAAATATCACAAAAACATTTGCAATATAAGTACAAATATGTAATGAATACTCATTAAAAGTAGTCCAGAAATGATTGATTCGATCAGAGCATTCTTCATCTCAATGATAAGATCAAAAAAATGCATGCAACAAAGATTTGGTTGAAAAATTTGAAAATTAAATTTGAAAACATGTAACGTTCGATCAAAGGACCAAAACACCGAAAAGTAAACTCGCTTTTTGAGATTAAACCACAAACAAAACTGAACTAGTTCTCTCAAATTGAAATGCTTACGATCTTGGTATGTCACAAGGTCATTTGATCAAATGGGATTTAGTGGAATCGAATGTTTTTGTGATGATTCTCAATCTACAAGAATTTTTGTTTCAATCAGCACTCTGTGATTGTGAATTTTTCTGTTTAAATCCCAAAAAGTTCCAAAAGGGAAATCACAGATTTCCCCGGAATTTTTCTGGAATAAGGTCAGAAAAAAGAAAAAAGGTTTAGACATCTTATCCGAAGTGTTCCGATCCTTAAATGGATTGGAATCGAAAAAATGACGGGCTTCAGGATGAGTACAAAAAAAACAAAATTAGAAATCACACAACAATCTAATCATTTTCGCAGAGTGCATAAAACATTCAGCTTGATTGGTCAAGGGGTTGACTTAGCATGGCTTAGCTAAATTACCAAAAAAACAACCTTAGTTTCAATGTTTCTACAGTTCTTTACAGCTCTATTCTTTATTTTCTCATCAACGATCGTGGATCATCAATAATTTAAAAATAGCAAGTTTGGCAGGACCCAACCTTGTTGATTCATCGAAAAACGTGAGATAATCTACATAGAAATACGCAATAACACAAAAATAGCCGTTTGACGATCGTCGATCATCCCAATATTCATTCATCCATAAATCCTCGTCTTGTTTACTCATTTGTGTTTTTTAAAACTTTTTCATGTTTTGTTGTTGCTAGTTTTAAATTGTTTTGCAAATTCGACAAAGACCAGACCAATATTCGGAAATATTCGGCTTTATTGGAATGGCCCAATTCAAGGAAAAACATGCAAACATTGGGCCAACAAAAAGCTTCCATAAAGAAGTCCCCTTCAAAAACATAAACATCAAAAAAGGATATAAAAAGGCAAAAATATTGCATGATGGCAACCCATTTATTTTTAGTCATTTACCGAAATGTTTCCTGTTGTTCTCTCTCTTTTCGCTTCCACTGTTGTCGCGCAAAACCTTTTGGTAAGATCTTGAAAAGTTTTGTGGCTCAAAATTGATTTTTTTCAACTTTTTAATAGTGAAATTAGTCATAATTAGGAAAAAATCATTTACACTCAAAAAAATTAAATTTTTCAGATGGGTATGCTATGCGAAGACACGACTCAATGTTCACAGGTGAGGGAAGTCGCTGCTTCATCTTGATAGAATAAAAAAAGACAGGCTTTTAAACAAGTAAGCTGAAAACCGAATAACTTTACAGTTTCCTTTTGCTTTTACAGTTTAAAGGTTGAAGGGGAAAAGTGCAAAAAGAACTCTTATCCTTGCGATCCCTTTTACATGGTGACCTCTTCACATGATCTCGTTTCAAATGAACCGATCACTCCGGGCTAAGCTCTTATAACGTTGACTCATGAATTTTTTTGACTCTTTTAACCATTTTAGAGCTATTTCACACTTTTCTATGCGTTGTTTTATGTTTAATTTATCAAAAACTATTTTTCAACAACCAAAAGTACAGAGTGATCAGAAATAACCCGTCCTTTTTTTCTAGGCTCAAATTTCTGTTATTTGTAGACCAAAACGATTAATTTCTTTTTTAAAATAAAAATGTACATTGTTTTCTGTATATCTTCAAGATTTCATCACCATAGCATCGATAAATAATTTTTTATGTACACTTAAAAATGGCTGATCAAAAAAGAACGAGCCACAACTTAAATTGAGGGGTTCCTTTATCGATGATCTTATAGAAAATATGAACGTATTTAATGAACTGAATTTACTTAAACATAACAAAAACTTAACTTTTACAAAAAAATTGGCAAAGAATGGGTTTCTATTTTGTGGGTTTTTTCAAAAATCCCAAATTTGAATTGCGACTCATTATTTTTTTGGCTAGCCATTTTTGAGTGTTCATAAAAAAATATCTATCAATGTTATAGTGATGAAATCTTGAACATATACAGAAAACAATGTGAATTTTTTTATTTAAAAAAGAACTTAATCGTTTTGGTCTACTGTTTTTAACAAAAATATGAGGCTAGAACGGACTATCATCCTGTACTTATTCGTTAGAAAATAACCGCGCACTCTAAAGTTTACTTTCTAAAAATTCTTTTGATTTAATTGATTTTAGCCAAGCTAGAAGCGGTGTATCGCTATAATCTCGCGCTAATTCTAAAACCCAAACATTTTCAGGGACTTGCCTGTTGTGCACCATGTGTAGCTGATCTCCCATGTGGACCTGGGTCTGCGGTTTGTTTTTAAAAATCGAGAAAGAAGAATATCTAAAATTTCGAGATTCGGAAAACTCATCGTCTCCATGTTCAGATTCCGGCAATCTGCGCACTCGGCGGGTGTCTTCCCGGTGTACACGAGTTCAGCAACATTACCAACAACTTGGGAAGCTCTGTGAGCCCCGTGAATTCGACCAACAATGTTGTGACCATCACTCCCAGTCAACCTGCTGTCAATCCGAAAACAACTGAACTTCCCAGCAATTCTACTCAACCACAAATCAGCGATTAATTCAGCGGAAAAGTTAATGAAATTTTTTGAAGCTTTATACTAAAAAAACTCGCTATTACAACTGCCAAAAACTCAATTATTTATCAATTCAAAATAAATTATAGAAGACATCTCAATTTCAAACAAATGTAGAGTGATTTCCTGGGAATGTGCTATAAGATATTTGTGTTTTACGGTAGAAAATCTTTATTGAAATCACAGTTCTACCGAAATCATCAAGTTCACTACGGAAAACCCTCCCAAATAAAACGTCTTGCTGGTGCTTCTTTTCCTTTATTTTCTCTATTTTCTTTCATTGCTTTCGATTCTGGGAATGTTCGAATGATTTCTTTTCTGTAAACAAGAAGATTTTTTCGATTTCAATTGATAAAACAAACTTTTCGGATTGGAGAAATTTCCCGTTATCTTCTTTGTTTTTCGGGGAACTCAACCAGTTGTACTTTCCCGTTGGCCAGTCTTCTCGCCATCTCAAACCATACTCGGCCTGAAATAAACAATTCTATTTTCTCCTATTTCTACAACTACGACAATTAAGGCTTTAAATTTGTAAAACAATCTTTACACAATCCCAAAACGTAGTTGCTTTTGTGCTTAAGTTTAAACGGAATGACTAAGACCCACTGTGGGGCATAATTAAAGTTGTAGTGTTAATTTTAATGAGCTTTAATTAAGAAAAAGTTGTAGACGACATTTGAGAGAAAAAGGTTCTAAAAATCGTGTTGACATTTTCAAAGAAAAAAAGATGAGTTTTTTTCAACCGTGTAATTCGTTTAGAAATGGAGTTGTGCATTGGAGAAAAAGGCTCAATTGTGGGCACACTCGTGTCAAATGTCGCACGCGAGTGGAATACAAAGAATGGGACAGGAAGAGATCCTCTTCTTCCCATCGCAGAAACCCCAAGACATCACCGCATTCAATCGTGAGTTTTGTGAGGAAAAGGAAATGAAGCGGACATGTGAAGCCAGATTAGACTCAAGGATGTTTCAAAGATGAGTTTTTTTCATTATAAAGTTAGTTCTCATTGCATATTTGATCAAGAAAACATTGCATACTTGATCCCAACCCAAGAAAGTTCTTTTTAACCAAGAAATTTTGATTTAAATGTACAGTGTTTTTTTGAGAATTGAAGGATTTTGAGAATTGATCTCACCGAAAGGTAGATCGCCGGATCACAGGGCACATGAAAAACGAAATTCAACAAATCAGCCGTGCAAATTTTCTCAAGTCTAAATGTGTTGATTAGTCTTTTGAAATCAAAAATCATACCTAGGATACGAGTATCTCATCTTCTTCAACATATTGAGTCCTGTAATGAAGCTTTGATTTCTCTTTTCATCGTAATACATTGCAAAAATGTCGATATTGAACTTCGTTTCACCCTTCATTCGAAAATTCGAAATGTAATTGTCGTTTGGCTGAATTGTGAAGATGTTATTGAAAATCTTTCCGATTTCTTTACCCGTCCATACAAATGATCAAGGGAAAGCCATGGAAGGGACAAATTTAGCACGAGAAAGGGGAAATCGAAAGGAAACTCATCGTGAAAAATCGCAATATCCATGTCTTTTGTGTGTGGAATGATCGAGCATTCTCGATACCAACCTGAAAATTTAAATCGCAGTTTTTCTTGAGAGTCTGCTTCCTTATCTTTTTTTGATTCAAGCAATTCTACTTCATTCAAGCAATAATATTTTTAAAATCTGTTTTTAGAAGCTTTTCTGTGTCTTTTGATATTATGGATTGGTGAATGAATGCTTTTCTAAATATACCCTTAAAATTATCTAAAAAGTCGTCTGCCAATGATCGTTTAACCTTCTATAGCTCTCTAGAATTTGATTCAATTTGTTTAATTGACTAGGTTAGGGAAACAATTTCAGTAGAATTAGTGACCCCGGCCATTAAACTAACAGAAAATCTTTTCTAGTTTTCAAATTTGAAAGAAATTGGAAAAACTTGACCCCTGGAAAACACAAGGCTCAGTCACAAGGCATAAATTTGATACCAAAATCGAAATTGTTTTGGTTAGTCTTCTTTCTTTTCGAGAGAAGGAGGTTTAAAGGGTTGTGACTTTTTCCAAGAATAATATTTTTTAAATATGATTGTAGAAACTGAGGATTTTCTGTGTCTTTTGATACTATGAATTAGTGAATGAATGCTTCTCTAAATATACCCTTAAAATTATCTAAAAAGTCGTCTGCCATTGATCGTTCAGCCTTCTATAGCTCTATAGCAAACTATCAGACTTCAAAGTTGGTACACTTTTTCGTATTTTTCATAAAACATGTCTAATAAGCCAATTGAATTAAACTTTTCTAAATAAAAGCTATATATTATCTAATTTAAGACATGCTTAAGCAATTTTGGGTAACTTTTGAAACAAATTTTAGCAGAGATTCAAGTTTTTCTGAAAATTCTTTAAACAGACATATAACTAAAGCAATTAGACAAATCGAGCTGAGAATTCGGCTATATGCATAACTTTTCATGCCCTATCTTTTTTCTGTTGACATCAAAATAGGTTTATTTGGAAGAGAGTGCTTAAATCGCTTCATCGAGTGTTCATCATTTTTTGGTTCCTCAACTTCTTGCCCCCCAGAAACCTACAAAACCGAAGCTTTTTCAAATCTGTCAAAAGTCTATTCTAGATAATAAATGGGTCTTTTTATTAGTAAAAACTGTAGATTAATTGGTGGACTAGTTATTTCTAAAAAGTGCAATGAATAAGTGTACCAACTTTCAAGTTACCAATCTAATCTAAAGAGCCGAAAGTTGAAAGTTTCCGTTGAAAGCGCAAATAACTTGAGAGAGATGCTCTAATAATGAAGATAAACTTGAAAAAATGAAAAATTGTACATAGGTTTGTAAAACTCACCAAGCAGTGTCCCAGAAAAAAGAAATGAAATGGCCCCTTGCTCAATGATGAGATCTCTCAATTTGGCGAGTAAGACAACGTCTTTGGGGGAAATCTTGTGCACAGAATCCTTTTCCGTTCTGTTCATTGAAACTAAACTAGAAAGTATCAAATTAAACAGTGAAATCTACTATTTAAACAGTTCACTTTCTTCCCAAAAGTCCAAAGTCGGGAGACGACCGTGAAGTTTTTTGGGTGAAAAACGTGGCCATTCTGGCGGAGGGCGCTTCTGCAATTGAATTTATTCGAAAATTCAACGGAAAGTCGAGATTTTTTTGAAATTCAGCCCGAAATCCAACCCGAAAAACAACCTGGGCATCAAGTAAATATCCTCGTCTTTTTTGATCTCAAAATAATCACTCTCCGCGCGTTCACTGAATAGGAAAACATCTCGGAAGCCTCGCACTGAAAGCTTTTTGATTCTCCAACAAAATTTTTGGCCTAGCAAAGTCGTGTTCGACTCAAAAACTTGAAGAGGAGAATGGAAACCGTCAAAAGTTTACTTATGCAAGTTTACTTATGCAAATTTACTTACCGTAAATACTGTAATTGGACCCCATGGGGTACTATTTTTTTCCCTCCCCCTCTAGGGTGGGGTACTATTAGAGGGTGGGTCACTATTTTACACCACTGTTCAAGTTACCAAATCAGGATACATTCAAATAATTTTTTCAAAAGCAAACTTTTCTTTTCAATTGGTTTTAACCATTTGAAAATTTAACAGCAAACAAAAACAACTAACAAGCGAAATCAATAGAAACATCCGAATCAATGAATTCATCATTTTCTTGATCATCAATTCCTCGATGTACTTGAAATCCCGTCGATGCGAGCGGGCCCAAGAGGTCCTCGATTTCCGTCTCTGATCTCTAACACCAACTTCTTTGGCTCCAACCGCTTCGATGCACTTGGTTCGAAGCATCCAGCCAACCCGCCGTATCATCGCAAGCAACAATGTGCTTGTAATCGCCTTCTTTGATTGTCTTGTTCCGTCTCAGAATGTGCTCGACGATGGCCTTCTCAAATTTGCTCGGCAGCTTTTGACAAGTTGTTGTTGGTGCCCTCAAAGAAAGTTGGTGACGCCTCAAGAACGACTCCATCCAGCCATGGGTTCTTTTGGAAGAAATTTCAGCTTTTTTGAATCGATTAGCCGCTTCATTCCAGATAATCCGGCTTGTCACTCGTTTCTTCTGGGCTCCACGATCCCGTATCCATTCAGCCAAACCAATATCAATCTCCTCCGAGTTCAAGTGGCTTCTAAGTGGTTCAAGTCTTCTAAGTGGGCCAATCTTTGTGATTTTGGTGTTACTTTGTTGCACTTGTTGAGATCTACAATCATAAAGATTGGCCCACTTAGAAGAAAGTTATGGCGAGCTGCGCAAAAAATTTGGCGCAAAGTAGCCACCCCAAATTTAAAAACAACAAATTTATGGGATGAAATTAAAAATACAAACGATTTCTGAAAATACATGAAAATTTTCCGCTTTAAAAGAGTTGTTTGTAATTGCGCGTTAGGTGGGGGTGGGGTACTATTGGAGGGGTGGGGTCCAATTACAGTATTTACGGTATGTAAATTTTACCGTGATTCACAAAAACGATGCCTAATGAGTCTTGAAGATTTTCTGGAGGATTTTTTCTTCTTTAAAGAGTTTAGAAAATGCAAACGCAATATTAGAATGGAACAAGCCTTCTAAAAAACACTTTCCATGAGAATTACTACATATAAAATCTAATTTGCGTATAGAAATTTAGCTCAATTTTAGCTCTAGCTCAATTTGATAAACGCTAATTTGTAAGATTCTAAGATCTCCATCCAAAAGACATTAAATTTTCCTACTTTCCTTGATGCGTTGAGCCACAGCTGTCGAGTCTCCACGAACGGCTACTGTCAGAAATTGTGTTTGAGCAAAGAAATCACTATTTTTGTAGTCACTTGGAAAATCTGAACTGAAATTTTTCCCGATTTTCCCTAATAAATCTCACCGAGTACCAAGATGTCTACTTTCTCCAAATCCGTCACATTCAAGGCTGCTTTGTGATCGTCCCATTCAAGGCTGCTTTGTGGAGAATCAACAACTTTTTTGGCGATTTGAGGCGAATTTAAATCATTTTGCGGGTTTACGAGAAAAGTCAAAAGAATCTGGAAATCGATTTTTTTTGATATTTAAATTTTAGCAAATTTCTTTCTGAGTAAGCTTTAGAAAGATCTAGAATTTGAGGTCAAAAGCTCTGTAGAAATTCGCTTATTGCCTAACTTTTGATATCGAAATTTACATAAATCAAATGTTTGTAAAAAAAAATATTTTATTAGCAATAATCTCACAAGGATTGCGATGAGACCTGACGAAATAGCAGATAGAAATAACTTTTTCCTTTTCACCCTCGACATTCAAATCATAAAGTAAAGATTTCAGAAATCTGCCAGAAGAAATCAGAAATCAGTCGAAATGTGGGGAGAAGGGTGGGAAATCGAGTGATAAGAGCGCTCACAGAGATCTTTTCTGAAAAATATGTTGCTGGATAGCCAATAAAATGAGCTTCAATAGGCCGGAAAGTGTAATAAATTCAAGCAGGGCTTGTTTTTAGTCTAAACATTTGAGTTGTCGATTTGAGTCGAGATTAATACAAGAAAACGTCTGATAATTTCCTCTCTGATAATTTCCTATTGACCCAACACTCACCCATCACTTCAATGCCAAACCGCATTTTCCAAGTCATTAATCATTTTGATGCGTGTACAGATTATTCATTTTGATTTTCACTTTTTATCGTTAATTTTTGTCGATAAAAATGCAATAGTACAGTGCGTTTCAAATTCTTAAAGACTTTTGCATTTTGAACAAAGCTGCAAGCATTATTTCTTTTCTATTGAAAAGAGCGTGTCTTAAAACCTAGAAAAGGCTAACATTCCATTTCAGATTCTTTTCTATGAAATGTTTCCTTTTGGGAAAACTCCCTTTGCATCGACTCCAAATGATAAGATTCTACAATTTTTGAAAGAAGGAAAACGATTTGAAATGCCCGATTTGACTCCGAATTTGATGTCAGATTTGTAGTCTTAACAAAATGATAACGCAAAAAAGGGTAGTTTCTTATAGGTAGAGTGTTTTTTGCCAAAAATCAGCAAATCACAGAGTGAGTCAAGCGTTTGAATATTTGAATATAGCCTAAAATATTTGAAATATTTGAATATAACCTAAAAGAACTGATTTTGAGTTCTTCTTTTATTTCTTTTCAATTAAGCACCCGATTTTGGTGTTTTTTTCTGATCTGAAATTTACTCAAAAATTGTCTAGGAATTTGAAGGAATTTGAAAGTTTTCTGCAAAATGTTTGGCAATTCTTTTGTAGTACAACCAGATCTACATTTTACTGAATTACAAAAGCACTCAGCTGTCGTAGTCGAAGTGATCGACCGTGTTGGGATCGGGTTCTCTTTTCGTTTTCGTAGAAACATGAGCGAAGTAATGCTAAAATAGGAATTTTGGCTTCTCCCATAACGCATGAAGTTTTTGGCATCAAATGGCGTAACAGTAGCTGGCACTATGGTGTAGGAGTTATTGAGAACTGCTTTGAATCAGCATTTTCTTTTTCAAATTGCCACCGACAAGAAACTACTTTTTGTGCTTTACTGTATAGCCTGAAATTACTGCATTTATTTTAAGTTGAACTGACTTTTTTTATGAAACGTCCTGGCTGTAATGATTGTATCTATTTAAGTGATGAAAATGAGATATTCAACAAAACATCTCTCTCTTTCTCTTATGCCATCGCCATAAGAGATGCCATCGCCATTGAATTGCGTTGAATTCCGTTGAATTCCGTTGAATTCTACGTCGTTGTTCCTTTGTAGGTGCGTTCGAGATGCAAAAGCGTATCCAGATCGTCATATCGGTTGCTGGATAGGACCAGCACCGTTCCAACACCAGCTTCAGCATTTCCATAGTCACTAGAGTGTGTTCATTCATTTTATGAAACGTCCTGGCTGTAATGATTGTATCTATTTAAGTGATGAAAATGAGATGTTCAACGAAACATCTCTCTCTTTCTCTTATGCCATCGCCAACTCTTTTCACTAAATGACCTTTACTATTTTCTTTTAAAAATGTGATAAATAAATAAAGGAAAACAATAAACATAGTATATAAGGGCACGGATTTTTATAGCAAAACAACAGTCTGTTAACTCAGTCATCTAAAAATGCATTGCTATCTCTTGGCTCTATTCGCACTCATTGCCGTTGCCTATGGGTAGGCATTTAGTAATGTCATAAATCAAATTGCTGTATGTTTCGAGAACTTACTAGCAATTTAGGTGATGTATATCGTAGACCAATTTCTGTTCGGTGCCAGGCCAAAACAGGTAAAAAATCCATTTTCCCCCTGCCCTCTCCCTCGGTAATGGCCTAGATAGTGCTGAAAGTTCCCAAAAATACGTTTAAAACATTGGCATTTAGTAGTTTGGTTTCGGTTAAAGTTTTCGTCTTTTATCTTAAACATCTCTCATCTCAAATTTAGTTCCCCTCTATTGGGTTTCGGCGGTGGATTTGGTGGTCAACGAGGCTTCCATGGAAGTGGTAGCCACGAGTTCGGCGGAATGGGTGGACGGGGTGGATTCGGAGGTGGTATGAGAGGTGGAATGGGTGGATTCCGTGGAAGTGGTAGCCACGAGTTCGGTGGTGGCCGTGGTGGATTGGGCGCCGCTTTCGGAAATCACGGCGGAGGGCGAGGTGGATTCGGTGGACGAGGCGGTTTAGGGAGTGGATCACACGAGAGATGGGGAGTAAGTATTCTGCTAAATTTGTTAAACTTTAAGTTATTATTTGTAGATACATTAATTGTTGAGAGGCAACCTAAAAGTTCTCTTACTCATTGTACCTAGGAAAGCAGTGAATTCGACTCATTTGTAAATGACAAAAATCGTTTCTCTTATAGGTTGAGCTCAAAAAGATGTTTTGTTTTTTCAGAAATAAGCCCTTCCGTCTCCAATGAACGATCTCTTTTCTCAAATGCTCTCTCAAAATAAAACAAACTTTTTCATTTGAATAAACACATTTGCACAAGTTTTTAATAATACAACCATTTTTCCAAAGTAAATATCATTAGCCGATTTACAAAACTTTCAATAATTTTTTTGGAAATCAGTAAGCAAATATTTAACCATTCTAAAAGACAGGTTTATTTATTTTCCTATCACAAGTGCATTTTTTTGTGTTTTTAGTTTTTCTAAGGTTGTTTCTTTCGTTGTTTTCCGATCTATCTCTAAACTGGTTTCTCGTTTTTGAAAAAAAGAAAGATTGGTTATCAAAAATAGTCCTTGTCTCGTCTTGGTGAATGGTCGTTATTGGAAAACAAATTGCATTTGTGCACTTTTAGCTATCAATAAGTATAGAGGCAAGTATACTACCGTGCAAAAAGATATGATATTTCCCCACTCGATATCTCAAGAACAAAAGAAAGAATTACTTGAACAACAGTCATAATACGATTCGATAACGCTGCTTCCAAATCTAAAACCCGCTTTAACATAGCTCTTTTAATTTTTGAGGTTTTGGAGCTTGATTAAAAAATTTTAGGCTTTAGATAAGAAGCCAAAAATTCTCTGTAAATGAATATTTCAGAAAAACTTTTATCCAACTTAAACTTATTCAGAAAACTAATCTTTTATAACAAAAAAAACAATTCCGAAAGCCTATCATTAGAGCCAGTTGACAAATCGACAAATATTAGATTAACCTATTTTTAATAGCTTATTCAAAAAAAATCTTTTGTTCGACAGAATGAATCTCTCAGGCAATTCATGATTTTTTTTGTTGTCTCTTTTTCTTGACCCATTCCATAAAAATATGACAAGCTACACTCAATGAAAGGCGCTCACGTTCAGACAAAAGTGAATAACAGAAGCTCGAATTGAATCTATTCCTATTGCCTAATCTTTCAAAAGTTTGTTTTCAAATTATTTACAGCAATTTTAATTCCTATTCCGAAAATTTGTGATTATTTTAATCGAAATGAGCTACAGTTTACGTCATCGATTAAAAAAGCGTCAACTATTTGCATATAAAACTCTTCCGAACGAATTGAAGAAATCGGTTCTGAATTTTATTTCATTCAACGATATCTCCCAATTATTCAAAGTAAATAAAAAAGTGAAAAATAAAATTCTTGTTAATTGTTCATTCATTCAAAAGTTCATTCTTTTTATATAGAATCTATGGTTTCTATGTTTTCAATCACAATTCATTTCAATGAAGAAATCGAATTTCGATTGAGCATAGATAAAGTGAAACTAATTTGGATTTGATCGAATCGAAAAGAAAATGAAATTTTCAGTGGATTCATTTTGGAAATACTTTAATTAAGTTGAACTCTCGAAGAACACACTGTAGTTACTATTAAAGTGTGTTCCTCTTGATTAATAGTGTGAAATAGTAAAAGAAATACGGTGGAAAGTCACTGAGTATCTTGAAAAGTGACAAAGAACTTGCCTGCCTCTACCGATGTCCTTTTTTTTATTTCACACTATAAATCAAAATGAACATACTCTAGTGACTATGGTCGAGAAATGCTGAAGCTGGTGCTGGGTTTCAGGATAAGTGATTTGTTTGAAATTTAACTTTGGTTTAAGCCTAACCGATATTCGTTTCATTTCTTTCCCATGTTCAATATGTTCAATTAAAAACAAAAACTGAAAATTTCTATTGAATACTTATTTTACCAAATAGTAAACTTGAAGAAATACAAATAATATTCGGAATATATACTTTAATCGAACCGTATTGGAACCATATTGGAACCATATTCGAACCATATTGAAACCATATTGGAACCATATTGGAACCATATTGGAACCAGATTGGAACCATATTGAAAACATATTGAAAACATATTGGAAACATATTGAAAACATATTGGAACCATATTGGAACCATATTCGATTAAAATAGGAACTATATTGGAACCATATTCGATCAAAATTTTGAAAGAAAAACAGCAAATTCCGTTGGAAATCTCCGTGTCGAAATTATCTCTGGGAGCTTTGAGAGCTGTTAGCGATGTTCACACACAGATAAGCAATATTTATTCGACGAAACTAGAGATGAAATTTTCACGAATTTTATCGATTTGTCTCCTCTCAATATTCCGAATTTCTACCGCATTCACATGCCCTCAGGGTTCTCATGAGTTTCCCGATGAGAATGTCTGCGTCTATGTCATCACAGCACGTCTGTATAGACTCCAAATAAAGCAGACTTTTTATCAAATGATTTTTCCTATTACGGAATCAGAATTTGGCACTATTTATGCTATTCACTAGTACTTTATCCTTGTTTTAACAATGACACTTTAGCCGATTTCTATGCACAAGCTGCGGGCCAGTGTCTTATGTTGGATGGGTGGATGGCCAAAGTGCAAAATGCTTTCGAGAATGCCTATCTTTTGGGGATGAGTGCTTCAGGTATTTTAATTAGCAATTGTTCTTAGAATAAAAAGGTTGTGCTTACTCATTTTGAACTTGAAAATAAACCGATTAAACGATTCTACAATATCGTAAATACTCTCGATTTAAAGGGATAGATTCCTGCATAGAATGACTTTTGCAAAAACGGGATATTTATTGATTGTGACTAGTGTATTTAAGGAACTTTAATCAGAATATCGAAGAATATTATGGGATCATCAATTAAACAAGCGAGGAAAATATGAAAAACCATTTTGGCGGCTGTCTAAAACGTGGATAATCCGTCAAAAATTATCTAAAAGTCCTGTCGGAATGCATTTTATCATTCAGCGAATTGTTCATTTTCCAGATCTCGTCTGTTTTACCATTGTTTTTACTAGTTTTTTTACAGTTAAGTAGATAATTGTAAGGAAAGATTAACGCGATTTAATTGGAGCAAAAACATGGTTGGATCGCGAGATAAGACCAAATCAAAAATACGTTAGTTTACCGTTTGCCGGTATACTCCTTTAAAGGTGTATTCATGCAGTCATTGCATTCATTTTCAAAAACCCTCTATCTATTGATGATAATTACCGTAAATCCTCTATTAGAGCGGCAGCGCGCTCTATTGTTCGATGACCCATTTCTCAAATCCCTAAAAAATCACATAAGGGGGTACCACATTGTTCAAAAAATAGTTTTTTGCTTAAATCACTCGAACTTGATCCCTTTTGGTCTAAAACATACGAAAAACACATTTAAAAGGAAAATTTTTTTCTCTGATTTGAAAATTGGAGGGTCAATTTTCAAATCTCTTATCATTTTTAAAAGTTTTTTCAAATTTCTTTTAATCATTTAATCATTTAATCATTTAATCATTTACTACCATCATCTGTAGATTATGCATAGTGATAGTATGCATCATTTTAAACACTTTTTACAAAATAGCTTTGGAAAAATTGAGCTTTTAATTAGCATCAAACTAACCTCTCTAATAGGGATTTACGGTAGTGTATTAAGGTCGTAGATTAGGAAAATGAAGAAAAAAATGCAATCGTGAGCAATTTGAGAGAGAAAAATACGAATCACTGTTTTGAGAGTTGTCTAAAACGCGGTAATTTTCCCCAAAAAGTTATAAAATTTCCGTCAGAAAGACCGCTCAATATTCCCAATTCTTTTATTTTTTCATTTTTTTCCCCAAATTTTATTCATAATTCAAGTATTTTAAGACAAGCAATTTGTCTTTTTAAATTAGAGCAAAAACGTTTGAATCGCGTGAAAAAGCTGGATCAAAAACTGCATCAAATTTTGCATTGACCGGAATACTTTTTTGGGAGTTGGGATTTCGTAATCTGATCTGCGTGTTGATTGGTTCTAGCAACTATAAGTTCAAATCATTTAACCGAAATTTGACTGTACTCAGCTCTCCACACCAATCCGTACATTGGAGTTGAAAGGAATGCAAATGGCACATGGGTCTATTCGGATGGATCTCCGTTGAGCTACACGAATTGGGGACCAAGTGAGTTATTGGGTTGGTGGAAAAGTCTTTTCCGATTTCTTGGGAGAGTACCTTAAACGAGAAAAACGAAGGAAAATCGCGAAAAGCGGCGGAAAGGCTATTGATCTGAGGGTCGCTGGTTCGACTTCCACCGGTGACAATATTTTTCAAAAATTTTTTGCTAAGATTCTGAAAATGCGTGTCTAGGGGTTATTTTTGACACTGATCACGAAACACATGTTTTTAGCCTAGGTTTCTGCACGGAAAACTAACGAAACACATGTTTTTAGCCTAGGTTTCTGCACGGAAAACTAACGAAACATGAAAGCAGCCATTTTTTTTGGCTCTGCCGCCCTTTACGAAAATCGCTGTAAGAACTTTTAGAAAAGAGATATCTCAAAACGGTTTTTACCAATCGATCCGTCTTTGAATTCAGCTTTAGGATTAGCTATAAAACGTCAAAATTGGACAAATTTAAGGTACTCTCCCAAAAAATCGGAAAGGACTCTCCATCAACCCAATATTTTATGTACACCATTCTAGCTCTTCTTCATTTATGAAAAACAAAATCCAAAAATTTATTTTCTTTTAAATGAAGAGGAATTAGATAAAGCTTTATTTGAGAAAATTTTTAGCTTTATTCCATGCGCTTAACAAATACTACCAACTTTTAGTTCTTATTCCTTATTCCAAAAAAACTTTTATGCAGAAAGAAGCTCTCCTCAAAAATTCTACACACAAATAAGTTAAGATTTTCAGAAATTATTGCACTTTTCAGATCAACCAAATATGGCGAGCAACACGAGTGTTTGTGCTGCGATGGATTTAGCAACGGGCAAATGGATGACATCTGAATGCACTGCAGCTCGACCATTCTTTTGTACGACTCAAACAGCACTTATTACCACTACAACTAAACAACCAAGTGAGATTAATAATAAAAAAACAAAAGATAAGTGCTTTTATTTCAGGCAATCAGCCATGTCCCAATGGTTGGGTCTACAATCAGGACATGAATTATTGCTACTATTTACGGGTTTGCCTTTTAACACATTCGTGACAAAGCCATTTAGGCCAAGCTCACTTATCTCAATCAAAATAATTGCACAAAATCGTCTGGAATATACCTAATCACTTGAAATTTTTTTCGCAGAGGCTAGAGATCTCCTTGTCCACCTTTGGGACAAATTTCAAACAAAATCGGTTCATTCCACACTTTTTGAAGAACTTTTTTATATCCATTTGTTCATCTCGTCGTCAATGCGTCAATATTTGAAATGTTTTCGTTTTGTCTAGGATTTCGCCTATCCAGATGGAGTGCATTGGCCACTGTACAATTGGACGGGAGCCGAATTATTGTGCCAACAAATGCAAAACACTTCGCATTTGGTGTCGATTCACTCAAAACAGGAGGACGATTTTATTTATGGTTCGAATTATTAAAATCAGCCAGAAAAACCCGCTGTTAGGCTCGTGCAGACGGATTTTATTTCCTCCACCCCTAGAGGAATCGAACCCGCGACCTTTCTTACGCAAAAAGTGTAAAAACAAAAAAAGCAAAAAAGATGGCATTGAGTCGGGATCGAACCCGAGACTAACCGAGCCCAACGTTGCGCAACTTGACAGATCGGATGCCGGGACGCACTACCACTCGGCTACGCGGTAGCATGTATTCTTTAATTTTGCTTTTTAGGAAAAACGGTCAAATTATGTGTCAAATATTATTAGATTTTTGGAAACTACGTAAAAAGTTAGGTTTGTAATGGCAAACTTTCAGATCGATTGGTTCAGCCGTTTCTTCTAAAACGGCGGAACAGACACACAGACTCTCTCGCTTAAAATAATTAGGATACAGTACTGGACAATGAAATATCATACTTGAAAAACGATCGTCACGTTCGCACGTCTGTAACTTCTTTGTCTTTGAGTTTAAACTATTAGGGTTATACATTTTTTGAAAGCTCTTTTCAAGGGCTACACAATGGTAATATTAATATTTAGAAATACGGTAAAGACAAGGGAGTTAAGGGATAACTTTCACAACAACAGTACCAAACAAAATTGTAAGATCAAGAGTTTTTAGAGGAAAAATGATCAGTCCATTCTTGAAATTAGGTAAAATTTCAAAGTTAAGTTATTCTTTTTTCATAAATCTAAAGTAGTCACTCAAAGTAAATAAAGAGCACGGACTTTTTCAAATTTATAAAGACTAGAATCTAAAAGTAGTCTAACAGAAAATATGCTATTGAAATCAAGTTTTTTAGATGCAAAAAGCTTCAAAGATTATTTCTACAATTTACTACAGTACTGGACAATGAAATATCATATTTGAAAAACGATCGTCACTTTCGCGCGTCTGTAACTCCCTTGTCTTTGAGTTTAAACTATTAGGGTTATACATTTTCTGAAAGCTCTTTTCAAGGGCTACACAATGGTAATATTAATATTTAGAAACACCGTATTTTTTGACGCATTTCAGCACGCGTGAAAGTGACGATCGTTTTTCAAATATGATATTTCATTGTCCAGTACTGTACAAGTTATTTCTAAAGTTTTACAACGTTTTAATGACTTTATCAGTACAGTAGCCCTTCAAAAGTTTTACTTTCAAGAGTTAGAGGCAAGTACTCCCGTGGCAGAGTAAATAGCGCATTTGCTTTTGCTTCGAGTGTCGAGGATTTGAGTCCAGTCACTGTATTCCCTTCTTGTCATTCTTTAGAAAGATCAGCTTTAAAGCTTTTCGTAAATAAAAGTTTTATAGAATAGTTTTTTTTAGTTTTAACAAGTATCAGAAAAAACAATAAAAAAATGTTCTACATTGGACAAAACAACTAAAACTTCCATTTTTTTTTCTGGTTTTATCACTTCAAATGTGGCCGATGACAAATGGGCAGCTCCCTACAATCAACCGTGTGTATACGGAAGAGCATGGATTGGTTATAAAGGAAATGGAAAAATGGGAGCTGGAAACTGGACTGATGGGACTCCAGTTGATTACATTGGGTCTTTATCTCAGTCCGAATTATATATCTGGAGTGTAAGTTTTTTTTAGAGTTCTCCAAAAAAACCCCCAATTTTTCTAGATGATCAATGATCAAACATGCCAATCCAAAGAGTGGGACCACGATTCAGTGAATAGCATAAACAGCCTAAACGCCCGTTTCGTCTGCAAGATGCCGGCTCGAAAAACTCTCGAATTACAAAAGAAGAACAGCTTTAAGCGATAAAAGAATTTCTATCAATCACTTATCAGAATTATCGATGTTTTTTTGACTTTTAGATGTAAATTTGATTGATGCGTACTTTGAAGTTGAACACAAAACAAAAATGTTTACAAATTTTACAAAGAAGGCAATCAAAGCAACTCCAATAAAAAGTTTTAGCAGTTTTTAAACTACTAAAAAGATTTTAGTAGTTTTTAGTAGTTTTTAGCAGATCTTTAGCATGTTTTTACTCCCTTTATGAAAATTTGTCAAAGAATCATCCGAGACAAGGCAAAATTTTCTGATTTTTCTCAAGAAAGACCTTTGACACAACCCCAAACAGTTCTTGTTCCTATTTTTAGAAATCACCTGATATAAGAGTACATTCAAAAGCTTTTTCTGCAACCTCTGTATCTTGAAACTTGATTTCTCTTGATTTCTCTTTATTTTACGCCATTTCACTCAAAGTTTTCTATGTGTAAAATCTCTATTCTATGGTGTTTAGACTGGTGAAACCGACAGTAAAACGCTTTTTAAGACTGTTCATTTATTTGAATCAATTTCAGCACGGCTTTCTTTGATTCATTATCCTATTGAATGGGTTCAATTTGCTCTACGTTCTCTTGATCAAAAGATTTTAGTGTATATTTTTTGTCTAGGTGATAAATCATGGGTCTTTGATGATCCCTTGTTGACAACAATTGAGTAATCAATCCAATTTATCACGACAATATCGATTATCGATAAAGCTTCATTGGTAAAGACTGGTTTCGGTTGTCGGTTTCTTAGTTGTTCCATTGTGAAAGCTTGTGAAATGGTGAGGAAAACAAATTTGTTAGAAAGAATACGAAAATAAGACAAAATCCCGAGAACATTGTGGATTTTTTGAGAAAATTAGGCGGTTGAGTGGCACCACTCAACACAACGCAAAAAGGCAACGCGTTTCTCTCGTTGTTGACTCATTTTCTGTTCGACTTTGATTGGATAACAAAGAAAAAACGTTACTATTTCCCTTAGCATTTTTTTGGCTACGAATGATAATTAGACTTTTTAGATAATTGAATTCTTTCTATGGAAATAAAAGAAGAAATTGAGAAAGTTTGAAAAGAGATAAGAAGCGAACAAAACTGAAGTACTGTACTGTAAACACTGTAAAGTACTGTACACAATCTGTAAACAAGCTTCCGTCGACAATTTTATTTCCATTGATTTTTTTGAAAGTTTCTTTTTACAGAGATTCGAAATAAAGTGATTGTTTTGAAAAAAAGAAAACGATCAAATGATTTTTGAAAGAAAAACTATTTTGAATAGCCAAACAGCTCAAAATCTTGACCATAGATTGCATTGAAATAAGCCATCGTTTGAGGGTTTTCTTCAACACTTTTCTGTATATTCTTTGTATGATTCTCGTCTCGATTCGTGTGTGTTGTATCCGAATAGACAACGTGAAATAAAACCTGGAAAAGATTTTGTGCAAGAAACGAATAACAAAATCACTTGATCAGAATAGATTTTCGGCACTTTCGCTGCTTCGAAAGCTTTCAGTAACTCGTTTCTTGTCTCCAATCGATCACCATCATTGTGGATGAGTTGGAATTGTTCGGGATTTACGGATAAATTGCAGAACCTGAAAATCTCTTGTTTTGAACTTAAAACCCTGTTATTTATTGAGTTTTTGTAATAAAGAAACTGGTAAATCACAAGATTAAAAGCTTTCAATTTTTAAGCAAAGAGTTGAGTTGACCAAAGCCTTCAAAAACTAGAAGAACTATAAGATTTTCATTGATTTTTGAAGGAAAACTTCAAATATTTACTATAGAATGTTATAGAATTTAAAGAATGTTACATTAACCTCCAGATTTTCAAATGTAAAAACTGATTTCTCTTATTTCACTCACCAGCTTTGTGGTTGTGCATGATACTCAACAATCTCTTTCTTATTTTGATCAAAAGAAGTCCCTTGAACAGATCGAGTGCTCAACAATGAGTAAATTTCATTTGCAAATTTGTGCACATTCGGTTCATTGCCGCAAATTTTGATTCGTCTAAAAAGAATGCTACACTACTGGACAATGAAATATGATATTTGAAAAAAGATCGTCACTTTCACGCGTCTGTAACTCCATTGTCTTTACCGTTATTCTAAATATTAATATTACCATTGTGTAGCCCTTGAAAAGAGCTTTCAGAAAATGTATAACACTAATAGTTTAAACTTAAAGACAAGGGGTGTTACAGACGTGCGAAAGTGACGATCTTTTTTCAAATATCATATTTCATTGTCCAGTACTGTACTTTGAAAAGAAAGAATGCTAAAATAAGAGATTCATGAAAAAAAACTCACTCGCAGAAGTAGATGTAAAGAGAAACAAAGCGGGTCATTGGATGGCGAATGACGGCGATTTTTGTCTCATCTGTGTTCCTTTGCCATTTTTCACTTTTGAATTTCGTTTCCACGAGATCTTTGTACCAGTTTCGACTCTCGCATTCACCAAAAACAAGTTTTTGAGTACTTTAATAAGTTATTTTAAATTCAAAACCAATTACCTATGCGATTTTCCATGCCCAAAATAGATCTTGAATGGGATTCCCTTAAAATAACGATAAAGATCACAAAGGATAATCTTCATGATTGTTTGCCCGTTTTTCGGGATTTGACAAAAGAAGATGCCCATTGCGCGAACATTCTCGAGTTGACTCGTCGATTTCTGAAATTGTGAAAACATCAAGAAAACATCAAGAAAACATCGATTCTTACCGAATTTGGCTGATCGATTGCTGGTCGTGGAGGGATTTCTTCGATTATTCCTTCTGTTAAATTTCTGTTAAAATGACTTTTCAGTAACAAGATCTATTCCTAACCTTTCTAGCGCTTAAACCCGCTTTGCAAAAAGCAAAATAATTTACCTTTCGTCTTATCATCATTGGCAAAAGTTAAAGAAAATAAGAGAGAAATGAAAAAGTGAAAAACGAGACTCATTGATTTGGTTTTAGTTGACGGAAATTCCCATGAATGGTTGAAGTGAAAGGACGAGATGTCGATCTGAAGGAGTTTTTTCGATTCGTATCTTTCTTCATTTATGCTGCGGATCTTTGTTCTTCGCTTTCGATTATGGAAACGTTTTTTTTAATTTACAGAACTTTCGAAAACTAATGTATTCAAGATGTGAATCAAGTTATCCACTATGAATGCAAATGGTTCCATTGATTTGACAGTGACATAGAAACCGTGAGCATTCAGCCACGCGTCGCAAAAAAATTTCAGTTCTTTTATCTGGTTAAGCTAGGTGAATTTTTTTGCAGAATCAATTGGATTCCAATTTCAGAATCAATTGGATTCCAATTTCAGAATCAATTGGATCAAACACATGTAGGAAACTTGACGATAAAACGAAGCTTTTTACAAATTTATAAACCAAAAGCTTACACAAACTTTTATTTTTAATAACCAAGCAACTCAAAATCCTTGTAATAGATAGCATTGAAATATTCCATTGTTTGAGGACTTTGTTCCATATCGACTTTCAATTGTTTGGTGCGAGTCTCGTCATGATTTGAGTGTGATGTATCCGAGTAGACAATGTGAAAAAGAACCTGGAATAAATAGGAAATAGATAGGAATTCAAGGAACTTGACCATTTTCACTAACCTGATCAGCAAAACGTTTTGGCACATTGGCTACATCAAAAGCTTTCTGCAATTCGCTTCTCATCATCAATCGATCACCATCATTGTGAACTAGTTGGAACTGGTTTCGACTTGATGCTAAATTGCAGAACCTAAAAATGAGTAAATATCACTTTGAGCAAGTTCTTAGTATTTTAAAGATTATAAGACTGCTAACGCAGCTGAAAACTACTGCGATTTGAGGTCTCACGTAAATTTATAATCCTGTGCCAATCGAAAATCCTATTGTCTTCGTAAGCAGGAATCTTTTCGGCTAACGCTGCTTTTCTTGCTGAATAGTTGGGGCTGAGCGTAGTCGGCGATCCATTTATTTCACTTATCCAAGTTGTTTTAAACCTATTCCTATAGTTAGCTCATCCCAAATATGGGAATCTCCAGAACCGCGCGAAGGCCTAGGAACACTCTCCCCCCATGACCCAGATCAAAGATCGGTGGCTGGCGGTCATGGAGCTTTAAAAAGGGCTATTGGGTTAATTTTTCCAGTTTATATAGTTTATTCGAGAACTTTGTTGTAGAAAATGTTGCGCATGATGTTATTTGCACAGACGGATGTCTCTTCCCCTTTATATCTAGTAGAAAACTCTCGAAATTGACTTTCCAACAGTTAAAATCCATTTTGTAAAGAAAAGCCAAACTAATTTTTTTTTGAGGGGGACTCTTTCCCAACTCTCGTTTGAGAGACGCGCCTTCTAACCACTCAGCCATCTGCGCGCGGAGGGGAAGTTGGGCTCGGCTCGGCTAGTTTTGCAACATTGGGCTCGGCTAGTTTTGCAGTTTTTGAACTTTTTAAAAAAATTGCTTTGGTGGATTTTCTTGATTTTTTGGGGGCGGAATCAACATAGAATTTTTTATCGAACGAAAACAAGCTGTATCTCGAAATTCGATCTGGGCGTCGAGAAAAGTGCCTGTGACAGACAGACAGACTTCTCTTTTGCTTTATATATAGTAGATAGAGACGCAAAGAAATTTTAGGTATTTCAGCTTTCAGCAGGTAAGTTCAGCTTTCAATTTATACACAACAACCATATTATCAACCGATCTCTTGATCTCTAAATCTAAATTCTTCACCAAAACCTTACCATGTCTGTGGCTGTGAATGATATTCAATTGTTTCCTTTTCCCGGTCTGTGAATGCCGTTCCATCGATGTTACTTGTGCTCAACAAAGTGTAGACATCTCGCGTGAATTTGTGAATGTCCGGATTAGCTCCGCACATTTTAATGTGTCTAAAAAGAAAATCGATTTCTTGCTTAAAAACTCACTCGCATAGATATCGATAAAGCGATAAGAAACGAGTGAACGGATGACGAATGATGGCCAATCTCGTCTCTTCCCCATTTCGTTTCCATTGCTCGTGCTTGTTTTTTGTGTCTTTGTACCAGCGTTGATATTGACATTCACTAAAAATCTGCAGAAATGTTGGATCACTTTACCGTTTTTTTCACTGACCTGAGTTGTTTATCATGTGTGAATTGAGGTTTAAACGAAATGCCGATAAAATATCGATACAAATCACACAGCACAACCTTCATAATGGTAGCCCCATTCTTTGGGATTTGACAGAAAAAGATTCCCATCTCACGAACATTTTGAAATTGACTCGATTTCTGAATTTGTTTTGAAAAGATGAACACAAGTTTTGTACCGAATTTGGCTGATCTAGAGCGGGCCTTGACGGAATTTTCAAAACGATCAATGTTTCTAAAAGAAATCTTGAATTTAAATCAAATTGGTAAAGTTTAAAGAGACGAAAGTGTACCATTTGAGTCGTTTTCAGCAAATATCGAAAGCAAAAACACAAAAAAGACGAAGAAAGTTCGAAAATTCATTAAGAATTGACTGATTCATTTGGAAAGTGGAGGAAAGTGAAGTGAAGGAGATTGCGATCTCAAATGAATTTCGATCTGATTTCTATCGCTCGGTCTAATCCTGCTACTCTTTGGATTTAATTTTTTTTACTTTTATCTAACTAAACACAGATATGGATATTACACCCTCTAAAAGCTTTAATTCCAAAAAATGAAATAATTTTATTATCAAAATGTGTGAAAATGTCTAACGAGGAAATGATCTCAACTCGAATTTCAGAATCGATATGAGATTATGCTGCTCTTATAGAACGACCTTTGCATGACTAATAGAAAAAGTTATTTAACATTTTGTGATCAGCATGATCGGTTCTATAAGGCCACCATAGTCTCATATCGGCTCTGGACTTCGGGCTGAGACCATCACTCGTAAGTATCATTTATCTAAAGAGTGGTTGAAAAGATATCAAGTTCAAACAAAGTTCTGACCTTCATTGTACGGTAAGAGTCATGGGTAATCGGCGATCCATGATGTCGTGAATGAGTCAAGTAATTTTATTTTTTGTATTTTTATTTATTAAAGTACTAAAGTTATTTCATTTTCTTATTTTGTATTACTTTCAGCTGATAATACAAAATAAGCGGGAGAGCGCGGCTCAAAATGGCTAGCAATCGAAAGAATCACTGTGGGATCATCCCGGTAGTCATCCCGGTTGTCATCCCGGTCGTCATCCCGGTTGTCATCCCGGCCGTCCTCCCGGTTGTCATCCCAGTAGTCATCCCAGTAGTCATCCCGGTCGTCATCCCAGTAGTCATCCCGGTCGTCATCCCAGTAGTCATCCCGGTCGTCATCCCGGTTGTCATCCCGGTAGTCATCCCGGTAGTCATCCCAGTAGTCATCCCAGTAGTCATCCCGATTGTTGTCGCTGTTTGAGTGGAATTCAAGAAAGAATTGTTGATTCTCATGTTTATATCATAATTATTACTTGTTCATTAGCGTGAAATTCTTTACTTTCTAAATTGGAAAGTACTCGATCTCCTAGTCACTATTATTCTTCTAATCATTGTTTTGTGTTAATATTATTCTTATTTTTTGTTGTCTTATAAAACTTTTTGAAAAATATAATATATTGTCTACATAAAATGCAGATACACAAGAGCTTAACTGCCTAAAGCGAAAAAATTTGCTTGTTGAAGTTGAATTTCAGCAACATAAAGCCAATGCGATCAAGTGGTGTTAATAAAACTAGCAAAAAGTTTATACACCCTTTACGATGTCTTCTTACAAATATAATGTGCCATTTTCGATGCCCAGAGAGCCGGTGGGAATAAATATAAAGTAATCTTCTTTTGTTCTGGATCTCCGATCACATCATGGCAAAACTAAAGGGGTTAAGTGAGCAGTAGCAAGTCAGATAAAATAACATACCGTAAATACTGTAATAGTACCCCACCCCCATAATGACGGTGCGAAGTGTTGGGTAGTCTAGCTTTGAGCCAGTTTTTCTCGACACTGCTTTATGCTACAATGCGCGCTTCGGTATCAAAAAATAGCTGAAATTCAGGGCTATTTTTTCCTACCAAAGACGTATTTTTTGAAAGTACGGGCGCTTTGAAAAAAATGAAATACTAAAAAACTTTTGCGACTACGCGACTGTACGAGGGGCGTGGGGTACTATTACAGTATTTGCGGTAGGTATAAGATAGCTATTTTAAGACAACTCACCGCCCAGTAAAGATAATGATTTCCTTCGGCAGGTATATAATCGTCAGGAGATCCATCTGACCATTCTCTTTGCCCTTTCACCCCCTGTAACCCTATCCAGACCAGGTGCGGCAACTTGCAAGGAGTCCGCGGATCGTCACTCATTGTATTTTCAACAACGCCAACTGTTTGAGTGATGACCAACTCTGTAGTCAAGTTATCGCGTAGAGAAAAGTTTCAAACCGTTCACAAACAGCATCTCTTCCCGAGAGTGAATGGACACGAGATGTGCCCCCATTTGTTGACAACGATCCTCGGCTTCGCTCCGTGTAAAGCGACGAGATCGGTCCCATTTCTGGAACATCTAAGTCTATAAATTGAGCTCTCTAGTCTAAGCTTTCCAATTTTCAATTGCCTGAAAATAATAGCATGAATGCGTTGCCGCAAAGTAGTTCCAATCAATGGAACAATGGCTTTGATAGGCTGCATTAACAACAGCATTTTGAATCTCATCGGCCCTTGAACATGATTTGAAATGATTAGCAAGTCAATTCACTCACAGTTGATGAGTCGGTCTTGTTAAGTTCATTTGTAATGTAATGAACGCTGTCCTCCTTTCTAAAGAATTAAATTTCCAGAAGCTAGAAAATTGATGGTGTTTCATTTCTGTGACCTTGTCTGACAAGGTTTCCCTGAAAATAACAGCTTTACGTTCACGTTAAAAAAGACCCTTAGAGCAATTTCCTATTGTTTAATGTTATCTGCAACACTGAAATTTCAACAATATAGCGGGTAATTGATCAAAGTTAACACATTCGCGACGACCTGATCCAAAGGTGGGTCAGGTCCAGATTTAGTGAACCCAATGGACAGATTAAGCTGAAAATTTGTATCCGGGGATTTTCCGGGTCGGGGATTCGAATCCGATATTAGTTTTTGGTTACAGTAACCCCCAAGTACTCGAAATAGGAGTGTTCGTTTCGGTCATTTTGAGGATTTCCCAACTTCGACATTAAAGAAACTTTTTTCCTACTTGGCCGATTTTTGGTGCTTTTGATACGAAAGGATGCCTTGAGATCTCTTCTAATAAAAAGCAAAGAGGTATCGCAAAAATATTGATAAATAACAAATTTATTAATTTCCTTGTAAAAAAATCCCAGTTATTTCGAAAAATTTCTATCGTGTTCCAGAGAGCGCCCAAAAAAATGCAAATTTTCATGTTTACGTAATCGCGCGGCTTCTGGCACAGGGTTTTGATATGTATGCACTATAACAGTAAAACATTTTTCGTCATTTTGATCACTTTAGGTTGAATTACTCAGCTTAAGGAGTATGGATTCCGCTAGAGCTTCAAAGGGTTTTTTCCTATTTCACTACGCTCCCAGTAGGGTACACTACTGGACAATGAAATATCATATTTGAAAAAAGCTCGTCACTTTCGCGCGTCTGTAACTCCCTTGTCTTTACCGTATTTCTAAATATTAATATTACCATTGTGTAGCCCTTGAAAAGAGCTTTCAGAAAATGTATAACACTAATAGTTTAAACTCAAAGACAAGTGAGTTACAGACGCGCGAAAGTGACGATCGTTTTTCAAATATGATATTTCATTGTCCAATACTGTATATCCCCTCGCTTGGTGAAACGGGATAATCACTTGTATAAGAAAACTTGAAAACGAGCCAGTTCGCTTTTTTCTTGCAAATGTATCGACTGACGGCTGTTGTTGGAATCAATGCTCGCTTCAAGAAAGGCTTTCGGCGTTTACGATCAACTCAGGGAAAAACGTCGTTGCACAACTAAAGCATATTTTTTTTTTAAAAACTGCTTAACCAACTGTATAATACAAATTGATAGGCTGATCTCTTGGCACATAATCATCTGATGACTCATCGGACCAACTCCTTGTTCCATTCACAAAGCGCAATCCAATCCAAACTTGATGAGGCATTTGACAAAGCGCTTCTCGAGAATCAACCTCAGCCACAATTAGGTCTAAAAAAAGCATTACCAAAAATTCAGCACATTGAAACCATTGAGAAACTGATGCTCTTCAACGGAATGTATCGACACTAGATTGGCGCTCATTTGCTCACAGTTTCGCTGAGCTTGTTCCCATGAAAAAACTCTTGACTCAACTCGTTTCTTGTCGGTGAAATTCCAAAAAAATCCTTATCTTTTAGCTACTTAATTTAATTACTCGATAAAAATAACAGGAACTCGTTGTCTCGAGATAACTCCATCCAAGATCACACTGTGAGTAATGCATCGACTCATCACTTAAGGCTTTATAAAGAGATTCTGAGCCTTTCAGTTACAAATCATCTGATGCTTCTAGTTTAGTAGAGCCATGCGATTGGTCAGCACTAAAGATTTTGAACACTTTTTTATCAAAACTTTCGCTTTACCCGAACGAGATTAATCGATCTGCAATATTACTAAATAATCAATGATTAATTGGTACACTTTGAAGGGCTTGCATGTTATAAATAATCAGAAAACCAATATAAAGCGTCGCTCCAATCGAATAAGCAATTGTTGACAACAAAAAAATAGACAAGCGGTATCGTTGCTTGTCCAGATCATAGTTTTGAAGTGCTAGCAGCTTTGCAGAGATCATGGTTGTCAGGGATTACTACAGATTAATTTAGTTGAAGTTGAGAACTTGTTTTGATAGAAAACAGATCCAAGAAAATGATCAAGATCGATTAAAAAGATGAAAAGAGAAACGGAACTCAAAACTCAACAAGATCTCCACTCAAGGTCATTGACGATCGGGAATGATATAAGAACACATCACAATTTATTCCCTCAACGTTTTCTTGCAAATGTAACGAGAGAATCGTCGATTCGGTAGAAATCTTTCGACGAAGAAATTCCTGAATTCTCCTTTCGACTTTCGAAACACGTCGTTGCACATCTGAAAGTTTAGCTTGTGCCTTCGAAGATTTAAGTTTAAGTTCAGCTATTCTATGAGCTGCTCACATCTAGTTTAGGCTGATTTTAGGTTGAACTTTTGGCTCTTTTCCTTTCCCTGAATTGTGGTCTTTTGCAATTTTTTGTTTTTTACCAAAAAATCTTTTGAAATTATTTTAACGTATTTTATTAAGTTCCACATGCACATTTAATCAGAGATGTTGGCCCTGACGGACTCAAAAACCTGTGATGATTCGTGCTTTGCTGAGCTGAGACAGCCAGCTAGCCGTCGATTAGCGAACAGGCGTCGAACCACCACCAATCGCCATCACCACTAAAAAGGAACTACCGGCAATAATGCAAACACTGATGACAAGACGTCATCAGTGTTTCTCTGAAGCCGATCACAATGTCGTTCTGCCTCTATGGGCTCGAGTTGAAGAGGCACTAAGAAAGATCCAACATCGGGCCAATAAAAGATGCGGGACTTGTAATTCGATGGCTGGAAACATCTGACAACAAACATCCACTCACAAAGAGAGAGCTTTTCGTTTGTACCGTGGCCACTTCCGGAGGCCGATTTTGGGCGACATTGTACAGAATTCCTGGTGCTCTCAACAGGATATCGTCAAGGCAAGGATTTCTATTTTGGCTGTATGTGAGGGCCAACTTCATAAAAAGTTGCAGGAAACGGAATGCGTTTTGCCGGGATGCTAAAATTGTTGCTCTTACGATTGTGCTTTAGATTCTAATTAAATGTGCATGTGGAACTTAATAAAATACGGTAAAACAATTTCAAAAGACTTTTTGGTAAACAAAGAAAAAATTGCAAAAGACCACGATTCAGGGAAAGAGCCGAATTTGCTAAAGCCAGTTCGCTTTCCTCTTTGAACTCACATCAAAGTAAATAAAATCTCGCTGCTCATGCAGATAATCATCCGGCGATCCATCAGTCCATTCTCTTCGACTCCCATTACTGTGCAAACCAATCCAGACATAATGGTCTCTTTGACAACCGTCAAGATCATTTTCAGCGATTGGTATAACCCGTTCTAACCAAGTCAGAATCACATCTGTAAACAACAAATGACTCTTTGAAGATGTTTTTATGAGTGACTTCTCTCTACGGAACAAACCATTGATAAACTCGTGCTCATCCTGTGAATGAATCGACACTAAATGTGAATGCATGTGTCGACAGTTCTCCTCAGCTTCCATGAATGTAAAAAGTCTTGAACCATATATTTTGGGTGACGTGAAGTTCTAGAAAAGAAGACCTATAAAGTATGAAAACGTGCTCACGTGATAATAATAACAATAGTTTTGAAAATGAATCCATCCAAAATTACAATCCCCTTGCACAAGCCGACGGTTGGCTTTTTGAAACACGAGAGCTCTATAAAAAGGTTTAACTATTTTAAAAGTTACCTCACATTTTTTCTGTTTCAGGCAAAGTTCTTTGAATAGAGTGTTTAGCAACATTTAAATTATTTTGTAGATTTCTAAAAATAAAAAGAGCTTTTTTACGTGAAAAAGGCACAAACATCGAGTAAATCAATAGAAATATCACGTAGATGGTCGCCCCAATTGCATAAGAGCAAATGATCAGGGAAAGGATCGATAATTTGTGATTCGTTTCTTTCAAATGAGCCTTTCGCTCAGCATCGAGGTCTCTGAAATGGATTGAACAAGCTGTTATTATTAAATTTATAAAACCTCGTTGGCAGAATAGGTGCCCTGTAAGCTGTGTCTAATGAAGAAACAGTGAAGACACCAGTCTCCTTTTCATACTTATTCTTCATTAAAATCTAAGAATATAGAGCAGGAAGAAATCAAAACTATTTCAATAAACCAGTTTCAAGGTCAGCAAGGGTTGAGCGATGTTCCACTTAATGAGAGATTGAGACACTCGGAATGAGTGGAAAAAGAGCATTTTAAAAACTCCTTAATGAACTTGTAAGATCTCGTTACTTTCATTAGTTGAGATTTGATTGATTTTTGAATTAAGCAATTTGATTTGTTAAATGAATTGTATCTGAATTGTATTGAATGAACTGAATGAATTGAATAAATTGAATGAATTGAATGAATGAATTGTATTGAATTGCATAATAGGAAACAAATTCATTAGGAAATCATTCAAGGCTTTATTGAGGCGCAAGCGTGGTGGTTGCTAGAGTGTGTTCCTTGCGAGTAAGTATTACTCGAGTAAAATTTGCATGAGTTACCTTTACTCGATTAATCGACATTTTTTGGTCGACTAACTACGAGTAATCCTCTTTACACGTCGAGTAGATTGAATATCTTTACATTTGACGGGAATTTTCCACCAAATCAGTTGAGCAATTGATGGTTTTAAAAGGAGTCGTATATAAGGCGGCGTATATGATTTTTGAATTAAGCAATTTGATTTGTTGAATGAATTGTATCTTGGCATAATAGGAAACAAATTTATTAGGAAACGATTCAAGGCTTTATTAAGGTGCAAGCCTGGTGGTTGCTGTTGTTGTTTCGGGCGCATCCTAACATGTTATATCAGATTTTAAATCCAATTACAGTACCGAGCGAACGTCTTTTCATACATTTTCAAAAAAATGTATGAAAATTTTTTCTAGAAAATGCCTCCCGTTTGTAGGGGTTTTTTTTGTTTTTGATTAGAATAATATATGTACATTTTATTTACAAATTTGAAGTTCAGCGTAAAAAAAAAGTAAGTGGCAAAACCACTAAAAAATACCTTAAAAACTGGGTGCAAAAGTCTTGCAAAATTACATTAAAAACATCGAAAAATCAATATTCAATTGATCCACCTCCTACCAAAATCACTTCATTGAGTCGACTAATTCGTGAAGAATCGCTAGTCGAATTGAGCTTCAAACTTTTTAGAACCATAATTCAACTTTTTCTGTGAAAGTCCTCATAACTTTCTTCTGCATTTGAAAAGCAAATTCTCTGAAAGCAAACCAAGGCTGATCGACTGAATTCTTTTAACAAAAAGAATGTCTCTAAATCTGTGTGTAAATTCTAAATATTAATTCCAAAAAAATTTTGGAGCTAGAAGACTATGGTTTGTTTAAAAAAGTTATTTAATTTGATTGCTTTGCGTGGCAATATTATGGATAACAATTTTGAATACACATTCTTTTCATAAATTAATCATTTTCACTGCATTAGCCCAATAATAGCATATCGTCTTTAACATATTTTGAATCGCTCGCTTGCAAGGCACATCCGTAACAATTTGTTATTTTTGCAAAAGACATCATTGAACACAATCACCGACTCAGCCGGATCTTTGCTGCAAAAAGTTTTCCCCTTGGTCCTTGTGAACTCAAATCCTTTCTTTCTTTGCCACAAACATCTCGACCGTCTTTTTGAAAAGAGACAAAGATCTCACTTGGTTGGCATCTTTAGAAAAAATAGAAAAAGACAAAGAAGGAAGCGATTTTTGGGACTCAGACCTTGCCCACAAAAAGCAAAATATCGGCTAGTGCACTCGTTTTGAAAGACGAAAGGGAATGCAATATTAATTCTTAATTAGGGAGATCTTATTTACGGTAATTCTGAGCTTCAGCTTTACAGATTTGCACTTAGGGATGTCAACTCTTACAGTATCCCTACTACTTTTGTGTGCTTTAGTTCGTGTCACTCACTCACAAGTTAGTTTCAGATTTTTTCACTACAAAAGCTTTTCACCAGCTTTTTCACTACAAAAACTTTTGCAAAAGGCAAAAATATTCAAGATTGACGAAGTAATCTCTTTGATAGTATTAGCTTCTTTTAGCTTAGCCCCAATCCAACGTATCCACCTGTTGGTTGCCCAAAATATGGCTTGTGTGCCAACAACAACTACGAGACTGGACTCACATATTATCAATGCGTACAAGACTCGTGTCTGGTAAGCTGAAAGTTTTTCTTTTGAGTTTAAGTTCAAGTTTTGATTACCAAATAGTAAGTTGAAGAGTTTTAGTGCAACGACGGTACATCAGCGGGTCCAACCGAAACAGTTGACGGCAGTTCAACTCTTCCGCCGAATTACAACTCTTGTTCGGAAGGTATAATGCCGGAAAAAATTAGAGAATCAAAACATTAAGCAAAAGTCCAAAGATAAAAAAGTTGAGAAAAATAAAGGAAATTTTTAGTTTTACTCTTAGGTCTGTAGTTTTTCAAGGAGGAGACATACACTACTGGACAATGAAATATCATATTTGAAAAAAATTGCCACTTTCGCGCGTCTGTAACTCCCTTATCTTTACCGTATTTCTAAATATTAATATTACCATTGTGTAGCCCTTGAAAAGAGCTTTCAAAAAATGTATAACACTAATAGTTTAAACTCAAAGGCAAGGAATTACAGGAATTACAGACACACGAAAGTGACGATCGTTTTTCAAATATGATATTTCATTGTCCAGTACTGTAGTAAATTGTAGAAATAATCTTTGAAGCTTTTTACATCTAAAAAACTTGATTTCAATAGCATATTTTCTGTTAAATTACTTTTAGATTCTAGTCTTTATAAATTGGAAAAAGTCCGTGCTCTTTATTTACTTTGAGTGACTACTTTAGATTTATGAAAAAAGAATAACTTAACTTTGAAATTTTACCTAATTTCAAGAATGGACTGATCATTTTTCCTCTAAAAACTCTTGATCTTACAATTTTGTTTGGTAATGTTGTTGTGAAAGTTATCCCTTAAATTCTATTCATTCGATTTTAGAAGTAAACATGTGCGCCTCATCTCCATGCCCGCCAAATTCTAATTGCACTCCATACATCAACAACTATTTGTGCACTTGTTGGAGCAATTTCACTGGGTCTGATTGCAATGACAGTGAGCGATCGAGTTTTAATTGATCATAAAAACAGTTTTAGCGATATCAACGGATATTTGTGCAAGTTCACCATGTCAGGTAAATGATTAGACGACCTGAAATTGCAAGTTAAACTAAATCGACCTGAAGTCTGATTGTTCAGAATGGTGGTACTTGTGCTAACAATGGTGATGGGACGATCAATTGCACGTGTAAATCGAATTACATGGGAGAATTGTGTCAATGTTAGTGGAAAGGAGATTAAATTTATTTTTCAAAGCCTTTTTTAAGCATTTACTACAGTATTCGTTATTTAGATTCTAATGATTGTTCTCCGAATCCCTGCCAGAATACCGGCAAATGCGTCATGCTTTTCTCCGGTGAACAACAGTTTGTACAAACTGCAAAACAAAAGGAGTATAACTTTTCAGATATTGTAATTGCACAGCTGGTTGGCAAGGTGCAACTTGTACAATTGCTACACTGACAGGTAAACGAATGTATTGGGTTGGTGAATTGAAAACTGCCGGCTATTGTCATAAGTGACAGTTTGAGCACTTTCTTTATACCTTTTTCTTGTCCGAAGCCTGATCAGATGGTGAAAATAAGGTGAAAATTTGATATTTTACTAGAAAGGTTTCCGGGTTACGTTAGCATTATTTAGACACACTGTTTTCTAGAAAACGATTCAATTTAGGTCTAATACTATTGGGTGGGTGAATTGAAAACTGCCGGCTATTGTCATATGTGACAGTTTGAGCACTTTCTTTAAAAGAAACCCACTTTGGTGTCAATGGAAATGTTGTAGAGAATCAAAAATCAAGCTTATATCCAAATTTTCAGAACGATTCAAAAACTGGTTTTCAAGAAATGCGAAATTTACGAATTTTCACAAAACTTGCATTTTAAGCGAAACTACTAAGTGTATCTTTTTGGAAATTTGGCTATAAGCCTAATTTTTTATTCTCTACAACTTTTCTATTGACACCAAAATGGGTTTCTTTTGAAGAAAGTGCTCAAACTGGGACATCTCCAGTCCTCCATTTTTGAGTCTCACACTTGTCTCACACACAAACCAAAATCCTACTACGAAAGAGGAATCCGCAAATTGCCTGTAAAATGGGCAGAAGTCGTCAATAATAATGGAAATTATTTGGAATGAATTGATGGTTTTAAGTTGAATAAATTTTAGTTCAAAGTCAAACCAAAAATTTGACTAAAATTTGAAGTTTTCAATTACTGCGCAAGTACTAGAGCTAAAATTTCAGAGGCCGATACTTCGCTCGGTTGCTATTCTTATTCTTCTTCTGTAATGTCATTAGCTAACTGTTCAACGAATACGTCAAGTTATCCATCAGTCGATCTGTAAGTGCAAAATTCGATCAAAGAACTTTAAAAATCAGATGTCGAGACAATCTCCAATCGGCTCTCCTCCAGGATTCCTCGCTAAGCTACTATTGTAAGTATTTTGTAACAAAAATGCTTGGAAATGAACAAAACGTTAAGAATTTCTTTTCTTTTAAATGACTTTATCTTTTCTAGGCACAATGGGCTCATCCTGCAGTATTTGTGACTCGAATCCGTACGCCAAGAAATCGACGACAACCGGCTCAACGTGTACTCAACAATGCTATACAGAGGCGAAAAGTCAGAGCAAGAGCTATGTAGGGTAAGTTTGGGAAATTTGCAAGTGCAATCGATCTCTACTAAACCCAAAATAATTGTACTGAGCATAGTTTACCATGAAGTTGTTCAGGTGGAACGAGACATGCGGCAGTTCGACGGGCACTCAACGGATTCTTTGCTATCAGTATCAGGATAAAAGTTTGAGTTTTAAAAAACTAAATGACTTTTTTCTTTAGTTGATCCATTGGGTTGCAATGCAACTAGTTGCCAAAATGGTGGTGTTTGTGTGGATTTGGTTGGGAATTCCACCACTTGCCTCTGTCCAAGGGCTTTCACCGGAACCGTTTGTCAAACTCGTGAGTTATTCCAGAGTTTAAACCATGCAATCACATTTGTTATTGCTTTAAGAATTGCTTTTACCAGCTTTGCTAATAAAATAACATTTTTTTTAGCAACCAATCCCTGCTCGAGCAGTCCATGCAAAAATGGGGCCGCTTGTTTGAATGCGACGATCGGTTGGGCCTACACTTGAACGGGAGACGATAAGGAAAAGTGTTTTGCAAACTTTTTAGTTTAGCTTTTAACTTGTTTGCTTGTGAAATACAAAGAATTTTTAATGGTTAGAGCTTAAATTCAGCTTGAATTTATTAAAAAAACAGCTCATTTGCTACAGTAGCTGCCAACATAGACACAAATCGCCCTTTTTGAATTGCCAATTCCATCCGGGAAACAACAATATTCGTTTACGCCACAGTCAGCGTTTGTTGTACACGATTTCTGAAAAATCACTGGCTTGGTTAAAGAATTTACTTTTTACCCATAAGCTTTCAGAGTCGAAAGCAAAATTGTGAGCCGTTGTAGTGAGCGAAAAAATTGAAAAGAGAAGGCAGAGAACCAAAAACTTGAACATTTTTTGGCAAAAAAAGAAGACAATCTTTCATTCAGAATAGCTTTCTTTGGAGTATTTATACAAGCATATTTGGAATACTAAAGCAAGCATCGCTTTCAGGATTAAAACACATTTTGATGTCATTCTATTTTTTGTACATTAAATCGGCTATTTTCTGATTCTATTCTCGATACCAGAATAACTCTTTAAAGTTTCATAATCAAAGATTTTTCAAAAAAGACACAAGGCAAGCACTTTTATTGGTTAACAAAACACAGAAATAATGATAGAAAATAGAAAAATGATTAAATTTTTACTTTTTTTTATTCTGGTCCATCATAAAATTCGCCTCACTGCTCGTAATCGCAATCATAAATTTCGCAATCAGTTTCGTAAAGCGAAAAGAAAAGAAAAAGTGTCTCATTCTTTTCATAACAATGAGACACTTTTTCTTCAGTCACATTCCAATTCGCCGATATTTTTTGAGAATTTCAATAAAACACTCTTTACCTTTGACAATCTCTCGGGCAGATCTGGGCAATTTTAGGACAAAACCAGGACCGAAGTTGTTGGGGAACAGGGGAAGATCAATCATTTGTCATTCAACCATCACAAGTCAAACAAGAAGGTGTTCAATATTCAATATACTTTTACACAGGAGCCTACGACACTGATGTAAATTGATAATGGAAAAAACTAAAAACAAAATTCTTAGGGATGTCTTCAATCTTGTTATCAGCAAGCGTGTGAGAATAGTTGTGGCTGCATGGATCCGAGGTATCCAATGTCAGCAACTGCTACTCCATGTGGATTGGCGTCGAGTGAGTGGCGAATTCTTTGCTCTAAAAGCGTATTATTGGACTTTACCATGAAAGTGACAATTCGTTGGACAATCGTCAGTTCTCGACCTCAATTTAGGAACTTGTGTTGATGACGTCACAACAAACCTCGGCGATCCTTCAACCTGGAGCAATTGCACTTGTCCGAATGCTTGCTCTGAACGAGAATATGATGTCACTTGGGCAAGAACGGTTTACTCTCGACAGGTCACAAAGTTTCAAACAATTCGTTTTATCCATCATATTTAGCAAGTCCAATGTAGTCAGTCAGGGATCGTTGCTTCAAATTGCACAGCGAATTGGCAGGTGAGTAGAGATTGAAAAGATTGAATTTCAAAAAAGTCTTTTCGTTACTTTTCGTAAATAACAAATTCATCCAATTAGCCTATGGTTTTCTCTAAATAAAAAGTGTTTATTGTTCAAATTTTCATCTTTTTAAGTCAATTTGGGTTCACTTTCAACCCAAATTCGAGATTGACAAACGTGTTTTTCGTAAAAATCTATAAAAGTACGAAGAAATTGGCTGAATCAATTTTTCTGAAAATTTAGCTATTTACCTAACTTTTTTTGCTCTATCTTTTATCTATCGACACCAAAATAGATTTCCTTAGCTAAAGTGCCTAAACCGCATCATCGAGCCGTCGCCCATTTTTGACTACCCGACTTCACGCTCTCAAAAAAATGCAGACATCAGACCTTCTAAACCCGTTTTAATGTTATTTTGCAGAAAAATAATTGAGCTTTCTAATGAAACAAACCATAGTTCAATTGGTGCATTTGTTGGTTTTAAGCGGAAGTACGAAAAGGAACGAAAAAACTTTCTGAACAGCCTAATAATATTGAAATTTGAGGACACTGTTCGTGTGGCGGTGATCATGACCGATTATTCATATCAACTTTTCGCTGAGACTCCAGCTGAATCGGTGAGAGATTAAAGCTTTGAAAATATGCATTCAATCAATCTACAGTAAATTTTTCAGTTCAACTCATTCATCGGAAATCTTGGCGGTCTTTTGGGTGTACTGATGGGTGTGTCGATGATTTCCTTCATCGAAGTCGCTTTTCTATTTTGTGCAATCTTTTCTGTGCTTTGTTTTCATAAACGTCGATAATTCAATTTTGAATAAAAAATGAAATGAAAACTGTTGAAATGTTGAAATGAAAACGTCATAGCTTATCAAAGAATTCGACTAGCACTTGTAATTGTTAGAAACTCTCAAGTATTATAGAATAGATTCATCAAACTAGAGCCTTAAGGACTTGAAAATGAGAAATCGAAGTAAACTCACAAGCAGGCAAAACCCAAACAAACTCTAAAACGTGTCTAACTTTCGAAAACTACCGTAAGCTTGTCTAGAAAAGAAGAAGAAATCGGATCTTATCATTATTTAATATGATTTACCAGACTTGAGGGTTCTCAAATGCAATTAGTGTTCTCAATTCTTTTCTTTTTGTTGTCATTGATTCACTTCTTGTCAAAAATATTATCCAAAGCCATATTTGCCTATTTTTACCATGCCAATTCATCAATTTCCTCAAGATGTCCTCAAGATTTCCTCAAGTCTTTCGCTGTATTCGAATCGATTCTTTGAAACTCTTCGGATCCTCGAAGCCCTCGAAATGACGATATTTGTGTGCTGGGAAGATTTTTATTATCGGGAAGAATTTTTCTTTATAAGTCTACTCAACCATTGGCAAACATGTCCACGTGTTACACTAATCCAATTTAACAATTTGGAATTCTTAGCCGCGTTTCCTGGGCGCGAGGTATTGATCGATTGCTCCAATTCTCATTTACCCATTTTAAGGAAGCTTTTTGAAGCTTATTTTATCAACCAAAGAACGCGTCATCGAGCCAAATGCACAGCATCAATGAACCATATTATAATAAGACAAGGAAAAGACTAATATCGAGAAATATTGAACACCTTCTTGTTTGACTTGTGATGGTTGAATGACAAATGATTGATCTTCCCCTGTTCCCCAACAACTTCGGCCCTGGTTTTGTCCTAAAATTGCCCAGATCTGCCCGAGAGATTGTCAAAGGTAAAGAGTGTTTTATTGAAATTCTCAAAAAATATCGGCGAATTGGAATGTGACTGAAGAAAAAGTGTCTCATTGTTATGAAAAGAATGAGACACTTTTTCTTTTCTTTTCGCTTTACGAAACTGATTGCGAAATTTATGATTGCGATTACGAGCAGTGAGGCGAATTTTATGATGAACCAGAATAAAAAAAAGTGAAAATTTCATAATTTTTCTATTTTCTATCATTATTTCTGTGTTTTGTTAACCAATAAAAGTGCTTGCCTTGTGTCTTTTTTGAAAAATCTTTGATTATGAAACTTTAAAGAGTTATTCTGGTATCGAGAATAGAATCAGAAAATAGCCGATTTAATGTACAAAAAATAGAATGACATCAAAATGTGTTTTAATCCTGAAAGCGATGCTTGCTTTAGTATTCCAAATATGCTTGTATAAATACTCCAAAGAAAGCTATTCTGAATGAAAGATTGTCTTCTTTTTTTGCCAAAAAATGTTCAAGTTTTTGGTTCTCTGCCTTCTCTTTTCAATTTTTTCGCTCACTACAACGGCTCACAATTTCGCTTTTGACTCTGAAAGCTTATGGGTAAAAAGTAAATTCTTTAACCAAGCCAGTGATTTTTCAGAAATCGTGTACAACAAATGCTGACTGTGGCGTAAACGAATATTGTTGTTTCCCGGATGGAATTGGCAATTCAAAAAGGGCGATTTGTGTCTATGTTGGCAGCTACTGTAGCAAATGAGCTGTTTTTTTAATAAATTCAAGCTGAATTTAAGCTCTAACCATTAAAAATTCTTTGTATTTCACAAGCAAACAAGTTAAAAGCTAAACTAAAAAGTTTGCAAAACACTTTTCCTTATCGTCTCCCGTATCCATAAAAAGTGGTTGTTGTTGAGTATTGAGTTGAATATGAAGTTGTCGTTCTGGAGACCGGTTGTGCATAGGAATAGCCCGGGAGAGTGTATCCACCGTATCCACCTCCATAATATGGAAACCCATAGCCATACCCACCTCCATAACCGCTATACCCACCATAGTACGGGTAATTGTAGCCGTAGCTGAAAACGAAGTTGATTTGAATGATTGCGGAATAAAAGATTGAATGATTTTGCCATTGGTTCCCTTTGCCATTGGCAATCTAACTTTGAGCTCAAATATTGTAGTGTTGGGCTTTCCAATTTAAATAGTTTTTGTACTAATCGACAGAGAAAGACTTGGCGCATCTAATCATATCAAAACTATTTAAATTGGACAACCCAACACCAAGATATTTGAGCTCAAAGTTTGATTGGCAATGGCAAAGGGGGCGGTGCGTGGATTAAATGTCCGATAACCGATTTGAATTGTACAGTGGGGTCTTTTCATTACCCGTATCCACCATATCCGCCATATCCACCGTAATACGGGTAACTGTATCCATAGTATGATGGATAATAGCTGCCATATCCGTATCCATAACCACCGTAACCTCCATAATAATTGTTATAGCCGTACATTCCATAGCGACGCATCATTCGAGCCATCCGCAGGGCTCCTGAAAACGAATCGATACTTTAGGTTGTTATGACTTTTGGGATTTTATCTTATGAAGTTATTGTTATCTCCTTGTTCTCTTCCTCCTTGTATTTCCTCTTTCTTCTTTGGCAAGAAGATACCGAATAGCTCAGTGGTAGAGCATTCCCGGAAAGGTTAAGGGTTCAATCCCCTCTTCGGAAAGCTTTCTTTATCGTTCTTTACTTTATTAGAGCAGCTAGAGTCAGTTAAAAACTGTCAATTTTTCTCAAACACTACCAAATCTCACAAATTTTGTATTCCGCAAACTTTACAGTAAGAAGATGGATAGACAGACAGACAGAAATGGAAAGACAGTAAGACAGACTTCGATAAAGTTTAGTGCAACATAGAAAATGAGTTCGGTGGAAAGATTTGAGCTTCCCGAACAGACGGTGCTTCGATGTTTTCTATTATGCAATAATTTTATGCATTGCCACCAATTTACTGACCAAATGACGGACGATGTATGGTAAAGTATTCGAAAAGTATTTTCCTGAGCTTTTTTTTGACTCAAGTCTATGCGCTTCACCGTAATCCGTATACATTTTCCCATAAACACTAGCTTTCTGAAAGAAAAATGAACTCACTCAATAATCCCCATGCCTCGACCGGGATGAGTAGACAAAGAATGAGCACAAAAAGTAAGACTCTCATATTTCTGAGATCACTTCCAAATAAAAGTTCTTTCGAGAAAACAAAGTTAATTACCTGAAACCATTTATAGGAACAATTTTTCTGCATTTCCCCATCCATTTGCTAAGTTTGCTAAACTCTTTTGACCTATATCAGAAAACGCAAAAAAATACAGTGTGTCTGTTTTCTTTTGATCCACAATTTTTTGATCTATCAACATCACGAGATCGGTGGAAAAATTTGTTGATTTCTATGTTCGTTTGAAGGAAATGTCGGAAAAGGTGTTGATTTGGCAAAGAGAGATTTCTTTTAACACTAGGCGATAAGAAAAACAGGGAAACGATTAAATTTGCATATAAACGACGAGAGATCGGAAATTCCAGATAAAAAATGCTGTTTAATAACACATAAATGATTTTTCATTGCTTGTTTTACATCTTCTATTCGTTTTCAGACAGTATCAAGTAGCTCTGTACTTGCAAATTGTTAGTTAGAAATTTGGTTCGTTTCCATATTGACAAGTCTTTAGCCTCGGTCGTTTGTACAAGATTTAAAGCTTAAAGGCATAAATAAACTACAATGATTTGGAGAAAAGCCTTTATTAAACAATGAAACCTATTGTAAAAGTTGTTTTCTTTAGCCTTGGTTGTTTGTACAAGATTTAAAGCTCAAAGGCATAAATAAACTGCAATGGTTTGGAGATAAATCTTTATTAAACAATGAAACCTATTGTAAAAGCTATTTTCCCCATCCATAATATCCTCCATATCCACCATATCCACCATATCCACTATAGTAAGTAGTGGAAGTGGAAGTGGACCATGATGAGGATATGGGAATGGTTGTGTGACCGGGTTGATTGAATCCCCCGGGGCCAATCCATGCACCGACAGTTCGTGAAGGCAATTGCACTGGGGCATACGGTGAATAGTAGTTAGCATTCGGGATGTAGTAATCTGAAATTTAAGAGAAATTTTAGTTTTCTGTTAAGTTTAAAGTTTAAAGTTCGGATTTTACTGTAAAATAAGACTTCTTAGAAAGTGTAGGCTTTAAAATTGGCTAAGAAGTTGATGATTCAAAGCATTTCATTATATAATACTAGCAATTGATTGAATTTTAAAGCTATTTCTCTAGTTGAATACGCTTACAAAAATCAACTTTGTCATTTGCTGGTAAATAAGTGAAATCTCACTTGAATATCCCCATTGTGCATTGACAACAAGTAGAATTGATAGAAGAAGAAAAATCAAGGGCTTCATCGTAAAAAGATATACAATAAATAACCCAATCAACAAAAACAAAAATCGACTTATATCTTTATAGCGCCCTTTTTTCGTTTTCATTTTCTTTTCCACAAAAATTTGCGGAATTTCTTTCAGTCAAAAGACTGAAATTTCTGTGTTTCTCTTGTTAAAAGATCACACAAAATGGGATCGACCAAAGCCCGTGTTTAGCCAATAAGAGAAATAGAAGATTGGCAAAAAAACCGACTTTTAACAGAAAATATCTTGGGATTTTTCTCTTTTCAACTTTCTAGGGAGCTTGGAGGATATAAATTGAAGTCTTTGACAGGCACATAAAGCTCATTCTTGTACTCTACATATGAAATCAAAGTCAAAACAAAAAAGTTACAGTAAAACTTGAATTCAATAACTCTTGATGACTCAATAGCGATTTCCATTAGACTTTTTTTCCATTGCTGTCATAGCATTCTAGCTAAAAAACAAGGTGATTGTTTTAGAAAATAGAAATTTATCTAACGAATCGTCTCATTGTTCTTGACACATTGAAACTCTTTGCATTGATAACGTGAGTCTAGATTTCGCTAGATCTACCAAAATTCACTAGTTTCACTCCAAAATTCGCAATCTTGGTGGAATAACTTCTTTCAAATTGAAAATTTTTTGCTAGCAGTTTGTTTTTCTAGAAACTAGATGCAATTCTGCGTTTGCACAAATAAAAATAATTTTGACTGGATGATAGATCTGGCAGAAAAGCTGGGTGATCAATGTTTAGGATTATTTTGGTTACTGGTCAAAATCCAATTCAAATAATTTTTATCTGTGCAGAGCAAACGCAGAATTGAATCTATTGGGTTGATGCATAATTATCCGGACTTCTTTTTGCGTGCTTACTTTTGAAAGCTTTTGTCTTTTTTTTAAAATATTCGTTATTCTTTAGTGAACAAAATGCGTGTCGACAATCATATCCATCTTCGCCATATCATGCTCTACCACTTCGAAAAGGGATGGTCTGCCGCAGAGTCGTTTCGCGATCTCAAAGAACTGGAGAAGCCCCAACGGACTACCACGTCAATCGATCGCTCAAAAATTGGCAAACAAATAAGATCTACAACGATTTGGATGACTTGATAGACGATGTTAAAGCGTGGATTGCCTCCAAAGATCGTTTATTCTTCGCTCGTGGAATCGATCGTCTTCCAAGCAAATGGCAATCAGTTATTGATGTGAATATGCTCCAGAATAATCAATTAAACATATTTTTCTAACTATTTATGTTATTTTTTGTTAAATAAAATCATTTATAAAAGAAGTCCGGATAATTATGCATCACCCCAATAGTTTCTAAAAAAACAAACAGTTAGGAAAAGTTTGAAGAAAAGTTTGTAGTTTGAAGTTTGAAGAGGAAAAGAAACAACCAAAGTTTGAAAATAAAAGAAGTTATTCTCTCAAGATTGCGAATTTTATGGTGAAACTAGTAAAGTTTGCTAGATCTAGCAAAAACTCGACCTGGTGGGCAGTTAGCGTTCGGATTTTTAGGTAAACAAGCATGAGGCTGAAATTTCAATCATGATTCGGCTACTGTAACTCGTAGCTCGTAGATGTTACAGTAATCTGGTAAAGATTTCTGTACAATCTAGACGGTAGTTGGCGCATGCTATAGGGCGTTTACTCGAATCAGGTGTTCCGAAAAAGGTTTCATGCTTTACCTTTGCTGGAAAAGCAACGTTATTGTTGGTTGTCGGCCATTTTTCTGTACAAAAAATGAACAAAACACCGAGTCGGCTACTGATGCATTTCTTTTATTTTTCGTAGTTTTAGTGCACCTTAAGAATTGCCGATTGGAGTAAAACTCGATCAGCAATGAAATTTGAGAAGTCTGCTGAGTTGGAGATTTATAAGAGAGATTTTGTTTCAGTCATCTTTTGAGTTTTTGTTTTTGATTCTAAAATTGCGCTTCACTTTGAAAATCAAGCAATGAAGTTTTTGACTGTGTTATTAATCACTTTCACACTGGCTTCAATGACTTTTGTAAGTTGAAAAATAAATAAAAATGGATTTTACTAATACTATTTTCAGGATAGACGAACTTTTCGCGAATTCGAGAATTCGCGCTTTGTTTAGACAAGGATTATTTGGAAAGCAATCCAGATTAATAATTCAATAAGGATAAAACTATTTCACGATTGTCGGGATCACATTCTCCGTTCATTGCAGATGTGTGTAAAGGTGTGGGTCGATCTTCCAATTCATTCTAACGCGTGCATTTATAAGTATATGTAAAGATTTTGCATTCATAACCGAGAAAATGCATAAAATTTTACTGCTGATCAACTTGAAAGACAAAACCTTGAAAAGTTGGAGGCATCGAAAGTCTTTTTTTCTGCTATTTTTAGTGATTTATCAAATATAATAAACTTCATAATAACCTTTATTTAATTCTTTGAATCATCTCCACCTTGGGTAACAACGGGAATAGGTGGTAAATGATTTGATGGAGCGCACGGCTGATGATCGAAGATTTGTTTACGAGAGCACGCCTCGGGTCCTTCAGCTCGAATCGTTGCAATGAAGATCTTGATGTCAATCTTCCGATAATCGCTCACTCGGCCGTCAGGTTCATAGAGTGAATAGCATTCAAAACTCATCATCATCACATTCTCCATTGTGTCGCCAACTTTTCGCCGAAAGAAGTGATTCGGGCGCACATCTTTTTTAAGTGATCGGCTATCTGAAAGGAAAATTGTAAATTAAAGTTGCTCCTTGATCTTTAAATGGTGAATAATTGAAGAAACTATAGTAATTTTTCTTCAAAACTACAGTAGCAAAAAAAACGAGTTTTCTAAAAGGTGGCTAATTTGAAAAACTAATATATTCCAAATAAGAAGGTTGGAAAGAAAGTTCTCGGAAAAAGTTTGCACGGTGATTTCTTGTTTAACAGATGTTTAACAAACGGAAGCCGAACTGAAAGTGAAAAAGGGATTTTGGATCTGGGCTTGATTAAAAGTGAATCTGGATTGTTTAGAACTACGTTTATATTAGGTTGGAAAGAAAGTTCTCGGAAAAAGTTTGCACGATGATTTCTCAAAAACCAAGCCAAGCAATTCTTTGATAAACTTAGCTATATTTCAAAAAGTTTTTAATAAAAAATCAGAATGGGCTTTAGGTAAAAAATAAGAGATTTGTTCAGCTAAGGCTTGGTCACTTGGTGGCTTGGTCACTTGGTGGCTTGGTCACTTGGTGGCTTGGTCACTTGGTGGCTTGGTCACTTGGTGGCTTGGTCACTTGGTGGCTTGGTCACTTGGTGGCTTGGTCACTTGGTGGCTTGGTCACTTGGTGGCTTGGTCACTTGGTGGCTTGGTCACTTGGTGGCTTGGTCACTTGGTGGCTTGGTCACTTGGTGGCTTGGTCACTTGGTGGCTTGGTCACTTGGTGGCTTGGTCACTTGGTGGCTTGGTCACTTGGTGGCTTGGTCACTTGGTGGCTTGGTCACTTGGTGGCTTGGTCACTTGGTGGCTTGGTCACTTGGTGGCTTGGTCACTTGGGCTGGCAGGGCTTGGTCACTTGGTGGCTTGGTCACTTGGTGGTCTGTGGCTTGGTCACTTGGTGGCTTGGTCACTTGGTGGCTTGGTCACTTGGTGGCTTGGTCACTTGGTGGCTTGGTCACTTGGTGGCTTGGTCACTTGGTGGCTTGGTCACTTGGTGGCTTGGTCACTTGGTGGCTTGGTCACTTGGTGGCTTGGTCACTTGGTGGCTTGGTCACTTGGTGGCTTGGTCACTTTCTGAGTGACCAGCGTTTAGACAAGTTTTTAATGGGTTAATGTATAGGCAATAGGTCCCATTCAAAACCTAAAATCAAGTACTTAAAATAGAGAAAATTTGTGATTAAGGCTAATTTAATCTAATGCTTTCACTTTTCAGAATCACCTATTTTAGTAAACACTCAGTGCCGAGAAGATGACACCAAAAATAAATTATTTTTTGAAATAAAGCTTCTCTGTAAAAAATTTTTGGACAAAAATAGAGATTATAGAGCGTATTGCTTATTTATTATAGTTTTACCTCATAAAAAATCCTTTTAATGGGTTAATGGATTAGCAATGGGTTAAAAATAAAGATTATAGAGCGTATTGCTTATTTATGAGAGCTTTACCTCATAAGGAATCCTTTTTCTGGTGCAAAAAATGAGCTGAATTTAAGCTGGGAAATCATTTTTCAAAAAATCTAAAACTTTAAGGGAAAGCTGTCCTCATTTTTCACTAGTAATTTCTTGGAGCCGACTTGTAAACAATAGAACAAAATGTTCTTGAATTAGTGGATTTGTTTTTAAGAAATTTCAGTCAAACATTTCCGAGAACTTTCTTTCCAACCTAATAATATTTCTTTCAGATTTTGACTGTTGTACTTAATTTTGATTTCATTCAATTTAGAGTTTGATTGCTCATCGAATGAGATCATAATTTGGTCTATCAGATAAAATCAGAAAGTTTCTGAAGCTTCTCAATGCTACAAGCCTAAACTGGTAAAAGAGTTTTTACAAAATTTAAGTTTATTTGCCCTATTAAAAATATGAAATATTCTGATTATTCCATGAATTTAGAAAATTTCGACCTGTGAACTTTCCATATTTGCCGGTGAACAACTTCGAAATCCATCGTGTCTTCTCGGAGCGAGCCGTCAGCGTTTGAAGCTCCGGGAAATTCTTGAGTTGAAGGAGCATTTCATCGAATTCTTTTAAATAAACTCGATGACTTCCACCTCCACGATGCGAGAGAAGAAGGGTCGATTTCTCAGCGGCACTCGGGATTCCCTCGGTAAGACATCGTTTCACCGTTTCCCAAAAATCTGAGAAACAACCGTGATTCAAAATATCCTCAATATAAGTTTTTTGCAATCTTTCCCATAAAAGTCGCAATCTTTGATTGATGACCAGCGTTTTCGCGTGTTCTAAAAGCCGAAGTGCTGAGAAATCATCAGTTTCATCGGTTTCAGCAACTTCTAGGATTAGTTGATTGGTGGCTTGTGGGAGAGAATTCGATAAATCGGTTAAATATTCATTGCACGTTGATAGGTGCAAATTCTCGACAAAATGCAAATTTGATAAGCAATCAGTGATCGTTGTTGAAACATTGTCGTTGTGAAAACGCAAAGACACTTTGGCACAAGCACGGATGAATCGGCAAACGATATTCACTCCATTTGTCACATTTTTCAATCGAATTCGGTAACAAAGTCGAAATTTCGAAGTAACTGTAAAATCAAAGTTTGGCCATATCGAGAAAGTGAAATAATTGGTTTTTGAGTGAGCTTTGAAAGTGGCCAAAGCTCGAGAATGATCTTCATTTCCATTTGTTTCTTTTCCCTCAATTTGATAGAGTTGTAAAGACTCGAGATTCCTTGGCAATGGACCAAAATGAAGAACACGATTTCGCAGTGTTTTGTTGACTTTCAGAAAGTTGAGCAAATCGTCGGGTTGAATTTTTTCCAGAATTGAATCGAGGTTTTTCGGTGAAATTTTTGATAAGGGAAACATTTGTTGAGCTTCTAAAAAGAAATAAGAAAGAAATAAGAAAGAAATCAAGGTTTTTAACCGATAATGACAGATGATCTTAAAAATTATGTTTCTTTTCGACAATGAGGCACAGCTTTGGAACGTCGTTTGTTATTTTGTGTAGCGCCAGGGGCATTACGAGGAACGTTTTAATAAAATTCTTGTTTAATAATCTGAATTCAGAATGATAATTAAAGAATTTCTCAAATTAATTAATTAAAGGAGTTAAACTATACAGTTTTAAGTATTTTGAAAAGGTAAATTGTCAAAAAGAAACACGGAAAGCTACCGTACTCATTTTAAAATCAGATCAAGGAGATGAGTTGATTTTTCTCATGTCTATAGCTCATTTTCAATTAGAAGTAGGGTTTAATTAGTTTAATACTGTAACTTACTTGCGTCGGCTTACTGTAGCTTTTCTTGGAATGCACTTTTTAGCTAAAAAATGGTACTTTATAGACCTGGAAATTTTCGGTTTGAACGCCAATGGCATATATAGGCCAATTTCACAGAACTTTATTTTCTATCGATTGAAATAAAAGACAAAAACATTGGAGTAAAATCAGTCGAGATCTGGCATTTTTCCGTTGAACACTTATTGACGTTCATGTTGAAAATTCCCAGGTCTAGTACTTTATATAGACACCGGTTCTGCAGTGCGTGAGAGAGGAATCGATGGGGCAATGATTATTTAGATATTTTATTCCGAATCTAGCAAAATCACTAATCTAGTGAGAAAATACCATAAATAGAATTTTTCAAAAAAAGCAAAAGGTTTGGTCGGAGGCGAATCCAAACCAGGATCAAAAAGTTCTAGTGCAGAAAACGTAGCATCCACTAGGCTACAAGGCCACTTATGATCAAAGATAGTATCTGATGCCAGAAATCTAAGAGAAGCTTGCAAAAAACATCAAGTTTGAGACCATTTTAACCAATTTTCACAAACCTTTTTGTGGTTTTTGATTGCATCGGAATTAGCTAATTTTTTCCAATAAAATGTGTCGTAACTAGCCGTCCCTCGGTGATCAATGGGTCCATGATTGCCCAAGTGGATGTATTGCTTGCCTTTGATTCCCCTAGAATAAAATGTTTGTGTTTTTAAAACAAGACTATTTTTCTAACCATCAGCCAAAGAGAAGAACAAATCCATAAGCATATGTTCAGTTATGATTTTATTGTTCAAATGAACAGAGCAAAGCAACTAGTTTTTCTTGATCATTTGATCACACGAATTTTCAGGGAAACTCTTTAAACGGCTCGATTGTTTTTCTATTCCCATTCTGCATATTTACGAAAATTGCTTATGCTTTTAATAGATATAAATAAGATTTGATAAGACGCACGAGATAATGGAAATCGTCAGGGATTGCTATTCTTGCTGAAATGCACTTTATATCAAAGCAAAAATATCTAATATGAAACAAATTTTGGCAACGATACCAGATTTAACCTTTTTACATAATTTAGGAAGCCGAATTTTGTGAGCACACGTCCGAATGCGTTTCAGTGAGTTGATTTGTTTCAGAAGTAACCTTAGAACTATCTATTTTGAATTTACCTTATTAGTTTAACGTTTTTAGGGTCTTACATGTTGTGCTTTGTGCCCGGCCGGATAACCCTGCGGTCCGGAAGAGATTGTAAGCAAACTTATATTAAGCGTTTGTAAACAGTTTTATCACTTGTTTATAGTTTTAAACACCTAATGACTTATTGTGATTCATAGCAATTTATCAGTTTTTTAAAAAGCATCTTTCAGTATACTCCACAGTGTCGTAGAAAACTCATCCCAGGTAGCCAATGTGGTGGAGCGCCGTTCAAAGAGTTTCCCTGAAAATTCGTGTGATCAAATGATCAAGAAAAACTAGTTGCTCTGTTCATTTGAACAATAAAAGAACAAGCTCTTGAAAATTGTTTTGCCATATTGAAGCTTGATTGAATTGAAGATTGAAGCGAATTGAAACTCTGAATGATTTGGTAATTTATTTTGTCATCTCTACTTTTATACGCTATCTTTGATTTCTCAAAGATTCACTTTACCTTGCTCAATCAATAAAATCCTCTAGCAAACCGTGAGACTTTCAAATAAAGAAAGTGATCCAATCGAGAAATGGGATCTTTTTTCATCAAAAAGCGCTCAATATAGTGCTCGATCAATCATTCAAAAAGAAAACTTTTTGAGAGAAGAAAGACTTTCACGACATTCACAGAAATGATTCTCATACAGTTGAGATCGAATTTGGAATGTTCACAAATGATTACTGCTTTCGATTGCTATTATCATTGGCTGCATTTGTTTTTCTTTCAGCATTCACTGTCACATATGAGCAGCTGCCACAGGAGTATCAATGTCAGTTAATTTTCGGGATGCTAAGTCATAGGGTTTAAAACTAGACCAGATCCAGGTCTGGGCAAAACCAGGACTAGATCTAACTAAAGTAAAGCAATTGGTCAGTTGTGGTACCAAACTCGTGGTAAAGCCAGGATCTATTTTCTGATCTGCTTGACCCTAATCTTGTCTTACTTTACCTAGACCAAAAAAAACTTTAGTTACTCCAGCTAGTCAAGCAGCTCAAAATTGCCAAAGTTTTTACGTATAAAAGGTTTTCAGTATTGATTCCTCCAAATGTTTACAAAACTATCGAATCGCCAGATGATCGCCAAGGAATCGAAGAAATTTTCCATGAATTCGATAGTCCGATTCCAATTGAAAATGTAATTATCGTTTTTTCTTTTCTTACAGTGAAATTTTTCAGATCACTCAAAAACTCCGTGAGGGATCACCGATTTTTGCCGAGAAAATCGCCGGATTTTTAGAGAAAATCACTTTTCAATTTGATATTTTGCGATTATTGGTGAGCGTTTCTCGTTTCTCTAAAGGTGAAAATAAAATGGGAAACTTTTTAGCATCCAAATGGAACGCTCGACTTTGAATGGATTGAGAAAAGACTTTCGGGATTTCTCGTAAATGAAGCTATTGATTTTTTTGCGTTTACTCCTCTTATTGATGTACATGTGAGTTTAAAACAGAAGACTTATTGATTGAGTTTTTTGGTTCTAGACATTTCAAGAGGCTTCTTCAACTTATGGCCCACTTTCACATGTAAAAATGGATGAAGTGGGTTTGCTTGCTTAGATTATAGGGTGCGTCATAATTATTGCAACAAGATACTCAAGGCATTGAACACCAAGAAGTTTCACTGGAAGAAGATTTTTAAACAGAAATAGCTTTATTTAACAGTAACAAATAAGGAAAAAAGAGATCATTCGATATGACCGCCTTTTGCCTTGATAGCAGCCCTTAATCGGTTCGGATATGCCTCCACTACGGCCCGAATATGTCATCTTGAGGAATCGCCTTCCATCCTTTGGTCAAATCATCCTTTGTGTTTTCGAGAGCAGACATTAGCCTCTAAGATTGCCCAAATGAAAAAGTCCATCACATTGAGATCCGGTGAGTTTGGAGGCCATTCATCCTTGGTGATCACTGAGGGAAAGTTGGCCACACACCAGTCCTGAACCGTCTTCTTCGTGTGAGCGGGAGCTCCATCTTACATGAAGATCCAATTTTGATTGTTATTGACTTTACACGCCCATGACATCACATTCTTGACATCACAAACAGTCTTTGAACTCTTGTTGCAATAATTATGAGAAGATAAGACACCAAAAATGTGACTCACTCTTTGGTAAACTGTTTTCTTGAAAAAGCTACCGTAACCCAAGTCTTTTTAAGATTTAAGCCACTAAAAGAGGTTTTCTTTTTACTTTTTGCTTGTTCAAAGCCTGATCAGTTGGTGAAAATAAGATGAAAGTCTAATATTTTACTAGAAAGGTTTCCGGGTTACGTTGTTTCCGGGTTTACAGGTTATTTAGACACACTGTTTTTTAGAAAACGATTTAATTAAGGTCCAATACTAGTACTTTTTTCAGATGAACGAACAAATCGAAAAACTGTTACCTCATGTCGCTCACGCCATCGCCAATTTGAGTACAGAATTCGAAGCAATCCTCGATACAATCTCTGATTCAATGCTCACTTTACAACTTCAAGTAATTTCTTATTCCTTTCAAAATTCGACCAATCATCAGTTCAAAGGTTGTCGACGAATTGGGAAAAGAACAAAATAATTCGGAGACTTTTGATGCGATAAGGAATGGATTGAAGAAAAGCGTTTACGAGCTTGTACCGGTAAGGTTATAAAAGAAATCAATATTCAATAACTTTTAGGAATCACTCGAGAAAATAAAACGAGTTTTACCGTATGCAATGATCAATGGAATGCACGAGCTTCAACTCAAGCAAATGGAGAAAATTTGGGAGATTTATGAGAAAATTCCACAGAATTATTCTTTCTATAAGGTAAGAAAAGGTTCAAAAAAACGAAGAACCGGTTTAGTTACTTAATTTTAGAAGCGTAAAACCTTTATTACATAAGCCTGCTGGTTCAGTTACGCAAGTTAAGTAGTTAGAAGTTTCTGTGATAAATCTAACTGGCACAGTAGCTGTCTATAGGAAGATATTTATAAGTAAAAGTCTAGTTTTACTTATCCAACCTAAGCGTTGACATAAATAAGTCATTTTGCGGTTTAGTTAGTCGATTTAGTTGCCCAATAAGTCTTAGCTAGATTAATGAGTAACTAAACCGGCTAATCAGCTCCATTTAAGGGCCTCTCTCTTCCGGATTTCCACTCATTCGACATCGATTTTCTTCGTTACACCGTTCGCCAATATTTGAGCAAATCCCTTGACTCTCTAATTGCTCACAAGAAGTTCACTTTAGTTAGAGTAAGTCACCTTTGTTAAACAAAGAAGGGTTATCAGACATCGGACGCCCCTTTTGCCATTGACAATCTAACTTTAAGCTCAAATATCTTGGTGTTGAGCTGTTCAATTTAAATGTTCTTGGTATCATTGGATGCGCCAAGTCTTTCACTGTCGATTGGTACAAAAACTATTTAAATTGGACAACCCAACACCAAGAAATTTAAGCTCAAAGCTGGATTGCCAATGGGAAAGGGGGCGGGGCGCGTATCAAATGTCCCAAAATCGAAAAAAAGATTTCAGGATCTCACAAATTACGAGAATCTCACAACAGAGACGGTGGATAGGGCGCTCATTTCAGTGAATTTCATTGAGCGGATTGATGGCGTACATGAGGAATTGAGCTTCATCTTGAACAATAGAGTTTGTTAAATAAAAAAAAGCCTTTATCCAGCATTTCAGCTCACCTATTTATTCCTTTGTGCAATCGGTTCTGTGCCTCCACCTGAGTATCATTACGTGAGAAGACTTGTTGCGCTGTATTTGCCAGGAGAAAGACTTCTAACCGTAAAGTATTCAAATAAATTCTTAATAGGAGTTTTCAGAAAGTCGCTGAGCTTTTGACAAATGCTCCATATTTGGCTGGGAAAGTCTTGTTTGCGGCTGATCGTGTGAATGCGTTTGTTCGTCTCTATTGCAAGAATGTGGGTGGTTTCAAATTTTAGCCGATATCGAATGAATAGTTTATCGGTTTATTTCCCCAATTTACTCATTGGACAACTAAGACAGCCAATGTATATTAATTTAGTCAATCTAGTCTATCAGACTGTGTCCAAAAACACTCACAGTGTTCAACTTGGGTAACTAAACCAGACTATCTATTCATTAGCTAAAGTCCACTGTATATAGGAACATAATAAAGTAAAGAAATGAATGGCAAAGAGTTTGGAACCGAGGGGAATTGAGCCCTCGACCTTCAGCTTACCGGGTAGATGCTCTACTTTGCCCTTGTATTTGCCCAAGAAGAAATAGAAGAAAGAAGAAAGAAAGAGAGAAATAATGGGAAAAAGAAACATTTTTATCTTGCCAGCGTGATTGAACCCTCGACCTTCCGCTTAAGAGAGAAGAACCGGTCGGCCATCTGGCCAAGAATAAAAAGGAAATAGAAGAAAGAGAGAAATAATGACACCAACACTAGCTAGATTGATAAAAATGTGCTTCTAACAGTACTCCTGAATTTTCAGCATCAATCAACTTGCCATGATCTCAACAACACCGCCGAATTTGTGACCAACTACTATGTCCGAGTAAATTTTGAAATTTAAGCAAATTAAATTCAAATTCAGGGCATGCTCCGAATTTTCGACTTACTACCAGAAACTGAAATTGATCACATAAAGCAAGTCCAAATCGACATAAAGCTGCAAAAGTACAAATTCGTGAGTTGATTTGAGATTGATTGAGAAGGTAATGGTAATGGAGAGCTTTATAGGTAATGGAGAGCTTGAACAGTCGCCTTCCTTCACTTTTCAATGCGATCATTCAAGTACATGAAAATGTTGGTTGATTCTGGTTTTGATTGGAGAATTGAGCTTTTCAGATTGAGCGTAAACTCGGAGCGATGAGCTATTTGGGAACACAGGAGTTTATTCGAAAGGTGAGTGAAAGAAATTGAAATTTGAAAAAGAAAATTTTTTCGAAAGGGAAGTTTCTTTGTTAATAAATCAAAAGCGAAAAGAACCGTTCTTTGAATGGGAAACGTGAGACGGGATGAATGTGAGACGAGTAGAATTCGATGGCTTTTGAAAGAGCACTGAAATTCGATACATTTTCGAGTTTAGTAATAGGTTGATGCATAAGTCTTTTTGTTCCTTTTCGTCTGCCGTTTCAAGCCAACAAATGCACCAATTAAACTACGGTTGATTTCATTAGAAAAACCAATTATTTTTCTGCAAAATAACATTAAAACGGGTTTAAAAATATTTGATGCCTGGATTTTCTTGAGAGTATGAAGTCGGGTAGTCAAAAAGGGCTAACTCGATGATGCGGTTTAGACACCTTAGCTAAAGAAAACCTATCTTCGTGTCAATAGATAAAAGATAGAGAAAAAAAACGTTTGATATTTCGCCAAAATTTCAGAGAAATTCATTCAGCCAATTTTTCCGTAGAGTTTTTTATAGATTTTTACGAAAAAGGCGTTTTTCACTCTCGAATTTGCTTGAAAGTCAACCGAAATTGATTTAAAAAGATGGAAATTGAACAAAAAAACACTTTTTTTATAGAGCAAACTATAGATTAATTGGTGAATTTGTTACTTTTTAACAGAAGTACGAAAAAAACGAAAAGACTTATGCATCAACCTAATATTAGTATACTATAAAAAATAATTATGTTTTCCGGCTTTAAAATAGTTTTTACAAATCTAGATTTAATGAATTTTGTATTTATTTTTAGTTTCATGCTAGGTTATTCTTATTTCAGTTTCCTTAAAGATTTCTTTTGTTTTGTTTCTAATTACCGTATTTTCTCTAATAGTATTGCACCCTGAACTTATACAACTCATTCAGCAAGCGCTTGAATGAACGCTAGTCGGCATCTCGCCGGCGAATCTGTCACTTCGCCGCTTTTCTCTATTAAAAATTCCAAGAAAAGCTTTTGATACTTTTCAAATAGCGTTCAAGATAACTTAATAACATTAAGAATCAAGCTTAACTATTTTGGCTTAACTGGCATAGCCAAAATTTAAGTTGATGTCTTGATGCAGGAGCATGTCGACTAGCACTTAGAACTGACTTCAGTTGAGTCTGACTTCTCAAGCATTGCATTGTTTCTTGTTTACTGAATCTTTGATACCGTATTTTCTCTAATAGTATTGCACCCTGAACGTCGCCTAAATTGCTCGAAATCTCGAGAAGCGCTTATCAGAACCTATCGATGTGAGGTCGGGGGGGGGGGGCGGAGAGAGCTGGGGGGGGGTTGGGTGGGGCTGCTTGGAAAACCCAAGAACCCGAAAAATAGTCACCAACTCGGCTCGCTGGGGTGCACTACTATTAGAGAAAATACGGTATCTATGATGTTTAGAACTCGAACTTTCAAATATGAACAAAAAGTAAATTCAAACGATTGTATAAATTCAAACTCATCCAAACTTTTCAAATGTTTTATTTATAGTTTAATATATGTGCAACAGTTCACGACACAGTTTACTATATGTTTATAACCATTTTGATAAACTAGTGAGAGATAGAGTTGAACTTCTATGAAAGGATTGACGACCAAACTAGCTGTTTAGCTCGAGGCGGACACTTTACGTGTGATGATCCTTTTGGCTTTACGAGAAGATGAAGATCAAGAAGATTATCATGAATATGCACGGTGAGTTTTTACAATTTTCAATTTACAACAACTTTTCTCAGCTCCTGGAGGCGAGGTTTCACATCGATGGGCAGAAAAGCGAGAGCTGAGTTAGCGGTTGCGTTGCCCGAATTTGCCAAAGTTCTCACAACATCATCGAGGAGATAAAAGCTTGTATAAAAATGAAACTTTTTTTGATTTAACATGTTAAAAAATTACAAAAGATCAATATATTTGCATTTATTTATTCAAAAAGCGTCTTCGTTCCAACTCTTTCATACATTCTTGCAAATGACATTCATGCAAACGATCTTGCAAATGACATTCATGATATCAATTCGTTTTTTACAAAAAAGCGTGTATTTTGGAGTGACTTTATGAAAAATATTGAATAGATTAAGTCGATAATAATGTTAAAAACTAGCTAAACTTACTCTTCATCAAATTCTTCAATGTTTTTTATAATAGTCACTTTGTCAATTTGTTCTTCTGTATTGCAAGAATGTGGGTGGTTTCAAATTTTGGCTTCTGGGTCGATATCGAATGAATAGCTTATCGGTTTAGCTGCCCAATTTACACATTGGACAACTAAGACTATAGGTTGTTATAAGTTGTTTTTGTTGAGTTTTAGTTAGATCAATTTTTGTCCTAACAGTATCCAACCATCCAAGTAGTTTGCAGATTTGAACTTTCATGGATAGTATCAGCAAATCTTTAATTACTTTCGAACACATGAAATTAGCCGAAAAATCAATTCTTTCCTATCCACGTAACTCTCTAAATAAACATAAGTATTGATTAACTGACATTGAGTAACTTAAAGAAAAACAAGAACTTGATGCATGTTTACCCTCACTTTCCTCTCGTCTCTAATTCCTGTCAATTCCATTACACAATCTTATTCCTCAACTACTTATCTTTGGTTATATGCTTTGATCATTTTGAAATTCACTGTCTAATCTTTGTTTCAAATACAATATGAACACTGATGAAGAAATCGAAGAATTTATTGGACGAGGTGCTTTTGGAAGTGTTTATAAACTGAAAAATCACAATCCGTAAGTTTTTTTGAACTTTGAATTACAATAGTGGCTTTTTTCAGGCTAGCTGTCGTGAAATATTCCCATTTCGATAACGATTATCATCGAGAAATGTTCAAAAAAGAGTGCGCTGCATTGGAAAAGCTCACCCATCCAAATATCGTGCGATACTTTGGAATACGGGAAAGAAGAACTGAATTTGAACTTCAATTAGGACTTGTAATGGAATATTGCTCAAGGGGAACATTACAAAAAGGTTATTTGAGAAAATCGAAAGAAATTGAGCCTGGATTCGGCCATTGAGTTTGATCGACTTTAACTTTAGCCATCTATGATCCAACCATTATCTATCATATTTATACGGCATTTAACTGGGCCACACAACTCTTTGGCGCTCTGCATTTTCTTTATTCTTATGGATACATTCATCGAGATATTACACCGGCAAAGTAAGTGATTTTGAAAGGTTGACGATTTGGGGTTATCAAATGCAATTTGATCTAGTATTCAGCAATTATGACTCTCTTTCTTAAGGTTATCTAATGAAATTTGATCTAGTCAATTTCAGCAATTATAAGTCTCTTTCTTAAGACATTTGGCCAAAAAAATTAGTCCAGATTTCCAAAACAAAAGAAATTGAGCCTGGGTTCGGTCATTGAGTCTGATCGGCTTTAAATTTAGCCATCTACAGGGTGCGGCATAAGTATGGTTACAGACTCAGAACCGTGTATCGTAATGAAACATGAACGGATTCATGTTAACTTTATTTAAAATTAACAACAGTAATCATATTCGTTTAAAAAATAACAAATTATTCAATATGGGCACCTTTATTCTTGATAACGGCTTTAAGACGCTTTGGATAACTTTCCACGGCGGCCCGCAGGGTACTTTGTGGAATTTCCGCCCAGGCTTTCTTCAGAGCCTTTTTCAGACTTTCAACGTTTGCATGTTTTGTTGTGCATGCTTTTTGCTCCAAAAATTGCCCAAACACAGAAATCCATAACATTGAGGTCGGGCGAATTAGCTGGCCATCCATTGGCGGGAATGAAGTCGAGCAAATTGTTTCGACACCACCCTTGAGTCTTTTTTGCTTTGTGCGCTGGGGCGCCGTCTTGCATCAACGTCCAACGCTGATTTTGATAATGTCCTTGACTCCACGGCCGTACATGTTTTGTGAGAACGTCCAGATACACGTCTGTGTTAATTTTCAGCCCTTTATCAACGAAAATCAACGGTGTGCGACCAGTTGCTGACACCCCTGCAAAAACCATGACTCCTGCCGGACTTGAGTTCCTGTCCACAAATCGGCCACTTTTATTTGCTTCTTGAGGGCTGTGAGCCAAAATTCAATCATTTTGGGAGTTGAAAACTTGCTCAATGTTGAATAATTTCTCCTCGGCAAAAAGCGTCGTCCGATGCTCATCATTTGCGGCCCTTGCAAGAAGAAGAGCACATTTTTGCTTCCTGTTCCTCATTTGAAGATCCGTCAGGCCATTATGCTTCCTTAACTTGTAAGGGTGAAGACCCAGATCCTTTTTGACGATACGACGGATAGTTCTATCAAAAACATTCAATTGGGGAGCCATTTTTCTCATGCTCCGGGCAGGATAGCGCTTGATTCGTTTCTTAATGATTTTCTTGAGTCTCGTGTGATCAATTTTTGGCAGACGTCCACTTTTAGGAACCTCTTCGACTCTATTTTGTTGCAAAATGCGGTATACCGTCATTCGATGCATTTTCAGCAGTTTGGCAATATCCGAAGTTGATCGTCCTTGTGCTCCAAGCTGAAGAATAGCGGCACGGTTGGAAGAAGCCTTCACCATCATGTCCAAACTTAAAAATTTGCTTAAAAACTGCTACATAATATAAAAAAAAGCATTCAAATTAAGAAAAAATAATCCTTTGGCAAGAAATAAAAATCAATCAGTTTCTTAAATCAACGTTACAACCTTGTAACCATACTTATGTCGCACCCTGTATGATCCAACCATTATCTATCATATTTATACGGCATTTAACTGGGCCAGAACTTACCGGAAACAACATCATTCGTTTAGCATTCTGCTCTCCGAGAACTTTGCAGCAAAAATCGGTGATTTTGGGTGCACAAAGGAGAGCAAGAACACTTGTGTGGGAACAAGATTGGGCACTCCTCGTTATATGAGTCCACCAAGTCTTCGAGATGGAGGAAACGAATATATGGTTTGAATCAAAGATATCAATAAGAAAAGAAGGATATTGCTAGAAGATTGCTAAATATTATCTCTAGGTTTCCCACAAAAATGATGTCTACAGCTTGGGATTGGTTCTTTGGGAGGTCATCGAGAGGAGGTGAGCTATTGTTCGAATTTTAGAAGGTGCTCTTCGGAAAAAGCTACCGCGTTTGGCTTTTGAAAGGTTCTTGATTTCAGAATTGTTCTCTCACAATACGGAATCGGAAGCTTTCAATACGAAACATTTATTGGAGAAATTTATGCAAAGAAGATAACCGAAATTGAAGAACCACACTGCCCTGAAGAGTTGAAAAGGATCATTGCTGGGTTAGTGGCCTTGGCATGTTCTAAAATATAGAATTCAGGTGTATTTCATTCGAACCATCAAGTCGGCAGAGGGCCTACGATATTTTCAGTAAACTTGGGGATATCACAATGAAATATGAGCAAGGAGTTCTGCCAAACTTGGTGAGTTTCAATTGCTCAATAATCTAATGAATCTAGTTGTAAGTTCTAAGGAAATAGGGCTTTAGAAGTTGGTTATTCAGTAATAGTTTTTTCTTGAACTTGGCTTGACTTTGAGAATTTTCAAATGGCTTTGGCCTTCGTTAAAGTGCTATTATAGAACAGTTTAAGTCAAGAAGAATATTGCAAAAACAAAGCTAAATAAAACCTAGAAGGTTTTAGAGCAATAATCTCGTAAAATCGGGCCTTCAGCTTTGGATTGATGAAAATCAAAAAATTCTCGTAAAACCGATTGGTTTTGATGGCTCGAATGATCTTATCCCAATCAGTTCAGCTTTCGATTTCAGCCATCTATCAGTGGACTTTAATACACCTGATGAAACAAAGGATGAATTTACCAAGCCAATTCTTCATTTGAAAGAAGTTTTGCCGAATCTATTTGAATACCAAAAAGGGAACGTGGCTCGGGAAAGATTTATGGAACTCTTTAAATGTCTATCGGATGAGGAGAAAAAGAGATTTCTACAAACAGCTAGCGATTGTTTATTCAATCAACTCCAGAAAATGAATATATACGATGAAATTGATGTAAAAGCTTTAAAATCGGTCCTTCAATCCAAACCAGAAACAATTGATGAAGCTTTTGAAGATGTTTTGCAAAATGATCTCTTTGATCAACTTTCAGCTTATCATTTGGTTTTTCAGAGCCTAGAGTTCGTCGTGAAATCTCGATTTATGTATTGGGACTTTTATGAATCGATATTTCACCAAGATGTAGTGCTTCGATCAATCAAAAATACGAGATATTGCCAAAGAATGAGTTTGAAATGTTATTTCTCGACAACCACAAAAGAAGAATGGCTTTTTTTGGAAGTTGACAGCGAAAGAAATATGGCAAAATTTGTACGCAAAGATTTCACAAATTTGCGAGAATTTCCCGGGTTCTGGGTGAATGAAAATTCTAGAAGATTTCCGAGTTTTGTGTTAAAAACTCAATCGGATTCTTTATTTTCTCAAAATGAGCTCCTTTTTTCTCACCTTGAGCCAATCGATTTCCATCTGTTTTTCGCTGTTTTTGAGAAGCTTCGAAAGATTATTGAAAAGTGTACACAAGCGAATGCTTCAAAATTTATCCCAATCGATAATTGTATGAAGAAAACCTATCTAGACCACGAGATTCAACGTCAAAAAGTTCCATTCCAATTGCCGGGCTATGTTTTTCAGCTCCGAAATCCACCGACAACTCCGTGTCACTGTGAAGTGAAATGCGAGCTGAAACAGGTTTACGGGAAAGTCAGCACTTTCGGCTTTGATGTGCCGAATGAAATGCGAACTATGTCAAATTATGATTGCACGAATTATTCATTAGATGCTTATCAAATGGCTTGGGTGGGAATGAGTGAGCTCTTGAATCGAATCTTTGTCTCAAAACAAATCAATCAAGAGCAATTCGGAAAGACCAAATTTTTCGCATATCCCAAGAGAATTGAGTTGAAAAAAGACGTAGCTTTTCATAACATGTGTTTCATTTTTTTATTGTATTTAAATGATCAAAAAAAGGAATATGTTTTGCTTGATTATCCATGGAATTACGATCGAAATGAGAAGATTCCGTGTTTCGATTTTGATTGGAATTTTCATTCACTTGAAGCTTCGGTTTTGCGGGAACACTTTGAAGAATTGGAGCCAAGTTTGCGAAAGTTTTTCGTCATGGATTCTGAGTTCAACTCTTCAAGACTCGAAGTAATGAAAGAAATTAAGAAATAGTGGTGAAAAACACTTAAATAAATGGTTCAATTTGTTTATTCTTAAATGCACAAAAAGGATTTCACTTTAAAACTAGAAAATCACAGCTTTTTGACACAAAAATTCTTGTACAAACGAAGAAAAAGAGTAGTTCAAAGATTCTTTCTAGTTCAAAGTCTAGTTTAGTTTAGTTCTAGTTCTAGTTTAGTTCAAAGCTTACCTCATAAACTTTCGCCAACCGCATTTCCTTGATATTTTTGTTACATCCAAGAGCTTTCCCCCTACGAGTTGACCGTTTTCTTCGAGACACTTGGCTTTTGCACAAATCCTCATAATCTAAATGCTCAAGGTTCAAGAAACAAATTAAGTCTGACTCTTTGCATTTCAATGATATAAAGATTTTGTTCAAGTTTTACTCACCTTTTTTAGCCAAAAAATTGGCAATCGGTGATTTATGTGAAGTCTAGACTCTTCAAGACAAAACTCATGTCAGAATGGTACTAATCGTACCCGAAATACTCTGTCTAGCGCGTCTGAAATCACATTTATAATAGATACGATTTTAGAAACTGAAGCATTGATCTAAAAATGTCTTTGGTAAGGTAAGTGTTGTGTTTGTTCAGAAAATCTAACTTTAAACCGGGTCAGAGTGTTGGGAATGCACGTGAGTTGAAAATAAAACTTTAGGCTCTTGTTTGAATTTCAGCTAGAGCGTCCGATCCAGATCTGCAAGCGAAGATGAAAGCATGAAACGAGAAAACGCAACAGATGTGCTCAGATCCGACAACCAATTTCGCCCAAAACCCGATAGGGAAAACGTGATTGGCAGCAATGGCAATGGGCGTTCATTTTCATAGTTGCAGCAATTGAATTGAAGATTTAGATTGAATCCGTACAGACGAAAGAGAGAAGTACTGGGAATTACATGCAATGTTGATATCAAGAACTTGAACATTTCTTCTAATTATAAGGTAAGAATTTATGGTTTAACCCAAATCAAAATGAAAAATTAGGTCATTTCTTCTTTAGAAAACTGTAAAATGTTTGAAAATTTCAAAAAAATTTCATTTTTGAGTGCATTTTTAACATTTCGCTGATTCGTTTGTTTTTTTGCAAGCTCTTGTGCAATAAAGATTTGATTGCAACGCTGTTAAAAACACAATAAATGTATTTTCAAAATAAAAAGTTATGCAATTGTATTCTTTGGACTTTTTGTACCATTTGTTACTTCAATGTGTGCCGATACTTTTACTTCTCGTCGATTTCCTTTGTAAAATGATCGAATGCTGTGGTTGAGAGTCAAATAGATAAGAGCTGAGATGCCTGAAAATTGAGATTTATGAATGCAGCCTTAATTGGAAAATTTGGCACCACAATAACCACCAGGGGCCACTAGAAATTCTGTGAAAAATCGCGCTGAACTGCCTTTTTTTTGGAACACCAGGTATATGCCGCATTCTGTACAAAGTACCGCACCTGCAACGGTTTGCCAAGAGAAATGAGCAGCGATTGCCATCTCGAGTGTGGCCACTTGAAAGAATTGAATGTAGACGTAAAGCCAAGAGCACAAAATGGCTGGAACGGTGATGAGCACGGCTTGAAGGAGAGCCTGGAAAAGAAGAGGAGTGAAAGAATGAAGTCTTCGGCTTTCTGTGAACCCTACATTCATCTCAGCCACAGAGATCTTGTTCGAATCCCTCTTTCTCGCCAACAGTAAGAAGATCATCGCATAGACGATGAGCATGATGATTCCAACGCCCACATTGTGATAGACGTGCCAGATGTTTGAGTACATGAGCACTTCCTGAAGTGTTCAGGAGTTGGAGTAAAAGAGTTCTTGAACCTCTTGTTCATGTTCTTGAAATTCTTGAAGTAAACGTGAAAATTGCTTACTTTTGAGTACTCCTCGATCACAGGCACATAGAGTGCCCCAAAAGCTGTGCTGTTGAACGGAATTGATCGACGACCGGTCCATATCCCGTAAATCAGTCCCAAAACGATCCAAAGATTTATGGGAATGCTCTAAAAAATAAATAGATTTTGCAATTGCTCTACCGTACCATGAATGCTCGATGTAAAAGTTTGTTGTTGAGAACGAGAACAAGACGGTTTAACGCTAAAATGATGTAGAAGTAGGAAGCAATCGACCAGATTACTAAAATTGGAAATTGTAGATGGAGTACGGTAGGATTATTTGGTAAACTACTTGTGCTTTCGTGGCACACTGAACTTCTTAAAGAATCAGCTGCAAAATCATATTTGCCATGTGCCGGACAGTGCAAGTTTATAAAGTATAAAGTACGCGGAAGGCTTCTCTGTCATTCCTATCTCTGTTTCTCTGTCAATTTCTCTGTCATTCTGTTAACCTACCATAACTGTAAGACCCAGAGAAATAGGAAAAAATTGGATTCATGCAGAAGACTCCTCCAGTCGCAAAGACGTATCCGGCGATGAACGAGTTGACAAAAAGATTACCGATATCAGCCAAAATCAAGCAAAACATGATCTGGATAAGTTTCTAGCTTTTTCTACAATAACAAACAAACTTTGTAGCAATCATTTTTGATCAATTTTAGACGGAGCATCGCGTAAACGGTGGGCATGTAGAGAATCTGAAAATTGTTTTGATTTTTGAGTTGAATCTGGGTTTTCATGATCTGGTAACTAGAATTTGATTTCTTTCAAGTATTAAATTAAATCATTGAAAATTAAAACTTTCTACTGTCATCGTGGTGTTAGAGTTAATTGAAAAACTAAGATTTTTAGCCAAACACTTTATCCATCTACATTCTATGACAATCATCATAAAATCAGAAACAAAACCGACAATGTAAAGCGTTCCCCCAGCAATCAGCAACATTCCAAGTATTGGCCATTTCGTTCCCATTGCTTCCCATTGCTCATAAGTTTTCCCAGTGCAATTGTAGTATGAAGGTGGATAGCCGAAGACTTTGCGAATCGTCTGAAATTGAATTCAACTACCCTAAAGTCTCGAGCATAAGTTCATCCGAGTATAAATTCTGCCTTAATTTACATTCGCTTTAATTGCTTTGAATTTCTTTTTGTTGGGTTTTTATACATTTTTATTGTTATATAAACTTTTATTATTGTTCTTGGAGCACGGGATACTACAGGGTGACAGCCTATCTGTTATGTGCATGGATACATCTAGACGATAGTGTTGAAGAAGACGCTGGAAAGCATCTCTTTCGACCGTCGACGTGGAGGCCAGGGAGGAATCCATAAGACTGAGCACCGGAGAGGAGCAGGGCGGACGCGCCGAGCCACGCCCGGAGCGACAAATAACAGCATAAAATTGCTATAACCCTCAATAAATTTACTTCTACTATTGTTCTTAAAAAGCAAAAAAGTTATGCTGCAGCGGGGTTCGAACCCTCGACACACCGCACCGGAGACAGCCGTCAATTTGCATGCGAAAACCAAACAGAACTTATACTCACGACTTTAGGGTAAAAGAATTCAAGAATAAAGCTTGATGCTAAAACGTACTTCCATCGAATCGTTCATTTTCTTCAATTTCAAGAAATTCTTATGGAAAAATGGAACAAGGTTTGAAAATTAGTGTAAAATTTTGCGTTTATATAGTGATCAGATTTTTCTGCTTCAGTTGAATAAAAGAAAATTTCTAGTGCTATTTTGGTGCAACTTTGTCTTTGTCTTCAACTTTGTCTTCATGCGAGTGATTTTTGATTGTACTTGGAATATTTACAGTGCCAATGAAGTGGAAACAAGCGGATTTGAAATGAGGAAAATGTTCCTTGCAAATTCGCACAGTTTCATGCAAATCAAGCGTGCATAAAATGGCCAAAAAAAAAGAAAAAACTTATCGTACCGTGAAAATGGTTGGAATTGCATAAAAGGCACAAATCAAGTGGAACAAATGTAAAATCAGGAAGAAAGGAAAGACTGTAGCACAATGTTTTCAAATCATTTCCGTAGTTCGACGATCAGAAATTGAATTTGGATTTATTACTTGAGTCGGAAAGATTTGATTTTTGGTGCATTTTCTGGTCAATGTTTTCTAGCAATTCGCTTTCATTTTCCTTTTTTATTATTACGGTAACAATGGCTGGATGGTGGCAAGGTTTCATGAAAAATCGCCCGAAGGTCAATCCACGCGATTTCAATTGTGTAAATCGAAGAACTTTACCAAATGAAATTATGACAAAATGTTGTTTTGCAAGCGGTTGTGGATATGCAAAGAGCTGCTCGAGATTCTATCGACCGACTAATCCTGAATTTCCAAGCTAAGTATTGACCGATCAGGAAGAAAACTTTGGTGGCCACCAAATGAAATTATGGCAAAATGTTATTTTGCAAGCGGTTGTGGATATGCAAATCAGAAAGAAAGAAAAAACTGTAGCACAATGTTTTCAAATCATTTCCGTAGTTCGACGATCAGAAATTGAATTTGGATTTATTACTTGAGTCGGAAAGATTTGATTTTTGGTGCATTTTCCAGTCGATCTTTTCTAGCAATTCGCTTTCATTTTCCTTTTTTATTATTACGGTAACAATGGATGGTGGGAAGATTTCATGAAAAATCGTCCGAAGATCAATCCACGCGATTTCAATTGTGTAAATCGAAGAACTTTGGTAGCCACCAAATGAAATTATGGCAAAATATTGTTTTGGATGATAGTTTTTCTTAATAATCTTTAAATGTTTTAAATCAATGTGATTGATTATTTTGTTTTTTGAAATGAACAAAGAGTTATTCTGGAGCTTTTCGGTCAATACTTAGCTTGGAAATTCAGAATTAGTCGGTGGCCACCAAATGAAATTATGGCAAAATGTTATTTTGCATGCGGTTGTGGATATGCAAAGAGCTGCTCGAGATCCTGAATTTCCAAGCTAAGTATTGACCGAAAAGCTCCAGAATAAAAATGAGAATAACTCTTTGTTCATTTCAAAAAAGGATAATAAACATTTAAAGATAATTAAGAAAAATTATCATCCAAAATAACATTTTGGCATAATTTCTTCGAAAGTTCTTCGATTTACACAATTGAAATCGCGTGGATTGATCTTCGGATGATTTTTCATGAAACCTTGCCACCATCCAGCCATTGTTACCGTGATAAGAAAAAAGGAAAATGAAAGCGAATTGCTAGATAGCAATATTGTTTTACTAGACATGGGAAAATTCCAACCGAACCTAAATCCACCTTCGTTTTCTTGGCCGATTCTTGACCGATTGTTCTGAAATTTTGTCTACAAGCTAAAAATATCGATTTCTATCTGTAGACAAAATTTCAGAGCAATCTGCCAAGAGACGGCTGAGAAAACGAGGGTGGAATCAGGTTCAGATTGAACTTTTCCCATGTCCATTACTTACTGGCTGTTTTAGTTATAGTCGTCGTTGTAGTTGTCGTTTTTGTGATTGTTGTGGTGGTGATGAGATGAATATTTAGCAAATGTAAGTAAACGAAAGGAATTTAATTTATTTTCTAGCCTCCAGATGAAATTTTTCATTATTTCAGTTGTGTCAACTCTCAGATAAAAAAATCTTCACACTTAGAAGACTCCCAAATACTTTAAATAATAGTTATAGCCTTAAAAAGAGTAGTGACATCGAAAACCGGATAAAATCTATAAAATCATCTTTAAGTTCTTGGAAATTTGGGTATACTGTAGCTGAGGCACGAAAAAGAATTCTGGGAGGCATTGAAAAATGGAGTAGCATGATCTAATGTTTCTGATTATACAGGGTGCGTCATAATTATTGCAACAAGATACTCAAGGGCATTGCCCACCAAGAAGTTTCACTGGAAGAAGATTCTTAAACAGAAATAGCTTTATTTAACAGTAACAAATACGAAAACAAGAGATCATTTAATTAGACCGCCTTTTGCCTTGATAACAGCCCTTAATCGGTTCGGATATGCCTCCACTGCGGCCCGAATGTCATCTTGAGGAGTCGCCTTCCATCCTTTGGTCAAAGACTTCTTCAAGGTCAAAGAGCAGACATTAGCCTCTAAGATTGCCCAAATGGAAAAGTCCATCACATTGAGATCCGGTGAGTTTGGAGGCCATTCATCCTTGGTGATCACTGAGGGAAACTTGGCCACACACCAGTCCTGAACCGTCTTCTTCGTGTGAGCGGGAGGCAATTAGGCAAGAATAAAGAAGATAGAACGCAACACAACAAAAAAGGGGGGCAAAAAAATAAGAAAGTTGTTTGGAAAACGGTCTTTGAACTCTTGTTGCAATAATTATTACGCACCCTGTATTATGTGCATCAAAATTGTTTTGAACTTAAAATATATTACTTCATTTATCACCAACAATTTCTCGCCAACAGTTTCTTTTTTGCGTTCTCCCTTTTTTCTCTCTTCGTTATCTCTTTGGTTATCATTTTCTGTGAAATGTTTTAAAAAAATGGAAAATTTCGGAATCTTTTCATTTTCTTGGTAAAACTTAGCTGGGAAATTGAGGAAAATGAGTGAAAATTAGCTAATTGTTAACCAAGATCATTGAAAACTTTGTCAAGTTATCAAATTTTCAAAATAACTATCTTGTTTTTTTTTTCAATTTGATGACTCAAGTTATTTAGCCTTGAGTCTATTTAGCCTTCACCCATCGAATGGCCGCCTTGGTGTGACAAGATAAAAAATGGAGGATAAAATGAAATTGATACGGACAAACTTTCAATTTTCAATCGAAATGAAGAATTTCTTTGCATTGGCTGCTGTATTCATTTGTTTTTCCTTTGCACAATCCGATGTGCGACCACCTCTAACGTGTGATATGTACAGGACAATTCATGTTAAGTTGGTGTCATGATTTGTTGGAAATAAGAAAAGTAGTTGTTTTTGCCATGAAGACATGAAAAATGCCAATATATATCTTTTCAATTGAAGCTATTCAATTGGAAATTTGTATTGAAACCGTTTGAGTTCAGTGATTTCAGTGAATCTTGGCCTAATCTGCTGAACAAAGCTTTAGCTTAGAAATTTTCCATTTCCATTTCCATTTCCACATTAAAACTCTTTAGTTTAATCAAAACAGCTGTAAAACTGGGCAAAGACGGGGTCGATGAGGGAAAACTTCACGAGTATCTCAAAGAAATCTGCGAAAAGAAAACGGTTTGCATAAAAAATGATCGGAATAAGCAGATTTTACAGATCCAAAGTGATTCTTGTGAGGCGATCTATAAAGATTTTGAGTCTAAATTTCTCGAGGTGATTCGTGGAGTGAAAGAGGGCAAAAGTGGAGTTGAGATGCATCGAGAAGTTCCACATTGTCAAAAAGATGAGAGCTCGACCGAAGATGATTAAACTTTAAAATTCTCTTTTTTTTTATCACAAGCAATTTGAAATAAACTTTGAATCTTGTTTACAAAGTAATAGTTGCTTTTCTTTAGTTTTTTTCTATAGTTGCTTAAGTCCGGAAGTTCCGGGAGTTCCCTGAGTTTTGGAAGGGACAAATGTTGAAATTGATTGAAACAATTGATTGGTAAACAAAATAGATTGGAAATCTTATGTTTAAACTCTTAAAAAGGCAACGAAAATAGGCATCGAAATTGCAAAGATTATTGGAAAAATGATTTGCTTATAAGAATTGCACAAATCTCCCCAACAACAATATAATTTCCCATCACTGGTTTTCAGTTGACCCTGACGAAAACATTGTGCTTTGGTGAAAGTGACCAAAAACTCGTCTCCACATCCGCATCCCCATGTTGAATGGAAAACAGTGTAACGTGTCTAAAATGAATTGTCGAATTGGAGCCAAATGATGATCTTCATTTGTCTTGTTTCATTAAGTATTACAGTTTCTAGGTCATAATACATTAAATACCATTAAATCGTTAATAAAAGTAAAAATTAGAAAATTTCATAGGGTAATTCCTACACTTTCTCCTTCTGAAGTTCTTGAATCGGTTATCTTTCCGCAATATTCACAATCATCCGAGCAGTTGACGATTTTCTGAATTTTCCAATTGTTTATCGAATTTTTGCAATGATATACTTGAAAGGTTATCGGACATTTGATACGCGCACGTCCCTTTTGCCATTGGCTAACTTTAAGCTCAAATATCTTGGTGTTTAGTTGTTCAATTTAAAGATTCTTGGTATCATTGGATGCGCCAAGTCTTTCTCTGTACCAAGAACATTTAAATTGGACAGCTTAACACTAAGAAATTTGAGCTCAAAGTTGGATTGCCAATGGCAAAAGGGGCGTCCGACAATCAACTTGAAATAGCTATCAAATCAACTATCAAATGTCCGACAATCAATTTGAAATGCTTGACTTGCCTGTCTCGAAGTGTGCTCTTGACTGAAATCCTCGTCGACATAGCACTCCAATGCAAAAGTCACAATGAGTAAAGCCAATTGAAGAGCCAATCCTCTCATTTTCCGAATGGGAAGTGTCTTCAATTGCCACTAGAAAAAGTGAGGCAAGAAAATACACTGAAATCACATGGCACTTATCATCCCGTAGTACATTGTTTACTTTAGAAAGACAAACTTTGAGCACTTATTTTAAAATTTCACAATTCTGTATGTTGGCATAAGAAAAAAATGATGAAATAAGCATTTTAAGTGAAACAATTTCAAAATTTGTTGGCTAAGAACCGAAAATTCTTGGATATATCCCAATTATAATTCTTGGATTGATCGAATAAATGATTTATTCAAGACTTTCAATTAGAAAAATAAAAATGAAAAGAAGAAACATTGAAAGATTGAGTTGATTAACCGAATTGCAAAAATCTCCCCCACAACAAAACAAATCGGAGTATTTCGTTTTCACTTTTCCGACGCTTGTGCACGCTTCGGCGTCAAATGCGGCGAGATTAGCCTCTCCACAACCACAACCCCAAGTCGATGGAGAGTATAAGGAAGATGACTGAAAGTTGGCTCATTCTTTTGATTTTAATGAGTTCGTACCAGGGTGGGCAGGGAAAGCCAAAAAAAAGCCACAACTTGCCAAGTCCTACTTTAACACATTCACAACCTGACCCATCGGTGATCAGGCGCTGTTTCTCAATAGTGGCTTGACCAAAAATCCTATAAATTTCAGAGGATCTGTAACTTTTTATGCCCTTTCAGAATCCGTTCCTAGTTTTCAAAACGGTTTGATTTTTCTAAGAATACGAAAAACAAGCCACGGCAGCCATTTTATATGTACAGTACTGGACAATGAAATATCATATTTGAAGAACGATCGTCTCTTTCGCGCGTCTGTAACGCCCTTGTCTTTGAGTTTAAACTATTAGCGTTATACATTTTCTGAAAGCTCTTTTCAAGGGCTACACATTGGTAATATTAATATTTAGAAATACGGCAAAGACAAGGAAGTTACAGACGCGCGAAAGTGACGATCGTTTTTCAAATATGATATTTCATTGTCCAGTAGTGTACCTTTCATAGCAAATTCGTAGGAAAAAGCGGCATTTGGCAAACTGACTCCCAGTTGGAGTTTTGGGTAATTAAAACGGCTTGAATATACCAAATCTCACAAAGGAAACCGCTCGTTTTTTTAATTGAATATTAATTCTAGTGTCACCTCTAGAAACACTATTACATACCCAGAAGACGCCAGTAAACCTAGAACTCAAAAGAAGCAGCATTGGTTTTAATGGAGATAGAAAAAAAAGTTAATCTGAAATTCGAAATCAGCACTCTCGAAAAAGCCCTATGTGCAATATTTGGGCTTTTTTACTGACAAAAAATGTCTTTATCGCGAATGTGTTAAATTACGGAACGTTAACGATGTCTAACCAACCAACATCCTTAAAAAACGGACGTTGCGTGTTCTGTTCTATCTTCTCTTCCAGCTTATTCATTAAAGGGGGCTCTCATCCATTTCAAATCCCTCATTCTCAAGCTCAAATATTCATTCGAATCCTCCCGATGGACGAAAGAAAAACTTTACTTTCATCATAGTTATAGTTCCCTGTGCAAATCTCTCTATTAGAGAGGCATGAGGTGTTCTTTGTGGGCCGCGTAACCGCTTACCATCTACTCATAACTTTCAACCAATTAAGGCTCAATAAAATGAACATATCCAATCGACTCGCTGGCCCCGAAAACCGCCGGGTACAAATTTACAGCGAAATAATATCCTCTTTTTACACCATCTACAAAGCAAAAGGGCGTTACTATGCCCAAATTTTTGGGATTAATTTTTGCCAATAAATTTTGCTGGTCTTTTTCAGCAAATTTGAAACTTTCTCTGAAACGAACTTTTGAAACCGCTTTCCCGCAAAAGTCGCAACCGGTCGAGCAGTTCGTTTTTGTCTAAAAGGACTTCCGCAAAACATTTACAAACTTGTTAACTTACAACCAATGGTCCGTGTCCTTCACTCAGCGTTTCATCTACGTAACACTGAATGGCAAAAGAAACAGAAATCAGGGTTAATAGTAGAGTTAGATGTTTCATGGAAGGTGTTATTCAAAAGTTTCTGAATAAAATTTTACAACCAATTACCTAACAACTAGGTGAATGGGTGTAAAACAGAATCCCGTGATAAGGGCGAGTCAAACAGGGGGAAAAACACAAAATAAACAGAAATTTCAGCTTTTCCGAATAGGTGTAGAAATAGCTGTTTCGTTTGTACATCGGTTTACAATCGGTTCAGGGTTTTGGGGATTTTGAGTGAGTAAACATTTGAGCCGATGTCAAGGAAGAGGTATGACTCGATTTTTAGAAGAAAAATCTAGATTTTTAGCATTTTTGTACTTATTTACAGTTAAATTATACAGCAAACGTGCACTTGATTGCTGAAAAGACGCAATTTATGCGTTTATTTTTGTCAACAATACCGAAGGCATGTATTAGGTTGGCAAGTTATAAACGATCGTTTTTGGGTAATGTGTTTTCTGAAAAAAACGGCTTATCCAATCAAAAAACGGTTTGCTTCATTCAAAAGCCCTATCCTTAATCTACAAAATGACTTTTTTGAATTTTTGAAAATTCATTTTAATGTAAGAGTTCAAAATCCTGGTTTCTAGCATTCATGGCTAATATATTTTTGAGTCATTGCATACTTTTTTAAAATAAAACGCTTCATCGATTAGGCTCAGGCTTAGGCTTAGGCTCAGGCTCAGGCTTAGGCTTAGGCTTAGGCTTAGGCTCAGGCTCAGGCTCAGGCTTAGGCTTAGGCTTAGGCTTAGGCTTAGGCTTAGGCTTAGGCTTCATCGCTTCATCGAAACGCTTCATCGATTACATAGTTTCCCAAAATTTCAGAACAATCCAATCTTCGGAAGGTTGATTTTCAAATTGGGCTCAAAAAGCACTTTTGTGCTAATTTAATCCATTTTCGTTTGAGTTTAAGCAAGATTAAAAAAAAAGATTAAAAGAAAGAGAACGGCTCGATCAATTGGATTGTTCTGAAATTTTGGGAAACTATTTAATCGATGAAGCGTTGATTTTAAAAAGTATGCAATCACTCAAAAATAGCTCAAAAATATAATAGCTCATGAATGCTAGAAACCAGAATTTTGAACTCTTACATTAAAATGCCTGAAAAAATTCTAAAATAAAAGATTTTTCAAAAATTCAAAGAAGTCATTTTGTAGATTAAGGATAGGGCTTTTGAATCAAGCAAAACGTTTTTTTGCAGAAAACAGATTACCCAAAAACGATCGCTTATAACTTGCCAACCTAATATTGCTGATTGGTGAGTCGGTTTTCGATTACTCGAACGGAGCCAGGCTATCATAGATTGACAAAGAGCTCACGTCAATTCCATCTGAAGAAAAATAAAAATGAAACGTTGTCATTTATGAATATGAAATGCTTTTCTAAAAGGTGGATAACTTGGAAAAATTGTTAATCTTTCTTTCAGTTTTTATCCAATTTACGTATTGGTCGCGTCCGTTTCCTTCCTATTTGCGTTGCTATTTTGCAATTATTCGCGTCGCATTTTTCGCCCTTTTCTCCCTTCCCGAAATTGTTTTTTTGGTCTGCGGGTTGCTTTTGCCTTCCCTCGGGGGGGACTTGGTTGTTTATTTTGATGCGCATGCTGTTTTTGTAACGGGTATTCTTGCATTTTGGTTTTGTACTAATAAACAGTAAAATTATAAATTCAACTTACTTTCTGCTACCCTTCAGGTTTTAAATCCTGTTTTGATAACTGGTTTAACATTGTAGAGAGAGCTTACTAACATTTGTGTCGCCACCCACGAGTATTAATCTTGTGTTGGATGCTGCGCGTTCTTGTTATGTTGTAAGCGCTTTGGGGAAACCCATTTAACCTTCTTTGTGCAATTCGGCTATTCTGAAGCAAAATCATCCTCGATGATAAGGTTAAAGCGGGTCGCACCCCAAACTTATTGTTAGATATTTATAAATTCATTTGATGAGGAAACAAACAATGACTCCAATGAAATAGGATTAAAATTCATTAAATTCGACGAGATCTGAAGGGAAACCTACGATAGTTTTCAACATTTGCCCATTTTTTTGAAAACACTTTACTCGCAAAGAACAATTTCTATGTTATGAAGCTTTTTTTGCTTAAAACCCAACCTTTCCGATGAGCGACAATCGTTTTTCTTTGATGTTTATAGTCAATTGATGAGATTTTATAGACTAAATATCATAATTTGAAAGTAATACTTAACATTTGCCTACCTGGCTGTATAAAGTACAACGACAACATGTGAATTTCCATCTAGATAAGACGCAAGTTTGCTTATCACTCTTTAAAACCGATAATGCAAGCATCAATGTGTGAAATATACTTTGAGCTTTGTAATTTCTTGTGAGACTGTGTCTAAGTGTCGTTCAGTGGTCGACGTCTTGAAAATGCACCATTTATCAAAGCTTTCCCTTATTAGGGCAAATTTCGGTCAAAATGGAGCAACTTGAACTTGAATTTGATACGAACACTTTCCTGGAGTTATTTGTAAAGGTTTAATGGAAAGAAAGTGTTTTAGTGATTGTTAGTACGTGGCGCAAGCGCCAACAATGCCAACAACTCTTTATCCAGATGAAGGCTACGTTACACCACCACGATAGGATGTCGTTCAAATGTGGCAGCCTTTCCCGGATGTGGCCATCTATGAGTGAGTGTAAAAATGGGTATCTGGTTTAAAAAAGCAAACTTCAAATGGGTTTGGCATACTTACGAGTATCTAAATTCTAGAAATGCGCCTTTGGTCTTAAAATTGAAAATGTTTGAAAAGGCCTTTGGTTAACTGCATTAATGCCTAATCTTTTCTTTTCTTTTCTTTCGTTCATAGTGCCCATTTTCTTTCCGAATGTCGCCCGAGGAAAGAGTGAAGAGTGTAGGGATTACAGATCTCTGTAGGAAATGTAACAAAGGAAGATTTTTGAAGAACAAAAATTGCGTCACGGAAACTAGGGAACCCTTTTGGGAGAAAAGGACGAAAAACGGGGAACAACTGAAAATTAAATCACCCATCCACTTTTACGATTCCAAAAACATGACGGGTTTTCAATTTTGCTGAAGCTATTATGAGAACAATCCTTATATTAGTTTTTGTTTCAACATTAGGTGAGTGCATTACTGAAGTTCACGAATAAAGATTTGTAAATTTTGAGTATTCTATGAAGGTGGCCTAAGTAACAACATGAAAATAGTCGTTTCGATTGTTAAACCGGTTTTTCTTTTTGCAAAGTCTTTGCTTTTCGTACTTCCGTTTAAAACCAACAAATTACCAATTAGTTTTCTGCAAAATAACATTAAAACGAGTTTAAAATGTCTTATGTCTGGATTTTTTTTTTGGGACATCAAGTCGGGTAGTCGATGATGTGGTTCAGGAACTAAAGAAATCTATCGCTAAAGAGTCTATCGCGTACTATCTAGTCTAAGAAATCTATCGCTAGAGCTAAAGAAATCTATCGTGGTGTCAATAGATAAAAGAACAAAAAGTTAGTTATATAGCCAAACTTTCAGAGAAATTCATTCAGCCAATTTCTTCGTAGAGATTTTTATAGGTTTTTACAAAAACCACGTTTCCAGTTGCGCTTTTTGCCAGAAAGTGAATCCAAATTGACTTAAAAAGATGGGAAATTGAACAATAAACACTTTTTATTTAGAGAAAACCATAGGTTAATTGGTAAATTTGTTATTTTTCAACGAAAGTACGAAAAAAACGAAAAAACTTTCTGGATAGCCTAATCCTACGGAATATTTTTAATCCAGTTTACTGTCGGTGACTTTTTTAGTAGTTTTCAATATCGTTAAGGATTTTCTTCGGTTTCCTCCGCTCGTATGGGTCTCGAGGTTCCAGTGGGAAAGAGCTCGTCCAGCAACAATGCCCTCACAAGTGGTAAGCGTTTGATTAATTGCATTTCTTCAATTTTATTCACTAATATCATGATAAAAAAAAGCTTGAGTCAGTCAAATTAAATGTAATTAACGCTGATCATTTTCATTTCCAGGTACCCAGAGATTCTGCCACGTATGTTCGGGAGGAGATTCAATCCTTTCACCGGCTCTTCAAAAAGCCATGAAATACTTTAATATAAGCGAAGGTTAAAGGAAAATTCAATAAATTAAAAATACTACCTAAAGAATTAAAGCGAGAACCTAAATTGTCTAGGCTCAAAAGTGGGGAATTGTGAGTCGAAATCAAGTGCCGACTCGTGTCGAGGGATTTTGTGTCAAAAAAGCGTTGGTTCGTTTTTGTTTTTTTTCATTTATTATATGTTTGAATAAGTTGAACTGAATAAGTAAGCTCACCTTAAAATAAAGTATAAATCTATTTTCTAGTTACCTACGAAATTAACTATTCCGGTAGTGTTTACAAATATCACGTCTGGGTGAAGAGTTGTGGAGCAGCGAGTGTGAGTTTCTTCGAATTGTTAGTGAAAAGTTTAGTCGACTATTTATGAATAAAATATTAGGTTGAGGAAAAAGTAATGTCGGTTTTTGTCACAAAACTGTTTATTGCTAAAAACAAAGCAACAATCAATGAGATATTCTCCATTATTATTGATGACTTGTTCCCATCTTTCAAATTAGAGCCTTAAGCACTTGAAAATGAGAAATCGAAGCAAACTCACAAGCAGACAACACCCAAACAAACTCTAAAACGTGTCTAACTTTTGAAAACGACCGTAATCTTGTCTAGAAAAGAAGAAGAAATCGTATCTTATCACGATTTATTAAGTTGAGGAAAAAGTCATGTCGGTTTTTGTCACAAAACTGTTTATTGCTAAAAACAAAGCAACAATCAATGAGAGTATCTCCATTATTATTGATGACTTGTTCCCATCTTTGTTGCAAGTCCCTGATCCCATCCTCAAAAAAAATGAGGAGTTTTCGAGCCAAAATAAGTGTCGACTGTTTTTTTTTTTTGATCTGTGCATGATTCTCGAACTTTTCTCCCATAAGAAAACTCTTCGACGACCGAAACAAAAAATAATCTGATGGGGTAAGGTGCGTGGCACAGAAGTTTCCAACCAAGCTCGTCGATTTTTTGGTGAGTGATTTTTGCAGTGTGAGGTTTTGCATTACCATGCAAAAATAGCAATTCTGATGTTTCAACGCCCAATTTCTTTAAAGTCTCGTTAACTCTCATCAACTTTTTCGAATAAAGATCAGCGGTGACAGTTTCGAGTGGTAAGGGTTGGATTGAGTTCAATGGCATCAAGCAAATCCTCATCTGAAATCTCTTGGGGTCGTCCAGACCGTTCTTCGTCTTGGAGACTTTCATTTCCATCTTTTAACCGCTGAAACCATACTTGGCATTGTCTTTCGCTAATGATGTCTTCCCCAAAAGTTCAATGATTGTCCGATGCGATTCAGCCGCGGATTTTCCCTGTTTAAAATCATACCACAAAGCGGCTCGAAGTCAAAACTTTTCGTCTTGCATTTTGTACCTGAAAATATTGTTAAATTTGTAAAAGTCAAATATAATATGAAGGTACAGAGTGTCTAGCTGAAATCTATTTTAAAACAATCGCATAAGCAAAGAACTGGAAAATTGCCAACAACGGGAATTCAAAACCGACTTTACTTTTTCCTCAACCTAATATCTATTAAATATATTTCCATTTCCTCAACCTAATATCTTCTATCTATTAAACAATATCTTAGCTCAATTTCGAAAGATGTTCTTAAAAATTCAACTTTAAGACATCAAAAAACATTGGAAAATGCTTGAATGGCGTAGTCGAGAAAGTCTCCACCGGTTATTCCAAGGTTGTTTTTTGCACATTTGCTTAAATTCTTTTCCCTCATTACAGTTTTCCACTGTATGCATGTGCAACAATAAAAACTATTGCAATTCGACATGCGATTTTCACACGAGAATCTTTTCGCTTATTATGTTCATCGCTTTTATCTCGATATTTAAAGAGTGATTATTCAATAAACTTCTGTGACATTTCAGCAAAAATACGATTTTTGAACAAAAATAGCTAGACAACTGAGCAAATATCCCAATAAACATATGAATTTTATGATCAGTAAATTCTCTTTTTGAAACCATTACAAAACACAGTTTGGGATTGGTTTTGAACACATGCAGAAATGTTTTCTTTTCTGAAACTCTTGCTCGCTTTTGTCATTCGATCATACCTTTTAAAGCTTCTGCGGTCATAGAAAGCTTCTAAATTCTCACTTTAGCGATGATTCGATCGAGTTTGTTGTGGCTAAAAGAAGCTTAATTGATCTTAGAAGGATTAAAACCTAAAAAAACTTTAAAACTATTGTTGAGTATTGTGCCAGCTATTAAGCTGATAACCCTTATTTATTTTTCCATTTTTAGAAGACCTTCTCAACTATTTCCTATGTGTTTTTGATTGAAATAGTAATTGAGTGAAACTTTATTAACATCGTTTTCTTTAATGATTTTCCAGGGAATCGACTTTACTTTTGATAAAAAAATACGATAAGTTTGGAAAAGATTTTGTACAAATTTTTGTTTCAGGATGTTGAGAAGAATGACAAAAGAGCTCAATCAAAAAGTCGACAACTTCAACTCTTGAATCCGATTATTATACAAGTAATTCCAAAGTTATCTCCAATTTTGTCACAAACTCAAAACCGATTTCAAAATCGAAAACTTTCAAAAAACAGAAACGTTCAAAGATTTCGTTTCTATTTAGACATTAGTGCTTTGTATTTTTCAGAAAGTTTTCTCAACCTTTGATAACAAAGCAGTTCGTCATGGAAAAGACAAATACAGTGTGAATCCTTCTCGATAAGTTCTCATTTTCACAGTCTTTTCTTGTCATTTTCCTTATTTTGGGTTTTTGTCAATCTGTATTGGGTTGATGGAAAAGTCCTTTCCGATCCGTCTTGAAATCAGCTTTAGGATGAGCTATAAAACGTCAAAATTGGACAAATTTAAGGTACTCTCCCAAAAAATCGGAAAGAACTTTTCCATCAACCCAATATGTAGAAAAACTAACGATTTTATGTTTTCTAGCAGGTAATCCGATTTAACGAATCGTTTTGTTACCATAAAGTCAAAAGTCGAAGATAAATTTTTAGAATTGACCAGTACCTTGACCATTTCTACATTTCAGAATACTGTAGTAAGATGGGATACTTGAAAACTATCAAGATTGCCTCTTACCAATTAACTTTAGCTCTCATCGCCCCATCATCATCACGGAAAGAAAGAGAAATTGTGAATTGAATGTGAATGAATAAGTTGATAGACAAGTTTGGAAACAAAACCGATTTCAAAATCGAAAACTTTCAGAAAACAGAAACGTTCAAAGATTTCGTTTCTGTTTAGACATTAGTGCTTTGTCTTTTTCTCAACCTTTGATAACAAAGCAGTTCGTTATAGAAAAGACAAATACAGCGTGAATCCTTCTCGATAAGTCCTCATTTTCACAGTCTTTTCTTGTCATTTTCCTTATTTTGGTTTTTTATCTCGATATGTGTGTAGAAAAAATTACGATTTTATGTTTTCTAGCAGGTAATCCGATTTAACGAATCGTTTTGTTATCATAAAGTCAAAAGTCGAAGATAAATCTTTAGAATTGACCAGTACCTTGACCATTTCTACATTTCAGAATACTGTAGTAAGATGGGATACTTGAAAACTATCAAGATTGCCTCTTACCAATTAACTTTAGCTCTCATCGCCCCATCATCATCACGGAAAGAAAGAGAAATTGTGAATTGAATGTGAATGAATAAGTTGATAGACAAGTTGGAAACAAGGCTCAGATACACTGTATCACTGTATTTGGTCAGTAGTCATATACAGTGAGCTTTATTAATCTTACTTATTCATGATATTCATGATATTTTGCAGGCAATCAAGAATCTGGAGTCTACGCTTTTCCGTTACTCGAATCTCCACAACACGGCATTCTGCTTTAATCAAACATATTATTTGATGGCAATAGTGAAAGAATGACAAATATAATCAATGTTAATCAAACTAACAAAAACTATTCACAGAAAACTCCATTAAAAAGCTGCTATTTAAAAATTTTTGCTATTCCAATACCAAAAGTCAATTCAACCAATCAACTCAATCGATAGTGGTAAAGACGATCCGTGATATAACAACGTTTTCTATAGTGTGCACTTATTGTTAGGGGAAAGCTACCTGGTTGTTTTATGTTCTGACATACTCAATTACGGTGGTCCTAAATGGATTACGATAATCCTAAACACAGCGGTAGTAGACTAATAAAGCCCACTGTATTTGACTACTGATCAAATACAGTGATACAGTGTATCTGAGCCTTGTTGCCAACTTGTCTATCAACTTATTTATTCACATTCAATTCACAATTTCTCTTTCTTTCCGTGATGATGATGACAATTTCGAAAAATGTGCTTAATCATTAAAATTAAGAACATTTTTAGAAAAACTTTAAGAAATCGACATTTGCGATGACTCAAGGTATCATTTTTGTGTATTCTTCAAGTTTTTAGATCCGCAGATCAAAAACAAAACCTTGTTCTCATTCAATATTGAGAAACTTGGAAAAACATGGCTATAGTCAATCAATTCTACGTGCAGATAAAGATCACTGACTGACGTTTTATATAGCAATACAAGTTATGAATAGAGCAACATGCGGACATGATTGGAGTCAATTGGGAGACACTGATCAATGTCTCTGAAAAAAAAACAGATAAAAAGAAAATACGAAAGTAAAACAAAAAAATAAAATTTTTAAAATCAAAAGCTATTTGGAAGAGTCAACTTTTGATTGTAACTCTAGTTTCAGCTGTACTTACAAATTTTAAACTACATGTTTTACTAAATTAGATAAATAAAAATGAATCAACATGAGATCATCTTCAAAAACTCCTCATAGTTCAATTTCCCATCACCATTTGTGTCAACTTTGTCCAGAGTCATTTCAATCCCTTCTCCTGTCATTTTTGTCCCAAACAAATCGTCGGTTGTTTTAAGGAGCTCATCTCTCGAGAGATACCCATTTCCATCTTTGTCCAAACGTTGAAATACTTCGCGTAGAGTTTCAATTTCACTTTCAGCCAGTGGAGCTGACATGATCTGAAATAAGGAAATAATATATTTCACTTAAAAATTCGATAAGTATATGCTTGATAAGAAAAGAGTTAAGCCAACAATAAATGAGCTGTTGATTGTTTTAAATGGTTATAAAATCATTTTATGGGCTATAACTATGCTAACCAAGTCAAATACATGAAATTTCAATAAAACTACACATTCCGATACTAATCACATATGGAAAGAACGTGAGAAAACGTTTCTTTAACTGGAAAAATTACCAACTATATCAGTAGAGGAGATCTTTGTTTTAGTAATAAGATTAAGCGATAAAAGTGGAGAATGAAGTTTGAAACGCAATGAGAGAAGAAGACTAAGTTTAAAGACAAAGTGCAGCTATGGTTACATTGGGAATTCTTTAAGGAGAGCTAAGAGTCGAAAGAGCATAATGAAGTGCTTGCGTGGATCTTTGGTGTAAAATTCAAATGAACTAGAAATGAATGGAATAGCAGTTTATTCCGCTGAACTTCATTAATGATGTGTTTTTGCATTTAATCAATGTTAGAACTATTGAAAAGCGTCATTGAAAAAAATTGATACATACAAATAATTGAAAACTTTGCTTCTTTGTTCTCTTAATTGTTTATTTTCTGCCTAGAAAGCACATATTTTACATGCAAAATTGCACAAAATTTACATGCAATTTACATACATAACGGAAAAAAAATTTGGCGCATTATGGAGAGGTTAGAGCTCCAGTCACTGTGCACAATGCTCATACACGATGGAAAACATCTGACCGTGAGAGGAGCTGTTGCTTCAAGCGTTACCGCTCCTTCACCAAACGTTCAAAACGCACAAAAAGCTGTGCACACTAAATTACAGTTGAGGATTTTAACAAAACCCAAACATATACTAAAAATCGATAAGTAAGGGCTAAAACTGAGCAAGAGAAAAAGGGATGAAGAGAGATTAGAGTTTCCCAGCAGGTGCGCTATTCGATTTGACTAATGTTATATTTTTAAATTACCCTAACCGCTATCCACCTATTTAGAATGTAAAAAGAAAGCTTAAAACAATTGACCGAATCTCAACTTTCATATTTATGGCTGATATTTGAGTATAATGTTGGCCTAAAATGAGTGAATTTCAAAAAAAAGATGCCCAAAAACATCTCTTGATGCTAAGATAAAAGCTACAGATGGGTGTTCTTCCTCAAACGCTGGACAATGGCCTAGAAACAACCTTTTCAAGATTGAATGAAGAGGAAAATGATAACCAGACAAGTCTGTTTGCATTTGTAATTATTTTTATTTGATTTCAATATTTTCTAACTGAAAACCTGAAGGATTTGGTCGAAAAGCTCTAGGTGTTTGATGATTGGCCAGACGATTGGCCAGACGATTGGCCAGACGATTGGCCAGACGATTGGCCAGACGATTGGCCAGACGATTGGCCAGACGATTGGCCAGACGATTGGCCAGACGATCGGCCAGACGGTCGGCCGAAAACCAGCACGTGTCTCTTCCATCCATACCTGCTCAGTGTTAGTGTCATAATAGAACAACACTATCATAAATTCATAAAACTACAGAACGCGCCAACACCAAAAGATCCGAGTGCGGTCAAGTTAGAGCAAAAGAAAGCACTTGATGATTGGTTTTGTTTAAACTCAAAGTCTTATCCAGCAATAAAGTTGGGCTGAGAGCTGATGTAGGCTTTTTTCAATACAAAATATTTATTGTTTCTGTTAAATTGAGATTATGGTTTGGTAGATTCTACGGTTGCAACGAACTAAACAAAACTGTATGAACAATGATTAAATTCACGATGTGCTTTGTCATTTCACCCAAAAACTGTCCCTTTTGGTTAGTGTTGTTAAAACCGTTAAGACAGATTTTTCAGTTTCTTTCAAAAACAACAAAGTCTTTATCCTAAAACTCATAATGCAAATTGGTCATAAAACAAAAAAAAAGGTCTAGAAAAGAAGCTCTCAAAAAAAGTTCAAAATATAAAATTTAATAAAGTTTGAAGGATGAGAGTCACAAGGTAACATTTGAGGATCATTTTTCCACCAGCTGATGCTAAAAAATATGTTTACATGTTTTATAAGCAAAGCAAAATGTGACCTCTTCCAAGAATCGTGGCGAATCCAATTCTCTTGTTTCCCATATCATGAATGTTGCAGAATTGACGCAGAAATGGAGCACCCAATATAAAAGCCAATCCATCTGAGTCCATACTGTAATCAGCACCAATAGCCAATGCGCATCTGGAATTGAATATGTTTATCTTGAGTTCCTTTGAGACAAAATCCGAGTTTATATCCAAATTCGCTTATCTATTGGGTTGGTGAATTGAAAACTGCGGGCTATTGTCATATGTCCCAGTTTGAGCACTTTCTTCAAAAGAAACCCATTTTGGTGTCAATGGAAAAGTTGTAGAAAATCAAAAATCAAGCTTATATCCAAATTTTCAGAACGATTCAAAGCCTGGTTTTCAAGAAATGCCAAATTTACGAATTTTCACAAAACTTGCATTTTAAGCGAAACTACTAAGTGTATCTTTTCGGAAATTTGGCTATAAGCCTAATTTTTGATTCTCTACAACTCTTCTATTGACACCAAAATGGGTTTCTTTTGAAGAAAGTGCTCAAACTGGGACATCTCCAGTCCTCCATTTTTGGGTCTCACACTTGTCTCACACACAAACCAAAATCCTACTACGAAAGAGGAACCCGAAAATTGCCTGTAAAATGGGCAGAAGTCGTCAATGATAATATAATATTTGTCTATAATCTATCTATCTTTTCTTACATTTCTTACAGTAAATAGCCTTGTTTGGGAACTTTTGGCGCATTCCCCAAACAGTCCGGACCTCGCCCCTCTTGATTACTATTTAATCCGGATCATGAGTAATGTGCTTGCGGGAGAACACTTCGATTCGGAAGAAGCAGTCAAAAATTGGCTTTGAAAGTTTTTCGATTCAAAGCAAAATCCTACTACGAAAGAGGAATCCGCAAATTGCCTGTGAAATGGGCAGAAGTCGTCAATAATAATGGAAATTATTTGGAATGAATTAATGGTTTTATGTTGGATAAATTTGAGTTCAAAGTCCCGCAGCTTTCCATTCACCAACCCAATAACTTACTTATCATCAACTTTTAGATCAAGAAGATAGTTTTCTGGGCGAATCGCGTAAACCTTTCCTCCGATGGTGATATCGAAAGTGATTTTAGTGGCACAATCAGCAACCAAAGCTCCTTTCAAATTCTAGAAATCGAATGACTGATTTAAATACATAATATGCCAGAAAATGTGCGTTTGATTACCTGAGCCGAGATCTTTTGAAGCATGCTGCTCATGAGATCGAGAGGCCCGATGATGGCTGATGTGCCCGTATCGGAAATCACTTCAAACGGTCCCTCATGTGATGAATCGCCCATTTGAACGCGATCCACCTGACGAAAGAGACTCATTCAGTATTTGATTTGAGTCTGCTTTTACCGTAAATTGCCAATATGCTGCATGAGTGAGATCTTTATATGCAACCTCTCCACAATGATCTGTATCCACTCCTCCAAAAGTGATTTGGCCACCATCGGCACCGTCTTGTTCACCGCGTTTCTCGTAGTAAACAGTGAAGATCGGCTCGTCGACCAGCTCTGGAAGCAGACATTTACTATTGGAGCACATGGATTCAGTGCTTAAACCTGAAGGCTTGGGTATTTCCTTCTCTTTCTTCCTTGTCTTTCCTATTTCTTCTTGGGGAAGAAGGCTAATCTCAGTGGTAGAGCATCTACCCGATAAGCAAAAGATCGGCGGTTCAATTCCCACTGATTCCAAATTCTTTGTCGTTTCTTTACTTTAAGTATCTTTATTACTGTAGTAAGAGTACTGTAGCCGAGTAAAAATTAATCGAACTTTCATCTTCAACAGTATCCTTTCCTAATTCCCCATTCACATTGCTTGTTTCATATTGAATTTCCCATTTACCTACTCACTTTTCTTGTACGCTTCCATAAACACTGGGGAATATTTGTAATCGGACAGTGACTGGAAACCGAAACCAAGAATCCCATCGAGTGGCTTATCGTGAAAGAAAGAGGCAATCTCCGTTGCCTCGCCGATCCTAACTTGAGGAATCGTAAGAAACGTGTTATCCTTGGGACCAAACTAGAAATTATGTAAAATTTAATAGAACTTTTATCTTACTCTAACAGTATCCTTTCCAAATTCCCCATTCGCATTGCCTGTTCCATATTGAATTTGCCATTTACCACTCATATTCGCGTACGTGCTTGACTTGGTTGGGTTGAAGCGCTTTTTCTCTTTGCATGGAGATCTGAAAAAAGCAGAAGATTAGCTAGTTCTTTGTCAGACTAGTTGAACGTTAAATCTGTCAGCAGTCTGTCTGTCAGCAGATCTGTTGTCAGCAGATCAATTTTCATCACTTTTGAACAGAATCAATGATAGTTTATTTCCAAGAAACCACTCTTTTAACCCACTTTTTACAGTTAATCGACGGCACCCAAAAATCGGTGGATCCAGTGTCAAGAATCACATTGAACTCTTGTGGTGGTGTTCCGATTGTCACAGTGGCCAGATATTCAAGATCATCATAGTCCATGAACTAAAGAAATTATGAAGAATTGCTAGTTTCTCAAGAAACACACCCTTTGTGTGATGTTTCGCTTCTGACTGCTAGCTAGGGAGATGGCTCGAAGATTCTCTTGATACTTGCTAAAAAGGCTTTAAACTTTAGCAAAATAAAGTTTGAGTACTCACTTGTACTCAAGCCAATTTGCCGTTTTAATCATCTTGTTCTTCACACTTTCTGTCCAAGTCAATTTTTGCACGAAAACACCGCAAAGTGATAGGCCAAGTTGGGCTAGGAAGATGGATAAAAGCTTCATTCTGAAAGAATCTTTAAAATGATAACTGTTTTCTGTTTTGTTTTGTTTTTTGTTTTGTAAATGTTTTCTTCTAAGGTTTGTATTATGAAAAGCTATAATGTACACTAGTAAACCTCTTTGACAAAGTGTAATTGATCAACATTGGTTAACTAGTTTCTTTAGCACTAATCTCTTTAATTAACATTTCTTTAACACCACGACGATCAGTCTTTTTTTTTTGTATTGACTTACTTGTTTCCTTTCAGTTTTTGCATACATTTTGTTGAAACATTTTTTTTCTGACGATTTCCTTAAAAATTCAGTAATAAGAACCAGCAAAAATTTAGTGTTGAATGGAAGTAAAGCTTTTCAAAGGAAATACTTTCTTGCAGCAATTGAAAATCATTCACAGGTGTTCAAAAAGGTTAAAACATTTCAAAAATCCAAGAATTTTGTTGTTAAAAAGTTAACTCTATATGAAAAATCAATAGTTAAACTTTGATTTTCAAAAATGCGGAAGATTTTTAAAGATTCAGCTTTTAATGTTTCCAGATTCTGTAGCGATAATTACAGTGCAATTTTTGCCATTCGATTTCTTTCTTTTCTTTCTTTTCACCTGTCCAAAAAAAGTCCGTAACTTTTTAAAGTTTCTTTTCAGTAATTGCAAGGTATTTCTAAAAGTAAAAGGGTAATTTTTTTAATGGCAATCTCAGCTGAATCTTGTTCAGAAGCGAAACTCGAAAAATAAAAGTGTCAAACGTTAAAAAAGAATTTTGGAATGAAAAACGAAATACTAATCATTGCCATAGGTGATAAAAATACATACAATTAAAAGCATGTAAGTAATTTATTGTTTTGCTTGCCTGATTTCATGTTACTTGTTGGTATTTGTGTTGGCAACGATGTTTCAATCGGCTCTAACTTTACAAATGATTAAATGAACAAACTATTTATTTCTAAAACAGTACTTCATTGAATTTCAGAAAGTAATGCAAATTTAACATAAATTTAAATGAAAATTAGAGCTCATTAAATAAATTTAAATGAATTTAAATGAATTAGAGCTCATTAATGTTTATATGATTCGACAACGATTGTCCGTTCTCCCTCCTCCCATTTCTCTTTCGGCTTCTTGAAGCAATAGACAGAAATTAAACTAAATTAACTCTAAAACCCAAAATAAAAAATCTCTTTTACCTCGCTAAGAGATTATAAAGAAGAAATTGATGTAAAGTTAGCAATTCAAGAATAACAAGCAACAAATTTCCGGTAAAGAAGAAATTGATGAGGATACAGGCTGAATAGAAGAAAAGAGAATTCGCGAGAACGATTGAGGAGTTAGTGATCATCTAGAAGATAGAGATTATTTCCAAAACTGTTTAGATCATCTTAAATGCCGTACCTGAACCATGAGAAGTGCCTCAGCTCGAGAAACGCTTCCACGTCTTAACTAACAAACACCAATGAATGATTCAAGAAATCTCAGCAAAATTTACCTTTCTCATTTTCATATTTGTGACAAAATCGAGCGAACACATTAGAAATAAAGGGATAAAAGCTAGATAGATATTGACAATTTCCCTTCGGATAACTTTTGGATAGAGAAGACAGCCAGAATGAAAGCCAAGTCGGAAGAGATAAGGCATGAGAAGTTGAAGGAATGGCCAACGAAGGGTGTATCGGAAATAGACTCCATCAAAAGAAAGAGCAAGGAAACGACTAAAATGACATTTGATTTGACATCTTTAGTTAAAAGCTTTGTTTTTGAGAACTGAAATTACCTCAATGATATTCCCAATTGACTGTATTGAGCAATGTCGAGTGTTAGGTAAGTCGGCAAAAATTTTTTGTAAAGCGGAAACGCGAAATCGAAATAGGCTTGTGAGCATCTGTAAAAGATGATGATTGTTGATTTGAAAGTGCTGCTTTACTTAATATTTCCCACTCGAAATGCGCAGAAGTTGTAAATGAGAAAGACGATAGCGTAGAAAAACTTGTTGAGATTCTCGCTAGCCGCCAGTAATCTAGAATTGACAAAGATTTTCATAGCTGATTTTGATCTGTGCATGGTTTGGATATGCTTTAAAGGAAACTTGTTTAATTACCCCCATTAAACTCATTTTCCTTTTTCACATCAATTTTGCTAAAATCTACCTGACTGGCAGTGTGAGGTGGGCATTTAAAAGAGCATGATAAATGCCGAAAGGAGCCACTATTGCACTCAAGGCTAATACCTAAATTTGTTGGTTAGGAGATAAAAAAATCTATTTATTCACACGAATAATATGGTACAAACAATACGCAAGCACAACCCTAACTAGGGACACTCTCGAACTCGACACTTACACTACTGGACAATGAAATATCATATTTGAAAAAAGATCGTCACTTTCGCGCGTCTGTAACTCCCTTGTTTTTACCGTATTTCTAAATATTAATATTACCATTGTGTAGCCCTTGAAAAGAGCTTTCAGAAAATGTATAACACTAATAGTTTAAACTGAAAGACAAGGGAGTTACAGACACGCGAAAGTGACGATCGTTTTTCAAATGTGATATTTCATTGTCCAGTACTATAGTTTCGCCTCGAGACCTAACTCATTTTGTTGGATTTTTTGACGCTGACTCCGAGTACCGTATTCTCTCTAATAGTAGTGCACCCTGAGCGTTGTCTAAATTGCTCGAAATCTCGAAAACCGCTTATCAGAACCCATCGATTTGGGATCGGGAAATGTAGCTGATGATGAGATCTAGTGGGGGATTAAAGTGTTGAGCTTCTGCGAAAACTTCGAAACCGTAAAATAGTCATTAACTCGGCTCGGTGGGGTGCACTACTATTAGAGAGAATACGGTAAGTAGTTTTTGTGTAAATGGGGATGAAAATCGACCAAAAATGGCCTCAAAGTCAATTAGTTTTGACCTTTTGATGGACCGAATTTCCGCTCCTTGATATGCTTCCTCTCCTCCCATTTCGATGTGAGCTCGACGCGTTGTGGATAGTGTGCTAGTGCGCAAACTTTTTCAGTCTGGTTCGGATGTGGTCAAATATTTTGCTTTTTTGATGTTTCTTATTCATATTTTTTTAAAGGAACGAAAAGACTTTCTGGACAGCCTAATAGCTTGCTCTTTTAAGAGTAATAAGGGCGAACTTTCAACAAAATTACATCAACAAACTTTCACAGGAAACTCATTTCCTCATTGGGGAAATATGAATTCCAAAAATGTGAACAAAAAACCCACCAATAGCTGTGCAGATCGAAGTATGTCGCGTACCTTGACCGACAAATCCGATGGGATATCAATTGGATTCTCGAGAAGGACAAAATCTTGTTCAAATGCCCAAATGAGAGAGAAATTGGCTCCTTAAATAATGGTGAGTTTTATTTATCAAAAAATACCCAACCACATAAAAGAGTCGTTAATAAAGCTACAATTAAGATGTCATGAAATCTAATAAGAATTGACGTGACCAGTCCAAAGCTAGGCATTGAGCAAAATGATGGTGATAAAAAGTCGAAGAACTTGTGGCCAAGATTTTTCGCCTTTTAAATGAGAGCGCGAATCCAATTTAGCGATGACAAACCGTTCTTTGGATGGCTCTCTCTTTGGAGATAATTGAAGTACAAAGCCTTTTTTGAGTTGTGTTAATAGTAAAAAAAATTGAGTTTCTGTCGATGGCAATCGGGAAGTTTTCCCGAGCTGAAATCGGAGCTGAAAATGTTTGTTTGTCAAAGAGATTCAACTTTAAACCTTTCTAAATTTGCGATAAGTGACACAATTGAAAGAATACATGAGTAAACCGACAAGTTTGGTAAATAAAAAAACTGTAGATGTCTGTGAGCTGATAGCCGAAAAAGGGGTCCAGCAAATTCGCCGCATAAGGGTAAATGTGAGAAAAATCGGAAGAACGGCTTGTATGAAAGGTCATTTTTTGGTGTGTCTGAAGTAGATTCCGTTGAAGGAGAGTGCCATGAGACGGCTAGAATTTTTCTCCTTACTGTGGTCATGATCTCTCGTGACGTCTGTAATAGAAGAACTCCAAATGTCACGAAGGAAAACATTTTTTCAAACTCTCCTGAGTTTTTTCCAACAAGACGTTTGGGGTCAAAAATAAAAAAACGGTACCTTATCGAGATAAAACGTTGACAAAGTTGGGCTGAATCATTCAGCAACCACCAATTGATATTGTAGAAAAGCCAGTCGATCGTTTTATCAAAACTTTTCGAACATCTTGAAACTAAATAAAAAGAAAACAAAAAACGTCAGCACTCACTTGAAAAGGTCAACCGTACAAAGAAAATGAAAGTATGTGGAAGAAAATGAGAGAGCGAAGATGAATCTGCACAAACTTTCCCCAAAAGCTAATAACCTGAAATGAATTTTGGATATAGATTTTTTTTTGTTTTCAAACTTTGACACAGTTGAAGAAACAAGAACTGTTTCGTTGGACTGGTAAACACAGCAAGTGACATCAGTAAATATGATGTTCTTCTTTTTGTTTAACATCTAAACAGGATATGCTTCATTAAGAAGCTCAAAAAAGGTGTTTTAGACAATTTCAGAACCGACTCTTACAAACTGTAAGAGTTCTTCAAAGAAACGAAACCTGATCGGCAAGATCAAACGATCATTTTTGATTGCAAAGAACATGACCAAAAGGGTGGTTGGAAGAGTGAGAAAATAGCACTGAACAGAAGTCTCCATAATGCTTTTTTGACTCTTCTCGGCAAAGCGAGTCCTTTGAAAAATCCAAATCTTTTAAATGTCTTCCCAAACTTTGAAGGTTCATAACTTATTCCTCTGAAATGTCTGAAATCAAAAAAAAACTCCGAAATGTCCCCTTAATAAACATTAATAAAAATTGTTGTCTCCTAAACTTCAAAGCAAATATTCAAAAGATCCGGATTCCCAAGAAGAGTCGTTAGACATGAGCGTCGGATTGGAGCATATCGAATCATAAAAACTTTTTCTCCAATAAACATTAGGAAGTTCTAGTATCAAAATGCAGAAAAAAATTGTGCATATGATGGCCTAAACTCCAAAAAAGTTTGTGAAAAGTAAAACTTTTTCCTAGAAAAACTGCTAAGCCCCGCTCACTTTTTGGATCGAGTCGAATTGGCATTTCCCACACATAAAACCTTTTTTCATGAACAATTTGAAAAAGTAGCCAATGAAATCCAGGCTTATTTTTAATTTCCCATCTTTTTGCATTTTTTTTGTAATTAAAACTTTTTTGACCAGAATCCGAAGTGAATCCGATGCATCGGATCGTCATCGGATTCTGATATAAGAAATTAGAATCGAAACATAGTATATTAGGCAAATAAGATGGGAAATTAAAAATAAGCATGGGTTTCATTGAAAAATTTTTCAAATTGTTCATGAAAAAAGCTTTTATGTGTGGGAAATGCCAATTCGATTCGATCCAAAAAGTGAGCGGGGCTTAGCAGTTTTTCTAGGAAAAAGTTTTACTTTTCACAAACTTTTTTGGAGTTTAGGCCATCATATGCACAATTTTTTTTCTGCATTTTGATACTAGAACTTCCTAATGTTTATTGAAGAAAAAGTTTTTATGATCGGATACGCTCCAATCTGAGGCCCATTTCTACTTCGCTTTGTGTCTCAAAAAGCTCATCCATCCTGGCGATGTGTTCAGCAAAAAGTAGGAAAGATTGCCATAGAAATCATCGCTGACATCGAGCGGATCGTCGAATACCACCCGTTGTCTTTGATGATTTGAAGCAATTGATAAACTACTGAATAACATGAAATTGAAATAATTTGGCAGTGGTTGTTTCAAAGGAAATGTTTTAGAGAAAAGGTAAATTTATTTTGGTTTTAAAACCGCTACTGCTACTGTCAAAAAATTAGTTTTCCCATTTGTTTCATCAAATTATATTCAACTACTTTCATCAAATTATATTCAACTACTAAAGAAATTCTGAAACTTCTACTTACAAATCCAAAAGAGTTATTGCCAAAAAAGCAACTTTGAAATAACTCAGCGATCTTCTTCAAATCGTTCCAGATTTTTGATGATTCGATTTTAGTCCAATTTTTCATGTAAAAACTATTATAGAAACCTTTACTACAATGAAAAGTTATTAAAGTTTGTGGGTGTCTTTGGGCAGCAATTATCTTTGCTTCCATTTTTGTTCATAAATTTTCCCAAACAATCCAAAGTTACAATTTTATTGTCGCCCTTTTACCATGTAATTGCCTATTTTTGAAATACACTGTGGACAAGAAAAGTTGGCTCTAGTGTGCATCAAAGTACAGTACTGGTTTGGGCAATAAGGAATGAGTCACGTGAAAGAAAGGAAATTTTGCCGTAAAGTTTTAGTTGGCCCTCAATGTTTACCATTAAAAGCGACAATAAACTTCCCTTATTTCAAAACACTTTCATTGATTGGGCAGTTATTGGATACTGGAAGTGCTGGCAGTTATAGGATAGCAAGCAAACACTTAACTCTAACAGTAACAATTGCAGAATCTGGCTAAAGATCTTGAGAGCAAAAGATCGAATCCGAAAAATCATACTGCAGACACTTCTTTATTAACTACTTCTTTTTTCGATTAGTGTAAATTTGCCAAATGGCCAAATGCATGCTATGCTATTTGGGTTTGCTAAAAACCCATCGACATCTACAAGCTCATCTACAAGCTTAGCTCTAGACCACAAAACAAAAGTATATGGTTATGACTCCCTCCAAAACTAGTTTCACAAGTTTAAAAATGGGGACAAAACTTTGATTGAAAGCGACCGCTCCGGGAGACCGGTTGCGGTTTCTATTGGGAGTTATTGGATACTGGAAGTGCTGGCAGTTATAGGATAGCAAGCAAACAATTAACTCTAATATCACGTACGACTATTCGAGAGCTTGCGGAGGAGCTTGGTGTGGGCAAGACGACCATTTCCGGCCACCTGAAACGGATTGGAAAGTCAAAAAAGCTCGGTGGGTGTCGCACGAATTGAATGAAAATCAAAAAAATCGTCGTTTTGAGGTGTCGTCTGCTCTTCTTCAGCGCAACAAAAACGATCCATTTCTCGACCGGATCGTAACGTGCGACGAAAAGTGGATCCTCTACGACAACCGGCGACTTTCCGCTCAGTGGTTGGACGCCGGAGAGGCTCCACAACACTTTCCAAAGCCAAATTTGCACCAAAAGAAGGTTATGGTGACTGTTTGGTGGTCCGCAGCCGGTCTAATCCATCACAGCTTTCTGAATCCGGGCGAAACGATTATGGCGAAGAAGTACTGCCAACAAATCGACGAAATGCACCAGAAATTGCGGTGAATGTGCCCGGCATTGGTCAACAGAAAAGATCCAATTCTTCTCCACGACAACGCTCGTCCGCACGTCGCACAACCGACCCTGCAAAAGCTGAACGAACTGAGCAACGAAACTTTGCCTCACCTGCCATATTCGCCGGATCTTTTGCTTACCGACTACCACTTTTTCAAGCACCTCACAACTTTCTCCGGGAGAAATGCTTCAACACTCAAGACGATGCCAAAAACGCCTTCGCCGACTTTATCGCCTCCAGAAGCCCGGACTTCTATGCTACCGGCATAAATAAACTTGTTTCTCGTTGGCAAAAATGTGGTAATTGTAATGGTTCTTATTTCGATTAAAAAAGTTTTGTTTGGATCAAGTTATGGGATTTGAAATATTAGAGTTGAAAACGCTCATTTATTTCCGGACAACCTAATACTTCGAGACCTAATTCAATCGAATGTACAAAACTTGTCAATAGCAGCTTCCAGTCACTACTCTTGTTTCTATCAATATGCTTGGATTGGCCTTTATGGGAGTGGATCAGTTGGAAATGGGAATTGGACAGATGGGTCACCCGTTGATTGGACACCATATCCGATGGCTATGTACAGATATCCATCTTCTTATGCGGTTAGCTGTTGGTATATTTATCTTATCAAAAATACCGTAAGACCTACATCTAATCCTGTAAAATAGACCTCATAGTTTTGCTCCATTTTCATCAACTTTTCATTTTGAGTTGATGTCATCAGCTCAAAGTTATTGCTAGATTCAAGATCACGTTATTTCCCCATAAACTCAACATTGCGGCATAGATTGAAAACGATCCATCTTGCCAGCTTCATTTGTGAAATAGCTGCTACACCACAGAAGATATTGTGTGGAAGACTTTGTCTCGATACGTCTACAAAATGCCGTCAGCTCATAGACAGATCATCGAGTTAACGTGAAATGAGCCAAGTATCACTTTTTATTCTCTGAATAAAGTGTTTTTTTATTTCTGAACTTCCTAAACTGATCACAAGTTTCTACGATTACACGGTTCTGGTTTAGATTGAGTAAGAGTTTTTTCAGGAAAGTTGGTTCGAAACCAAAATTCTTTCGAAATTCGTATAAACCAAAGTTCGAAAATTTTGTTATCACAATTGTTCTGAAAACAAAAAGACAAAGTTTTTAAAGCTTTGAAGAAGCTCAATCACTCACGGTTCATAACTTTTCAAGGGAATCACTTTCCCGAAACCGCCATAGCCAATTGTGAGCATTTGTATAAAAATTTAGCAAACCAAATAAAAATTCTTTGTGTCACTTCCAAGATATTTTCAAGTTTTCCCTTTCAGTCACTTGTCGAGAGGTTTTTTAGAAAAGATACTGCTTTTTTGGGCGTGAAACATTTCTGTCAACAAGTTTCATCTTTGAATTTTTTTTCTGATAAAGCTTGTTAATTAAAAAACAAAACAAGAAATCATTAGACAAAAGAAAAGGTTTCTTTTCAAAAAAAAATTTTTGCTTCAACAAAACTTTCACAGAAATCAAGAAATTTGTTTCTTGCAAAAGATTTTAAGGTGCGTTTTTAGAGTTGACACATTTAAATGAAGAGCTTTTGTTAAATTAGACTTTTCATTGAGAAGCTAGAAAGTAAAACTAGACTTTATAAAGTAAATAAGTAGGATTTATACAATCAAAAACTTCAATCTCCAACATCTCCATCTCCAACAAAATCAAGCTTCAGCATCTCCAACCAACTGGAAGCCAATGCTTCAATGTATCACAAATTCGAGTGTTTCAGCTCTGTTTCAACGATTTTTGATCTCCAGAAATCAAAAATTTAAAATCAAATAAATGTTTTCAGGGAAAAAAGCTCAACTGTAATAATGAATTGTTCACGATAATAGCGATTTGTTCTTGTTGCGACATTCTTGTTTTGTCCACTAGTCACTGGGCCAAACTTTGCAAAGATGGAAAACTCTCAATTATCTTTGTGGTAAAGCCTTTCAGCAAGACAGTTTTTTGAAATTACTTCTTCCTCGTTTGAAAAACACACATTTCAAATTCTCGAGCCTTTTTCTCTACAAGTTTTGCTTTCTTATGTATGAGGCTCCGTATGTGTACATTTGGTATGATCGTGTATTGGCCCCAATCTCGATTCTATTGAACTGTTTTACCATCTATTGTATACTCCGAAAAACAACCATTGAAATGCGAGAATACCAGATACATTTATTAGCCTGTCAAGTGAGTTATTGATTTGCTTACTTTTAGAGTCATGAAAAGAATGAGTTTCTCTTGATGAAATTGATCAAATCCAGTACTGGACTAAAGATTATCACCTCACGAATTTTTCTCCATCTTTGCAGAGCTATAACTCCGAGCCTTTCCATTGTAGAATAGAAGTGTTAGAGTGATTGTGAAAGCTTAAAAGGAGCTCTATAAGAGAGTGTATATGCTTTTTAAAATTATTTTAATTTTGACACATTTCGGGATGCGCAAAATAGGGTTCAAAAAACAACATTTTCAGCGCTGTTTTTCTTGTTGTTTTTAGGAAAAGTTGACTTAAAATAGAGTTTAAATAAATTTGCTAATTTAACGAACGATAAACCGGACTATTGTGCCAGCGAAAATATTCTTCAGTTTGCCTTCTTCTCGCTCGAACTCGTCCTGCTGGCCATCCAACCCGAACTCTATTTTCCGGCCCTAGGCGGCCGAATCTACGGCATTTGGGGCACCGTGTTTGGCTTCGATGCAAAGCAAGCATTCGTAAGTTAGAGAGCTTTTTCACATCTATCCATGAAATCCAGGCAACCGGCGCTTTCTTCGTCAATTTGTCCGTGTTGACACTCACCGATGTATTTTTCTATAAATGGCAAAATTTGCTACTCGAAGGACACCCCTTTAAGTTTAACTTTGAAAAAACATTCATTCACCGCTTTAAAACGTTTAGATTCGGCTTTATCGGTCAATTTTTCTTTTTCTGGTTTCACCATCTAAGTTTCATCATCTATTTTCAAATTGTCATCCGCATTATCCCGTTGGAGAAAGGCAGTCACGAGTCCGGATTTTTATGGGAAATAGTCAAGGTAAGCTTTTTGTTGAAGAAAAAAAGAAAACTTGTTATTTTTAGGTCTCAGAAAATACGCTTTTTGCCTTAAAAACTTACACTTACACTTAAAAAGCTTCCAACTTTTGACGGAGTGTTTAATAGCAGCAAAAGGCGTAGAATTGTGCATCGATTGACCAACTCTTTTTAGCTCTTTTTAGTAGCATAATAATTGGTAACAATTGGTGACTCATTGAACCAATTTGACACAAAAATGTATACGGGGTTTTTATTAGATTTATTTTTCATTAAAAAACTCTAAAACATTGTATTAGGAACCCCGGTAGCCCTGGGTGCAAATTACTGACTCTGGGCCTCATTGTTTCCATTCAAATCGTCTTCCCGAAAGAGATCTCTCTCAAGCTCCTCGCGATCGCAGAACTCCTCAAATCCGTCGCCAAAATTGTCCATTCTACCTAAACAAACAGTTAGAAACGTATTGAGAAACGCTAAAGCATTGAAAAGTTCAATTTTTTACAATTTCTTAACAAAAAGTGTAAAAAAAAATCAAGAAACAAAAGAAAATCTTAAAATGAAATTAGCAAGTGTACGGGAGATAAATTAATGCAAAAAGTAAAATTATGCAAATTTGGGGGGCTTCAATTATAGTATTTACGGTATATAGATTTTTCCCCCTAGGCACTTGAAAAAATCCAGTCACTAAAAAGGTAAATTGACTATCAAGGAATGGTTTCCCCGTATCTCATCCCAATTCAGCAACTACCCTCGTTTACCGATTTTCTCTCCGGCGACGACTCGATCTATGTGGCCGAGCTTCGACCAATCTATCCACCGTATTTGAATATTAGCGCTGTCGTACTTTTGGTTTTAGGCATCTTGATCTACGCCTTGATCACGGTGGTTCAGGTTTGCAAGTAATGATTGAGCTCTTGAAACTGAATTCAGGGCTGCTCGTTTGTGTGCATCTGTAATTATCATCTCACCCATAGCTGTCTGCACATGAGCGAACGGACGCGGCGACTCCAGAAGAGCTTCTTCGCTGCACTGTGCATTCAGGTTGGTGAGCACATGGGGATTGACTTGTTTGCAACTATTTGTCTTTTTTTCTGAATAGTATACAGAATGATGGGCGATAAATTGAAGCGCTGCTCAATCTCTATAATACTGTAAGTCTAATCACCAAAATACTTTCGTTTTTAGAATTAAATTGAACAAAAGTAGGCAAAATTCTCCGAACTACCTAAAAAACAACCGTCCGTATAACAGTTGGGTTTTATAAAACAGTTGTAACAGTTTTATAAAGCGTATAACATTCGGCTTTTTTATGGATGTTTTTTGAGCCCGAAACATTCCGAAACACTTACCGCTACTTGTGAATATTTTGCCGGCCACTTTGCACAAAGCCTTCAATTAATATCTAAAAGTTGCAGCAAGAAAAATCATAAGTACTTATTAATTATTAGATTGCGGAAAAAATAATGCGCGTTTTGAATTTCGCGGAGTAACAAGGGAGTGTGCTTATGCGATGTTTTGGCCAAATAAACAATAATCATTTACGAAGATTTAGAACTCTTTTCTTTGAATATTTATCTATCAAAAGCAAAATGAAAAATTTTTTGATTTGAGCTGCTCTGCTATACGATTTTAAACAATAGAAAACCGCTGCTGAATCTCATCGTACAATTGCTTTTGTTTTTGGAGAAGACATTATTAGCGAAAGTCAATGTCGTAGATGGTTTCTACGTTTTTGTGATGGCAATGAAAGACTAATTGATGAGCCTCATTCGAGACGAGCCCAAGTGATTGCAAACCAAGATTTGCTCAATGAAATTGACTTCAACCCAACACTCACGACTCGCGAGCTTGCAGAAATGTTTGATATTGATCAGAAGACAATCGACAACCATTTGCATTGAATTGGGAAAAAATTTGCTGTGTCTCACACGAACTGATTCAAGACAGCAAAGCAACTCGTGTCAACATCAGTTCTTTTTACTCCATAAATGCAAAACTGGTGGTTTTTGGGATTCGATTTTGGCGTCTGATGAAACTTGGATTAATTACGAGAATGTCAAAAGGAAAAACCAATGGCTCTACCGGACAAACCCCTCAAACAACTCCCAAACCTGATATTCATGGAAAGAAAATAATGTACTGTGGCTGGCGGAACTCCAACAATTTGGTGAACTATGAGTTAGTTAATCAAAATGAAAAGATTAATGCTGACCTTTATTCAAAGCAATAGACCAGAGTTAACAAAGCTTTAGAAATTGGGACTCAATTCATCAAAGATTCAATTTATGCACGACAACGCAAAACCCTACCCTGCAAAAGTCACTCACAAAAAAATTGACGAACTGGGCTGGAAGTTGCTTCCTCATGCGCCTTACTCTCCTGATTTACCTCCATCAGATTACTTTTTCTTTCGATCCCTGAAACAGTTTATCATGGAAGAAAAGTTCGATGATCATGCTCAAGTCAAAAAAGGCGGTCGGCAACTATTTTGGCTCCAAAAATCCCCAATTTTTCACAAATGGAATCAAGGACTTGCATCGAAGATGGGAAGAAATCATCGATAAAAATGGAGAATACATTACTGATTGATAGTTGCTATTTCTTGTAGAATGCAATAAATTGTTATATCCAAAAAACGCGCATTATTTCTTCTCAACCTAATATTTTATCTTCCCAAATTCAGGAGGCAATTCCGGTGGTTTCAATGGCGATCCCTTGGACATACTATTCAATTCTGATGTTTCTCCAGAAAGACTACATCAATCCAGGTTTGTCTAGCCACACTTCTAACTCTCATAAAAGTCTACCCTTTAGCTGTCAACAACTTTTTCTTCTCCATTCTGACCACCCATGGAAGTGTCTCGTGTGTATCGCTGATATTTCTCACCGATCCCTACAAGAAATTCGTGTTCGGCTTGTTGAAAAGACTCCCCTTTCTCAGATCAATCTCTTATATTCAACGATATGGAAATGTGAGAAGAATTGCCGTCTCGAACACGAACACTTCGATGTTTACGGAATAAAATCGTGTTTTCTTTTACATTGTGAGGTGGTTTTCAAAGGTTGAAAAACATGCAGCTACAGCGAGTCACTCAATGTTTTTGCTAATATTGAGGTGATTTCGATCTTTTGATAAGATTTTATTGACAACGAAATAAGCACGAAAAATTCACAAAGCAGCACATACAGACAAAATTGAATTGAATCCCTTAAATCTAAACTGTTGTCATTCTTGTGGATTTGGTTGATGCGGAGAGGGTGGTTGTTGAAGAGGTTGGCTTAGCTGTGGTCACTCTTCTGGAACTGTATCTGGTTGTTGTTGGTCGTTGAGTGGTTGTCGGTTTTCGGGTTGTAGTGGCGACTTTCATGGTTGTTCGGCCAATTGTTGGCCTGGTTGTGGCTCCTTTAGGTGTTGATTGGGTCATGCTGGTTCCTCTTGTTGAAGAGTTCATTGGTTTGCCAGTTGTCATTTGTGTTGGCTTCGTTGTGGCTCCTTTAGTGGTCGATTGAGTCACAGTTGTCCTGTTATTCATTGGCTTTCCGGTTGATTGAGTCATTTGTGTTGACTTTGTTGTGAATTGGCTAGACTTGGTTGGTTTGATTGTTGTTTTGTCTGTAGTTAATCTGGCTGTGGACAATTTGGTTTTTGGTCGGATAGTAGTGGCCGGTTTGACTGTTGTTGATCGAGTTGATGAAGCGGCTTTTGTAGCAGTAATTGTAGACAGTTTTGCTGTTGATCCGCTCTTTGTTGATTTAGCTGTTTGGTTAGTTGTAACTGGTTTGGCTGTCGTTGAACGAGTGGCTGCAGATGGAGAAGTTTTGGTCGAAGCCGTTGCTGTGGATGGGGTGGACTTAGTTGTTGTAGACTTTGTTGTTGTAGACTTTGTTGTTGTAGATGTTGTAGGTGTTTTAGATGTTGTGAACGACTTAGTTGTTGATCGTCTTGTGACCAAACGAACAGTGGAAGGAGTTCTTGGGAATGATCTGGTTCGTCCGGTTGTTGTAGATGAACTTGTCGAAACTGTTGTCGATGCAGTTGAGGCTGTAGTTGAAGCTGTTGTTGTCGAATTGGCCGATCCAGTAGCATTCGACGGGCTCATTGTGGTTGTTGTAGTGGCAGTTGATCCATTGATGGTTGTGGTTGTTGTTGAGCTCTTATGTCTCTTATCACCTTCACCGCTTCCCGAATGAGAGTGATGATTGTGATGGAAGAAGAGCTCTTCGCTGCTCGATGACGATGAGGAAGACGACTTGTTGGGCTCAAAATTTCACTTTATTATCTATTAATAGCAATCCATTAGTAATTGTTTTGGAAATTCAATTTACAAAACAGTTAATGCATCATCATTTGTCCATACTAATTTGAAAAACGAAGCAAAAGCTGATTTTTCAATTGAAAATTTTGTGTTATGATAAATCCAATAGTTTCAAGTCAATCATTTTTCAAAGCACATTAAAACTTTGAGCTCATAATGTATCAAAACCAACAATCAACCCGTTTTATTGTCATGTACTAGTTAAGTAAATCATTCAAAGCAATCTGTCAAAAATATTTCACTCAACTAATTTACATTAGAGAAAGCTCTAAAATAAACCTTTTTCGCGTCAACGATGTAAGCCGATAGAACCAAAGTGACAAGCAACAGCTTGAACATGTTTAGAATTCGGAATTCGGGAGGATTGTTGGGTAGGAGAGGAAGGGGATAACGATTTGACTACTCGCCTTCAACAATCTCATTATATACAAAGACCATTCCCCCTTTCAAAAACACAGCTCCACAAACAGAAACACCAAAACAAGATCTCAATCAGCTTGGACAAATTTGAATTTATCATTTGTTTTCAAAGTTTTTCCATTTAAATCAACAACAAGAGAACACCAAAATAAACTCAAAGCTTATTTTCTTGTAAAAAAAAAGCAGCGGATATTTGCCCAAAATTTTCGAAATGACATAAATAAACACTTGATGACGATAAAAAATTTATTTGCTTTGGACGAAAATGGATCTCACTAGTCAGAGATTAACAAAAGCAACATTGTTTTTGAAGAAAAGTTTTTTTTTACGAACGTTTTTGGTTATTTTTGAAGTGAAATTAACTACTGGAAACAGCAAATATGATTAAATTCATTTCTTGAAAGTTTTGATATGACAAAAAACTAACTGTGTGACTTTTTCGAAGTCTTAGACTGCGAATTGATCAAAGAATTTTCAAGGTATTGGCTTTTATCATCTCTATTCTCAAATTCTCTTCCAAAAATGATGTTAAAAACTATAGCCCCATCTCCGTAACCTGTCCCCTTTTAAAACTTTTTGAGATAATCATCAGTGATAAAATTCTTGGTCACCTTAATGAGCAAAGACTCCTCTCACCCAAACAATTTCAGAAGCTCCAGAAATCCAAAGTTCGCATGTTGCTTGTTCCTGGGAAAGACTTAGCGTTTATGCTCTAAAAATTGCTACAAATTACCATGTACAAAAAGTGCCGGGGACTCGGAAATCAATGCCATTCAATGTCAAGACCAGACCCGAGCATTTACACTCAACACAAGCTCTTTCGATCTAGGATTTTGTATTGTTTAGCTCAAAAAGGATTAGTTAAATGAAACCTGCATGACGAGTCTTGCCGGCAAAAACACCTCTGTGGTGCCGGTGTCAAGGAAATCGTTCAAAGTTTTGGCAATTCGACATTTGTGTTCGTCCATCTTTGTAAAAGTCATTAAAACAAAGCGAACCGCTCCAGAAAAAAATCAAAAGCACTTAACTCCTTTTATAGCAGTTGATCTTGATGAATTTGCGATGAAATGGCAAAGAAAAACGATGAAAAATTAATAAAAACAACGGAAAATGACTTTAAGCAATGGAAATTGGTAATTGGAATACGGTAGCTAGTGCATTTTAGAATGCGTCCCTAAAATTTTCCTCTGTAAACGCTCTTGCGTCAAAAGTTAAGATATTTTTGATAAGAAAACTGAACGGTTTTGAGAAACTCTATAAAAAGAGACAGTTTCATTTGATTTCATAGCAGTTTTCATGGCTTTTTTTGAACTTTCACGTTAAAACAAGAAGTAAATTTCAGGTGAAACGAATTTGTTTAAAATCCTGCTTCTTCTTTGTCTCTTACTGGTCTCAATGCTTGCAATGTGAGTTTGCAATCAAATAGTTGATTTGAATCAACCTGTTTAGTATCCTAGCCAATTTTAAACTATAAATTAAACTATCCTTATTATGGCATTACAAATAATTAAAGTGTTATTATAATATAACTTATGAACTAATAACGGCATCAGAAAAGAGATGCCGATTTGGAAAAGAGAGAAATCAATGTGGATCGTGTGAGGTAGGATTTAAAAAATTTCATAAGAGTTACAAATTGATGATCTTCATTGCAAGAATTTTGCAAAAACAACAACAAAGTACTTATTTTACTATTATTACAAGTGTTTTATAAGTTACGCCTAACAAAAGCCCGTTTATCCAAAGAGGAATGCACATTGTTATTTCAGAGTTCGACGTGGACGACCACCACGGACCGGACCAGGGCCTAGACCTGAGAAACCTTAACTTATTCGTTGAAATTGAAGTTTAAACGTCGATTCTGTGCATAAAGATAAAGTTTATTGTTTGCTGTGCATTTATTTCTTGCAAACAACATAAGGTACAACATCGGTTTCCCAGATCCATGTACCAGGAGTTCCACATTCGTTGCACCCGGTGAAGGCCGAGATCTGAAATCCTTTTTGCAATTCTATTCTATTTTGTTGACTCAGATTCAGCTTGAATACTAACAAAAAATGATTCATTTCTTTAATAAAATGAACTCACGTGCAACACCTCGCTCGCATCCTGCGCATCGAAGCAAGTGTTTGCCTGGAAATCGAAAGGCGTTCCGTCAGTCCAGGCGGGTTGCATGTTCACCTGAAAAGAGGATTGGATTGAGCATGGAATAAGATAGATTTTTTTCAGCATAAGAAAAGGAACGGTGATGATAAGCAGATAGCTTCTACGTTTTCTAAAACCTGTCAAAGCAACCGTAATCTTGACTCTAATTTTATCTAAATCCAGGTTCTTCTGTAAGAAAAGAAAAAAATTGAATAGATTTGATAAAAACTTGAGACAAGGTAAGTTACGGTAGTTTTAGAAATCTCAAATTTGATATCATTTGATGAAATTTGGCTTTAACATTAAATTTTTTTAGCTAAAGTTTGAAAAAGACAAAAATTATCCAACGCTTCACTCACTTGAATTCCTCCAACAAGATACGCAGCCAAAGCTTGCAATTCCTCGCTGTAAAATCCGCAGTACGATGGGCAGCATAAATCTTTAAAGAAAACGATTATAATAGAAAAAAAATCAGGAAAAACTTGTGATGAAATCGCTCTCGGCTTGGCTGTGAACTGATGCAAGATGTCCTCCTTGGCTCATACAAAACGCTTCAGGTGTTGTGTTTAAATCGAGTTGATTGACGACCTAAAAGTTGCATAAAATTAATATACAGTCAAAAACTGATTTAATGATTCTCAAGGAACCGGGATTCTCTATCGTTAAATCGAGAGAATCGCTAAATCGAGTAGATTGTTAAATCGAACGTCTTCATAAGGTAAATAGCTTTTAAGGGACCAAAAATTCACATCGTTAAATCGAGAGAATCGTTGAATCGAGAATCGTTAAACCGAGATTTGACTGTAGTTTCAACGAACCATGTATTGCTTCATAGTTGGCGCGAAATATTGCCAGCCTTGTTTGCAATTGTACAAGTCTTGTTGATCGGCTGAAATTTTTCGAGTTATTTCAGTTTACGGTAGTTTTTCTGAAGATCACCTTTTAAAAACAGCTCATTTCAGGTTTAATTTCAGATCACCAGATTACGGCAGCTTTTTTCAAAGTCCAGGCTCTTTACTCAGTTCGGCTCATCTCATGTTTACTGTTAGCTGCCGAATTACGATAGCTTTTCTACTTTTTAGGAGACTTTACGATAAAGATCGCTAACTCACGTGGAAGACAGGTAACTGGTGGGCTTGGGGTTGTTGTGGTGGTGATGTTCGATGCTAGAGTTGTTCCATTGGAGATCGTTGGTGGAGCGGAGCACATGAATGGGAGATCAATGCTGCAATCGGCTGTCTTCCACAAATAATCCTGAGAATCCAAATAGGCGCAGTCTCTTGTTTGATCTGAATTTGGAAATAGCAAAATTTTTGATTGAAACCGACTTCCTTGGAAGTTTTGGTAATCGAATGGAGTTCCATCTGTCCACACCCAGCTTCCGTTGCGTTTCGTAAGTCCCAACCAGCCTCGATTGTCCTTGGTTCGGTCTAGATATAAGGCTAAAAAATACCAAACAAACAACTTACTATTTTCGATCATAGCGGTAACCATGTTTTGTCGAGAATTGTGAATCGAAACGAGATTTCCTCCATAATATTGGCAATAGAAGTTAGCCGACGACCAAGAAGCTAAAGAAATCGTTGAAATTCAATTCTCAGCTTATTCTAACAATCTAATTATCACTTTATTCAGAATTTTTATTAATTTATCAGTTTAATCAAGTCTTTCTTGACTTTTCAATCACTAAAAATCGCTTACAAAAGAAGTTCCAGCTGCTCAAGCAAGTGTTGAGATCCGAATTGTAACTGAACTCATTTGGGCAAGTGAATTGAGTGGAAACTAGTCCAACAAAAAGGGCAAAAAGTAGGAACTTCATTTTCTTGGTGGAAAACCGTTTGGGATTAGTTTTTGAAGCCTTTTCTAGGCATGGTTCTTATCAGAGATTTGGAGCGGAAAATTCAGGAGTAAATCATCTTTTTTTTTACAATGATGGAATCATTTACAGATAAACGCTTTGAATTGTGTGTTCTTTGATCGAATTTCCGGTGATTTTTTATCAAGAAAAGAGCTTTTCAGAAAAAAAAAATTGATCTAATAAATAATGGTCGATAAAAAGTGTGCATAAAGTGTAAAAAGGGTTTTTTTTGCAATAAATCAATTGACTATTGCTGTGTTTCACTCCAAAAGGACAAGCAAATGAAATAAAATTTTATCTTGATCATTAAAATCAAATAAAATGTTTAACATTTTTGTCAGCTATCTCAGCTATTGCTCGAGTTGCGTCACTTGAGCCAACTTGAGTTCGGTGAGCTGAAATTTGTCAATTTTTAGAGATTTCAACCGTCGACTTGTTGAAAAGGATCTTGATTTTTAAGGTTTTGAAAAGAATTTTGTTCTTAAACAGTTTCACACTCAACTTTTTACAATTCCCTTCTACAGAACTGCAATTCTCAGCTTGAATCTGAAATTTTTCGTCTTTTAGAAGTTTGATAAAGCCATTCCCCGAGCATCGGACCCCAGCGACCAAATAAATACTTTCTCTTCTGAAAAAGGTAATCTTGATAAAATGTGACTACAAAATAGCAAAACTTTGGTCTTTTTATCCCTAGTTTTAAAAGCTGAATTGATGCTTTAAAGGCCAATCAGCTTGGTTTTTACTATTATACTTGCTGTCTATCTGAAGACGGTAAACTTTTTCATCATTTTATGTTATCTGTTATTCAAATTGTCTATAAATCATTCATATTTCATTTTTCCCCACTAACTTTATCACTTTTCTTCCTTTTTCTTCACTCTTTTTCTCGCTTTTTCATCGAATGGAGTCTCCTCTTTGAAATCGAAGAAATACTCGGCCGCTTTTGCAATACCTGAAGAATTTTCGATTTCGAATTTTATTAACAAATCGATAAAGCTTTCAGGTCTTTAGAAAACTCACATTGTTTCACATTGTCAATCCTTGATGGAACTTTCAGATTGGGTTGCTTCACCCAATCTATTAAGGGATCGATAATTCCATCGATAGTTGTAAGCTAGAAATCTTTGTACCTTGTTTAATTTAAACTTTCAAGAGTTCAATTTTATTCACTAAAATACTATAAAAAAAATTCTAACTGAGCAATAAAAGTGACTTCATTGCTCCGTATGCAATCCAATGTGTACGGTGACGATTTTTCTGCTTCCCATACGAGCTTCCGGACAAGTGAGACTTTGTTTAAACTCTTTAAAAATTAAAAATCAATACAAAATACTTAGAATTGATAGTGAGTTTGGCTTACCTAGCAGCTAACAAAACTTTAGCATTTCAGTTTTGCTCTCCTGGCCTGGCATCAACGAGAGCGCTTCACGCATTATTGGAGTAGTTCGTGAAAAGTTCAATTTCGTTTTCGTTTCGTTTCGTAACCCTTACTCGAATTGAAGTACGTCAAATGTACTTGCACTTTTGAATCAACATGAATCTTATTAGTACACCAGTTACGCTAAGCGGCCGCTTTCCGCAAATTTCTCTTAGAAATTAACATTTGAAAATTTCATACAAAAGCTCTCCTTTCCCTCATTCTTGCCAAAACTCCGGTCGGTTCATTCAATTTTAGAAATTTGCATTTTTGAGATCCGAAACATGAGAATTTTAATCTCCCGCCTTTCTCACCTCCGATTACTCCTAGTTCGATGCTTTTTTTCATTGATTCCGAGAAGGAAAACTTCAAAAGAAGAACAAAGGTTATTGGGATCGATTTAAACGTTTCTTGTAAAACTCTTTGATTTGTAATAAAGAGCGTTGCATTATCTATCATATTAAAGCTGACTCTTTATTCTCGCAACAAAAGTTCTTTTCTAAGAGAAGAAAAACGTAAGTAAATACACTACAGGAATCAAAAACAAATAGTTGTTCTTTGTGGCAGTACTTGTCGTCGTTGCGTCTCTCCCATTATCCGACTTAGGTGTTGTTGCCTTTGGAGTTGTTGTAGTGGTTGTTGATGTTGATGTGGGTGCTGTCGCCGGAGCTGTTGTATCAGCAGCAATGGGAATTCCAGTTGTTGTTGGTGACTTTGCTGTGATTGCGGTAGTTGTTGTTGGGGTCGTAGTCGTAGTTGTCGTAGTTGTCACTTGAGCTGCTTTCATCCGATATCTTAACAAGAATCCACTTTGTGTACTTGTATCGTTCCATTCAATCTAAAAAAGATTTATTGCAAGATAAAGAAAAAATACTGTTAAAACTCACTTGTACCATTGTTCCATCCGATTGGATCGTCCAGTTTTTCGTGAGATTTGTGCTAAAATTTGATAATATTGACTTGTTAATTGAGTCAAAGATGTGCCGGACTAAGGCCAAGGTCTGGCTAAGCCCAGGCCTGGCTCTTGGGACTTTTTGTGAACCAGTCCCTCAACAAAATCAGCCAGGCATGACGATTTGAAATCATTAACAGTAGTTTTTGCCTGTTTTTCTTTGAAACTCACATTCCAATAGTTTCTTGTGGTTTTCCAGTTTTGCCGAAGGTGAAAGCAAGACTGCCATTCACTCCCGGATCTGCGGAAACAATGTCAATCGAGAAGTTCGCGTTCGCCGCACCAAGCGAGGGACTTTCTGGAAAGAGAATATATTTAAGAAGATACTCTCAAAAACTAACGATAAAGTTGATAATCAGTCGCGTCATCGGGTGACCAAATCGAATAGTAATTGTCATAGTTTGCTGGGTATTCTTGGCTGTAGATGAAGCCATTTGAGCCGTCAAAGAGTTCCCGTCTATATGGATCTAAAAAAGAAATGCATTTCAAAGAAATGATAAAGTAAAACTCACCATTGCTGCTCTGAAGGGTAAAACTGAATTGGCAATTCGCTGGAACGACAAACGTGGCTGCTGGAGAGACGATGTGAGATGGGGCAAAAGTTGCAGCGTTTTGATCACTGAAAATAGTTACAGCTTGCAAAATGGGTTTTGTTTTTGATAATGCAAGGAAGCGATCCAAATTTAGCCTTTAGATTAGAACTGAAATCAGTACTTGAAAGTGTAAATGAGCATTTTCTGCTTCAGTTCCTCATATGGAATCCCAGAGACGTAGAGAGGAACTTCACAGGAGTTTGACTGAAATCAATAGGTTACTGGGCAAGCTTACTGTACATAAAGCCGAAATGGCTGCAAACTGTGCTGATATTTACAGTATTAATCAAAAGTTGATGTGAAAACTCACCTTCAAAACGCTATTTATAACAGCACCACCCCGAGGAGCCACAACAGTCAGCGCTTGAGAGTGATTCTTCGCATCGAATCTCATTGTCACCGGTCGCTCGAGAAAGAATCCATTTGTAAACCAAAAGCGATAATCGCTTAAGCCCATTGAATCGAATAAAGCTGTGTCTGGAAATTGAAAATTGCTAGACTTAGCAGAGCTCAAACCAACCGTTCACATCGACTTTTGTAAATGTGGCCACAAATCGGTCATACCATGAATCGAGTTGGGACGTTTGAACAAAATCCTTGAAAAGACGGGGCTTCTCCATGATTTGTGGTAAACTGAAAAAAATGCTTGGTGAAATTGGAAATGAACTCTTTCTTTACCTATAATTCTGCGTTTTATCCCAAAAGTAGATTGCTCGCGTCTGGGTGAGCTGCATTGCATTCACGTGAATGAACGAGCCGGGCGCTTGAATCATGAAGCCAGATTGGGTCTTAATTTGTGCAAATGACAATTGAAATGGGCTATAAAATGCTTGATATTTAAAGCTTTCAAGGAAAATGAATAAAAACCCACAAATTGCCAGTAAGCCGTATGGAAAACGAGAGGATCATTGTGAACATCGAGATAAATCGTGATCGGGCTGTCGTAGTAGAAACGAACAAAGATTCCCTCCGATTGTTGATCTCCGGGCACCCAAGTCACCTGAAAATGATCGAAATTCATTTGGAAAATTAAATTTTGTATTTCCATACCAGTAAATCGTGTCCCGTTGCATGAAGCCATCCCTCGCTTTGTGAAGTGGTTCTAAAGATTGATTCTTTCTTTGAAGATCAAAGGCTAGAGTGATGGAAGGGATATTTCAACTGGCCCTAGAGTCTGTAAGCCAGATCAAGCGAGGCCAGAGTATAACCAGGTATAACCGACCAACTCTGGGTATGCCTGTAGTAAAGCCACGCTACTCTCCGGACTCTAGCCCGTTCTTGGCCTGCCTTATCTGACCAGGCCAAAATATTTATCTTTAGATTTATCTTTATCCCTGTTGATGTCTGATTCACTCACTGATTCTTAGAAGCAACAAGTTGATCGTTTTCATAGATTTCCAAGCTCCAAAACCCATTTCTCCCAGGTTTGTCGTTCCAGTTCGGCCAAACATTGATCGGAGCCGGGCTTTGACCGACGACTGAACAAAGGTTTATGTGATTTAAAAATCGATCACAACTATTTTAGCCTTTGATGGATTTTTGAAGAATTTCCGAGTCTTACCGTGAAATCTCTGTATCATCGGATTGACCGGTTCTTTTCGGCTGAATGTTCCACCAGGATAGTCACAGCTAGCCATCGTTCCACGAATCCAATACCCATCATCCGGTGTGCTGAATTCGATCTGTCTTGTGCCTGAAAGCTTAATTGGTTAATTTCCCATTGCTTTCAACCTTCAGTGTGCTCAATCAAGTCGAATTTTGCTCCACAATATTGCGGAATGGTGAAAGTGTAGTAGGCGGCTGAGAGAGTTGGTAGAGCCCAACCATTTGGCTGTTTTCGGCTAAAAAGCATTTACAAATGCAAAAATCAAAAAAATTATACCTGCCCCGATAATCGCCAATCATATATTTATCAGAACGATCGGCAGGAGCAGCGCCAGCGTGAATTCGCAAAGAGCAGCCTTCGTCCTGAAATTTCAAAATATATTACCGTAAATACTGTAGTACCCCCCCCCCCCCCGTAGTCGCAAAAGTGTTTTAGTATTTCAATGCGCCTTTGGTATCAAAAAATAGCCCTGAATTTCAGCTATTTTTTGATACCTAAGCGCGCCGTGTAGCATAAACCAGTGTCGAGAAAAACGCGTCCAAAGCTAGACTACTAAACACTCCGCACCGTCATTATGCGGGTGGGGTACTATTACAGTATTTACGGTATGTATAAAGCTTAAAATGTACTACTCATTAAGCTCTTAAAGTCTTTTCTTGCAAAAACAACAAACCAAATCAATATTGATGATATCAAACGAATGACAACTATCTTTTGAGTATTTTTTGTTAACAATAGTGAGCATTGTGCCGGATTCTTTCGATTGCACCATTGAATAGGTTTGTGGTTCTTCGCCATTATAGACATCGATTGAGTAACGGTCATATCCCAAATAATATGGGCCGTTGGATGAGTCGGAGTCTGGAAATGGTGTTCAATTGTTTTTCAAGCCCAACCCCTTACCAGTATCAGTTGGATACAAGGCAAATGTCAAATAGAACTCCATCGATGTGTTTTGAGTGAATGTGAGAGTGAGAGGTGGCTTGAGGCGAATGTTTGAAGTTGGTTGCTGGAGAGCGGCTTGGCTAAAAGCTAAGAAAAGTTTGACAAAGTTTGACACTAAGTCAACAAAAGGTACACTTTTAAACCTTTTGCAGATTTCCCTTCAGCTTAAAGCCAAAAATTAGCTCATCTATAAAACGTACGTATATTTTGCCCCACCAGGGCCAGCAATCGCAAACTTTGTATTGCTAAAATCGGAAAAGTAAGCGTTCACTTGGATGGGCAGCGACAAATTGCTGGCTAAGATAATGGCAGTTGTCTAAAGTTATTACTGGAATCAATTACTCGATTTCAAATGTACCTGATCAGAGTGATCATTTCCATTAAAAAGAAATGATGGATTGTTTGGATCGATTAAATAGGTCACTGGGTCGGCTGAAACAATATCCTTTTTTTTAAGTTTACATACGCTTTTTGTATTGTTTTGTCAAAAATCTTTAGCTTTAACTTTACCTAGACACAATTGTATTTGGAAAATAACGAAGAAAAGACAAAGTAGCAGCCTCATCGGGAGGGAAAATTCGTTTATTAGAAAGACCAGGCTTAAGCGATAGAGATCGCCCCTTTAAATAATAATCCTTTTTATCGCAAACAGGTAGGCGGGTCGCAAATTTGATAACAGTTTTTCCTTTTTGATGACAAATGCCAGCGCAAGGATTAGCTTCCAATTCATCAAAAACCGAGGAGAGTTGTAAAAGGTGCTAAAGTGTTCCGGTTTCTGGACAAAGCGATAGAAGTTACTTCTTTTACCAGCTTTGTATTAGGTGACAAAACCAGGTGATAGAGATTTTGAGGCCTAATTTATGATATAAACTGTATAAAACTGTTTTTGAAACAACAGTACTTTAGCAACGGGAATTTTGGTTCTCTGTTAGGCCAAGTGGTTCAACTGATTGTGGTTTTTCAAATAATTTTAAATTCACTTTCTGAAATTTTAAACAACAGTTAAAAAATCGCTTGCTAAACTAGCTAAAAATAGTCTGACACAAAAGCTTGCAATGTTTATGAAACAGTCTCATAAGCTCTTTAAATCAAGATGGGAATTCGTTTCATTTTGAACCTTGACCATTGACACTGAACCTTGACCCATCCCAAACATCACTTTTGACAGATTTAATTCATTCACGCGAACCCGGACAAGAAACCCGGAGACGGAGACGGAGCCGAGTGCCCTCCCAATGTGTCGTAAAAGTAAATAGTCGTAAATTTATCATCTGAAGCGAATATTTGTCATCGTAATTTGGTTTGATCAAAGCTTATAAATCTTCACTTACACTGCACCCCTTTTTAAGAGAAACGGAAAAGAGAAAAGAAGAGATAAGGGTCGCGTCAAAGAATCGACTCTAGTTATTTAATCAGTCGCCGGGTTCTTTTTGGGTCATTTCCCGGTGCTTTGTACATTCTAGCACAAACTGATTTATATTGTTTTAATTGTAGAAAATTTATGATTGTAATTAAGTTGTAAATAATATAAATCAAGATGTTTTCTTATAAAGTCAGGCATGAGTCTTGCCAAAGCTAATACTCATTTTGTACTCTGACTACTTGTAAACGCACACTTGTAAACGTCTGGCATACTCGATTTTTCCTATTGCTGCATTTCAGTTCTGTTCCTTTTTCAAATAGTTATTGCCTATTTTAGCCACCTAATAGCCAGGGTTGACCAGAATTACGGCAACTAAAGACCACCTTACATTAAAATGACACCAAAGCAGCAAAAATTTATTTTGAAACCATAATTTAACTTAAAAATTTACTTTTTTTTCAAAAAGATCTCCCTTGGCAGCAACACAGGCCTGGAGGCGTTTTGGGAACGCGAACGGCGAGAAGGTAGGGTGTGTCCAGCTCGTCCCAAGCCTTCTCAAAGGCTCTCTTTAAAGAATCGACTGTTGGATGGGGTTTCTAGCACGCTTTTGCTTCCAATACACTCCGTACAGAATAATCGAGAGGGTTGAGGTCCGGACTTGATGGTTAAAATCGATAAAATCGGGGATCGATTATGCTTGCACCAATCTTGAACGATGCGAGCTTTGTGTGCGGGTGCCCCATCCTGTTGAAAGCACCAAATCTTGTTTCCAAAACGCTTTTTAGCCCATGGATGTATTTCTGGCTTAAGCATATCCTAGTAATTGATCGCATTTACTTTGATTCCTTGTGGAACAAAAAACAAAGGAGTCTTTCCGTCTACGGTAATCCCAGGCCCGGCCATCAACGGTTTGGGATAACCTGCTGCCACAGGTTGCTTAGGTCGAATCTTAGCATAAATCCAATTGTTTTGATAGTTCACAAACTGTTCGACAGAAAAAATTTTTCATCGGTGAAGAGAATGTTCCGATGATCGATTCCATTGAAGCGAAGCAAAAGTTGGTTCGAACGATCCTCGCGTTTCTTTTTGCTGGCTGACTTAACAAATTGGCTTTTGGAAAACTTATAAGCTTTCATTTCAAGACGATTTTTGACAATACGACCCATAGAAGAAGAAATTCCCTTATTCTTTGCCATCCTTGCCTGCGAACGAGTGGCTTTCAAGCGTAGCTAATCTCGAACCTTCTTGATATTAGCCTTGGTGACCACGATCGCTTTACGACCACGTCCGGAACGATCAGAATTTGTTCCTAACGCTTGAAAACGTTCGATCGCGTTGTAAACAAGTTGTTTGCGTATTATCAATCGCCTAGAGATATCCATCGCCAGAACGTCACGCTTGTGTAGGTCGATGATCGCATCACGGTACACTGACATCTTGGCCATGCTAAAAAGAGACATGTTTTGAGAAAAAAAATAGTAAGTAAATAGTTAAATAAAGAAAATAAACCAAAAGAAAGAGAAAAATAATTTATAAATTGTAAGCAAAAATATACAATAACAAAGATACCCCTAGTCCCCGTAATTCTGAAACCCTGTATTTTAAATGAACCGATCTATTGTCAACCAAGCTAATAGCTTTTATCTATCCTTACTGACCGAGAATCCTGATTAGGCTACACAAAAACTGAACACCTTTTATTTGATTCGATAAAAATGTAGACCAAGATGTTAAAACTTTTGGCTACTGGCTTGATTCTCACCGTCAATGTTCATGACAAAGGGATTGGTGCTTAACACTTGAAATTTGCTAATTCTAGGCTATTTATAAGCTATTTGTAAGGTATACTAACTAAATAATTTTATCTAAAAAACCATACGTAGAAATGATAGATGAAAAGATCTTTCGAGATGCAGCTTGGTTACTTGTCCAATTGGAAAGTTCAGGTATAAGGCTCCTTTAATAATATTCTTTCACAATAATAATATTCTCCTAATATTCTTTGCGTTCTAGCAGAAGTGAGTTTGATGTTGATTTTTGCTGGCTTTAGAACAACAATTCATGGAATGCTGATGTCCTTCTGGAATTGGCTGTGTGCAAAGTCCGAAAGAGTTTACCGAGTCGGGCAGGCAAATCACGGGTTGCCAAAAAAAAAAATGCCACTGATTTTTTTCACAGTGGAAAGAAATGAAATTCGCAGTAAAGACGAAAAGTGAAGATGAAAACGGCAAAGTTTTGCAAAGAAAGTTAGGCATTTTTTTAATAGAATATTGTTTAATAGAATCAATTTTAATAAAAACAACATTTAACTTTAACTCATTCTTTTCAATAACCGAGCAACTCAAAATCTTTGTAATAAATCGCATTAAAATAAGCCATCGTTTGCGGGTTTTCTTCCATGTAGGCTTTGAGGTTTTTTGTGTGATTTTGATCGTGATTCGCGTGAACTGTATCGGAATAGACAATGTGGAAGAGAACCTGGAAAGATGCACAAGTTAAAACAAACATAAGTAGAAATCTTCGGGTTTAAGTTTTGAGACTCATTTACCTGATCGGAGTACTTTTTCGGCACTTTTGCCGCATCGAAAGCTTTCTGCAACTCGAGTCTCATCGCCAAGCGATCACCAGCATTGTGAATCAAATGGAATTTCTGGTAATCGGTAGATAAATTGCAGAACCTAGAAAGGAATGAAGAAATTGAATCAAGACTAAAAAGAGAGTCTGTTGTTGAAGCTTGTTGTTGCTTAAAAACCTAAACCCCGCCCATTATGGGCGGGAATTAACATTTTGCCTAATAACTTTGCGTGCATATTACATTTTGAGTTAATTTTTGGTACCATTCGACACGCAATTTTATTCTGCATCGAATGAAAGTCAAAACAGTCAAAATCAAAGGATTCGTGCTGAGAAAAACACGAAAAACTTTAAATTGCCAGCGGCAAAAGGGAAACGACAAATGTTTTCGTTACAAGTCTATTATATACCAAAATCGGACTGATTGCATGTAAACTAACGGTTTAACTACGATAGTTTTCTCAAATAGGTGCATTATTCGATAGGAACACACTCTAATGGCGGAAATTTGATGGTTCCACACAAAAGCCACTACCTTAAATCCAATATTGAGAGTGGTTGGATTTTACATTAGAGTCTAATATTTTAATGCTATTTAAGTCTCACTATTGGGCTTATAGCTGTAAGTGTAAAGAAACACGACTCCTTTTAAAGAGATCCAGCCTTTTAATTGAATATGGTGGCAAATTGCCTTCAAATGTAAAGATATTCAATTTACTCATGTAAAGAGGATTACTCGTATTTACTCGACAAAAACGTCGGTTGATCGAGTAAGGATTCCTCATGCAAATTTTACTCGAGTAATTACTTACTCGCAAGGAACACACTCTAAGCATGAAATTCACAACTGTTTCACTCACCATGTCTGCGGCTGTGCATGATATTCAAGAACAGCTTGATTCGTTTCCTTGAACAATGTTCCATTCACTGATCGAGTGCTCAACAATGTGTAGACGTCTTTTGTAAATTTGTGAATATTCGTCCCGGCGCCGCACAAATTCACTTGTCTAGAGTAAATGGAAGGTAAAAATGTATGAGATTTGACTCACTCGCACAAATATCCATAAAGAGAAAGGAAACGTTTAAGCGGATGACGAATGACAGCAATTTTCGTCGCTTCTGGATTTGTTTTCCACAAATCAGCTTTGTATTTCGTTGCAACAAGATTTTTGTACCATTGCTCCAATTGACATTCGCTAGAATTCAATATTTTAGCATAAATGCTAAAATAAATATGATCTTTCTTTTACCTTAGTGATTTATCCTTTTCGTATTTGATTTTGAAAGGCATTCCCTTGAAATATCGATACAAATCACACATGATCACTTTCATAATTGTGGCTCCATTTTTTGGTATTTGACAGTGGAAAATCCCCATTTTGTTAACATTCTAAATTTTATTGATTTTTTATTGATTGATTATATTATTATGATTATATTGAATTTTATTGATTCATAGTAAATGAAACTCCTACGGAATCCGGCTGATCGATGGCTGGCCGTAAGGGGATTCTCTCAATCACCGGTGAATCTATCAGAGAATAGTTTAATCTTTTCAAAAATTTACCTGTCACTTGAGTTAAACCATTTGTTTGGTGCAAATAGAACAAAAAACATAGACATAAATA